CGAAGTCTGCCCATCATGTAGTGGCGTCTTGTTCCAGAGTAGCGTGGTAATCGTAGATGGGAGATGGCTAATGTTGCTGGAGTCTTGATATAGGCTGGTGTTGAAAGGTCGAGGTGTTTGAAGTAGTAGTTGATGTTCCTGCCGTCGCCGATGATGTAGCTGTTGTTGATAACGATGTGTAAACAGCCGTTGATGATGTTGGAGAATTAAGGTCGAATGTTTTTTGTAGCGTTGAGATATTTGAAGGTTCACCACTGAACTCACCTTGATAGTTTCAGGGCCTCTCTCTGTAGTTCTTCTCAAGCACGACGTTTAACCCAATTTCACCTCACCACCTCACCTGTAGTTCTCCGGTGTTCTGCCAGTCATTGCCCTGGTCCAGGACAGATCCTCTCACCAGTTGACGTAGGGCTAGTTTGCGTAGTTGTCTTTGTGTGTTATGCTAGAATTTTGGGTATCTTCCCATTATGACTACTCCCAGTTTGACTACTCATGAACATCAACAGAGAATGGAACACCCCCACACTTAAAAACCTCTCGACTAGAAAGGTTGTGTATTGGACGGGTGGTCAAACTCGGAGGAGTAGTCATAATGGGAATGAACCTAATTTGGGGGGAATTAGTAGCGGTAGAGCGGTCAAGACTGGCTGTCACCTTTAGAACAGAGAAATCTTTTGACCTTATTTGACAATTCTAGTTTAACTCTTGTTGCCCATTACAATCTTAATATGTTAGGTGAAAGTTAGGTATAGCATGACTTAAGCGTAGCATTGCGACAGGTATCATATAACTTGGTGATTTCCCATTTTTGGCAGTCCATGCAGGTGTTGTATCTCACTGCCAAAACTGGGAGAACTGGTGTGACCAATTAAGATCAATTAGGTCTCGCCACGGTTAGAGTAGTACCAGTTAAGATCAATTAGGTCTCGTCAGTAAGGTGGTAACTAATTTGCTACTGGGACAATTAGGATCAATTAAGCACTGCGGATGTTTGTAAAAGTAAAGAGGTTACAGTTAGGGAAGTTCATCTCACATACTAGAAAAGAAGGTTGTTTTATTTAGATAGAGTATATATAGATTTGAAACTGAATTTCTTGTTATACTTGTGCTCACTATGGAAGAGAAGAGAACAGATCCTGGATGGAAGAAAGCAAGGTGCCCTCATGCTTATGGATGGCTATCGCTATCTCAGATGGAAAGCGAACAAGAATGGCACAATTTCCATGGAGGTGCTAGGCTGTAAAGGAGATATGTCTTGCAGTGACGACAACTACGGATGGTACAGTTATCCGCCGAGGCAAGGAGCACACCCACGCTCCTGACCACAGTGTTGTTGGTGCACACCTTCTTCCCAATAACATGAAGAAGCGAGCCCGGGAAGAAGTGAGTATCATCCCACTGATTTACGAGAAAGAGAGGAAGAAGCTCCTGACTGGTTACAAGTCTGCTGCTCCAGAAGAGATTGCTGCCCGTCTTATGATGTTTGGAGGTCGAGTTTGTATAGACAGCGAGCCAAGACGCTACCCCAAACACCCCAGAGTGCGACAGACTTGAAACTAGGTGGTGAGTGGACGAAGACCGAGACTTGTGATAATTTTGTACTTATAGATAGTGAGGTGGATGATGTGCGCAGATGGTGGTTCCGGGTGTTCATTGGACTTTCCTTCCTTCCTGCTGCCCAGGTTCCAGAAGGATATGAAGCTGTTGTTGCCTGTACACCTTCCCTGCCCCAGTGTCAAAACTTCAACAAATACTTCCTGGACACGTGGATCAATGGACGATTTCCCATCAACATCTGGAATTACTTCAGACGTGAGACACCCAGAACGAATAACAGTTGTGAGGGCTACAACAGCCGTTTGTCCAGAAGAGCAGTGAAGACTCACTTGAACAGTTTGAATTGATCATTCTCTTCAAGTCTGAACACTCTAATAAAGAAGTACATGTGATGCAGCTTGAATCCGGTCACAAGACTTGAGTTTATGATGTGTGAAAGAGCGCTGACATCATATCTTTCTGCATGTGGCAGTGTGCTGGCTGGTGTGATTGAACATTAGAAATACTTTGCAAATGTATTGTGAATAAAATAATCATCACCAATAAAATTCTTTGTTATTTGCTAATTATGAGGTGTGAGTCATAAACTGCCAAATCCGGGACAACTGTTCTAGCTCGTTAACCAGGTGTGAAAATTGACTGCCAAAAGTGGGACTGCCAACAGTGGGAATAAATCATTTAACTCATATCTTATAACTGACAATATTCCCTCTTGCGAATATACATATACTATTTGCTAAACCATGTTTATATTATATTTTACATATGACATATAACATATTGAGATTTTATACCGAGTATATCTTGTAAGATCAGATATGAGTGCACGGGTATTTAATTGTTATTTTGAATATATGATACTGCCTTTGTATACGTGTTGCACACGTACCTAACTATATAACAATTACATGTTAAATTATACTGCCGCTGCATACATGTTGTTTACGTATCGTATTGTATTTTGATTGTGGCTCACTCTTGTCTCCGCCGAATAAACGCCACAATTCAAAAGCCTTCTCTGTTGTTAAGGTGACAGCCAGTCTTGACCGCTCTTCCGCTACTTATTTCCCCAAAATTGTAGCATAAACACCCAAAGACATATATCGTCAGAGTCTCATCATTCTGTTTAAGAGATCCTATCTACGGGCATTATGCAAATTTGATACTATTGATGTTAGGAAAATCTTTTCAGCAACATCGTTCATCTATAAATTGAAAGTACACAACTAAATGAGGAAAAGGGATAAATAGTTCAAAGGATACAAATACTTTTAATGACAGATGTCGCCAAAATATATTTTGTTTGTTGTTTTCTTGTCTAACGCCGCAATATTCCAACTATATGATGGCGGTCGGTAAATGGTATGACGTGTCAAACAAGTCAGCGAGCCTGACCGTCCGATCCCGTTAGTCGTCTCCTACCACAAGGGTATACAACCTATCAACATAAATTATTGAATACATTGTGCAATAAAGCTACGTACCATACTTTATATATTCGCGTATTGTAAACAAAATTACTTATATAGGCCCTCGGGTAGTAGTGGCAGATAGACATGGAAATAGACACAGCATGGAAATATGAAAAAAAGGGTTGACTCACAGGTCATCATTTGTTGCAAAAAACTGTTCGAATAACATTTCATTTTGAGCAGATACACCAACAGATCAATATCAAGATGTGACCATATGGAAAATATACGAGAAACAATATTTTAACATGTATATTTGTTTATTGTTGGCTAAAGCTTTCATAAATAATTGTCACTGTCAATATCAAATGCAGAAATATTATGAACAGGATAAAGATATCAGGGCTAGAAGGACCTCATTTCCAAAACTGCCTTTCAAACAGGAAAACGTTGCTGGATGTTCCTCCTCACTCAGAGTCCACATATGTGACATCTACTTCGGGTCTGCTTGGAGATGCATGTTAACTGTCATAGAGCACCTGTTGCAATCCTCCTTTACATGCCTCAACTTCTCCACCATGTGGGGGCTGAACTGGGTGGCCAGGTCAACGTGAAGAATGTGGGACTTCACTGTAAATGACGAAGAATATTACATTGTAACTGAACATAACATCTTGCAATAATGCTGACATTATATCGCAGTATGTCTGGCAGATTGTGTATCTCAGTATTCTAGGCCTTTGAAAACATTAGTAAATATTATAGGAAGCAAAACTGTCACCGATGTGAATTCATTATATTCATGAGAAATACGTAATATATATATTTTAGAAATACATATGGACATGGCCTAATTCTCCAGGCAGTTTCTGGGTTGTAACTATTATTAAAACGTCAGATCTCTCTCGTATATTTAAATAGTTTCAAATACCCCGATAAACAAATGGGAAGTATTGTGATGTAATTTGTAAAGTTTATGGTGCTTAATTCTAAAGGCAGGCCAACAAATTACCTTTAATGCGGTACGTAAAAAATTAACGTCTACACAAATAATAACTACTAGTGACACTGAACCTCTCGTTTTGAACAAATTTTCCTTGAGCTGCTCTAGTTCCTTGTTCATTTTGTCAATCTCATCCAGGGCACTCTGGTGGCAATGTGTAGATTCCAAAGCTGAGTTTTCCGTCGGTACATGATTCATCATGCTGTAATGGGGACAAAATGACATGAACAAAAACGTTCAAAGAATGACAGTGACGGTGATGGCAACTGCATGAGACCATAGTAAAAATATCATATGGCCTCTCTTGGTAGGCGGTGCTCAAGTGCTTAGATACCACGCAGATGGCTGAAAAATGAAAGTTTGACAAGACAATGAAAACTTTGCATCTTATGAACAAAAAAAAACGCCAATGCCAAAACGCTGTGTATCTATCTTACTACATAAATTTATACGTAATGTTGTCAAAAAGTAATGTGAATATACGGTAAAATCATTTAAGCCATCACACACAATAACAATTATGTATAGACCCAATGGTGGTAGTAGGAACATATCATTGAGATGGGAAAGAGGAGCGTCGACACAAAACATGACAGGTGTGGTTCGAAGGTTATAAAATGTGATGGCATGTATTCACTTACTATCAGCTCAATATTCCTGTGATTCGAAGCCTACGGTTATGTTGACTGGCGGCAGTGGTCAGTAAATGCAACACAGTGAAAACAATCCGATGCGGTATTGAGATAAATTTCAACGGGTGTTCTCATTAAGCGATGACTTGCGTCGTCTGCTTTTGGTGGCCATATGATTACAGCGCCGGTTATCACATGATATAAATAATGGTCACCTTGAACATTCTGCATAATAATTAAACTAGGCTAGTTGCGGAATGATTTGTCCTACACAGAAATAATACTGGTGTGTGGAAAATATATTAACAAAGCATAAGGTGACATTTATTGAGGTTATTTCGGTATTATAATTATTTGCCGCGGAGTAGATTAGTGTGTTTCCGGTTACGTCCAACATTTGAAAAATCTTGAACGAGATTAAGTGCTGGTTATTTAGCCAAATACATGCTCGTAGAATGATTGACAGTGAACTTCTTGCTTGGGTTGTAGCCAACAAATAGTACTGTGACACCTTTATCATATGTCATAGTTAAGATATAGTTTCTCTGGCGCTAAAACTTGAACAGTGCTGAAGATGTCACACGTCCGTCCAAAGGAAAACATGGCGTTTCATTCCACACGTCAGGTGAGAGATAACTTGAACTGAAACGTTAAGTGAACGGAAAAACCTTCTCCCGCACCCCTTAAATTTCATTCCAGTCCAATCACCTGAATATATATTCCTCATCTGATAAGTATGAGTTTTAACATCTGGACATACTGAAAGACATAACTTCTGAAAATGGCACTCACTGACTCAGACTCAGAGAAATTTTTCCCTCATCCTTAAAATTTAGGGGCGATACTAGCTCAGATACATAGCGTTCATGTTAGTGAACGCTATGAATCTTAGCTAAAGGCTTAGCTAAAGACAACTGAGACATACTTCCAGTAATTAAAGCAATTATTTACCGATTGTTTGAGCTCCTTTCATTGCAAAATGATTGTTTCATCAAGTTGTCGTTTGTTCATATTATTTCATGTGAGTCAGTGGTTGATCTGTTTTAATAGTTGTTGTAATTACCATTGAGTTACACCATCAATTCACAATGCAGGACTCCATGGTGACAACATCTTTTATGACTGTCCGCTTGGTCAAGGGGGCGCTACACTCATTTACATACAAAGTTCAAAGTCATAAGTGGGCATGAAAGTGAATGTGGTGATGATCTTAAGACATTTTGCTTTGTATATTAGTGATGCTCTCATCCTTGATAATGCCACAATGCTGGCAAGCACTGCAACACAAAGTTATAGTTTGCAATTTGTATTTAAAGCACTCAATAATCAGGCCAAAAGCAACTGCAAAAACTCACAGATTTCACTTTTGCGTCTTATCTTGCAAAGATGTGAAACCTTACAGCATCAAACATCAAAAGTGAGTGAGTTTAGTTTTTAACGCCACACTCAGCAATATTCCAACTCTATGGTGGTGGTCTGTAAATAATTGAGTTTGGATCAGACAATCCAGTGATAACTGTATGAGCATCAATCTACGCAGTTGGGACTAGATGGCGTGTTTTAACCAACTCAGCAAGCTTGACCACCCGATCCTGTTAGTCGCCTCTTGCGACAAGCATGGGTTACTGAAGATCAATTCTAACCCGGATGTTCATGGGTCTAACTAAAAATCTGAAACCTCAGGGATAGAAATACTATTTTTTCTATGTGTGCCTTTGGGCAGACAAACATTTTTAGGTGTGCCTTTCAGTAATCAAGTGTGCCCACATATTTTTGGAATAAAAGACTGTAACAATGGTTATGGTCTTTTAAAATTTAATGTTAGTTAACAACAAATCGAACTTTGTCGGTTGTCGTCTGCTTTCAAACAGATCATGTTCATGACAAGATTTCCTGTTAGCAGAGACCATATAATCTATTATATGGTCTCTTCTGTTAGACAAGATTTCCTGTCATGTGCACTGACATATAAAATGGCCACGCCCATGGTAAACAGAAAGATCATAATCATGGGAAAGAAATGGGTTCATGAGTATTTAAATTGTAAGGTATTGTTCAATTTGGCAAAAATATAATTGTTTTGAGGATTAAATGACTAAAGGTTATGTTTCCCTTAGGTGTGCCATAAGGGCACCGAGAACATTTTTTATCTGTGCCATTTCAATATTTACCGTGCCATGGCACGCTAGTATATGGGGTATTTCGAACCCTGGTTCAAGCGCTGTGTCCTGGAACACTTTGGTGCAAAGGGGACTTTAGCAGAAGTTACTGGAAGAGCAAATATAACAAAGCAGCAACAAGAATGTAACATTCTTATCATGAAGATGACAATGACAATAATACAGTGCAACTTGCCAGAAGTTTGGGATGTCATATTAGAAATTTTGGCAGGCCTCAAGAAGACAGATTTGTTTTATCCTCCTCAAAACACCAACATTGATAAACTTGATAATGACATTCATGATATTTGCGTATTTTGTCAGAAGTCTTAATACTCTTATAAAAAGGTGACTACAGAAACTGCTTTGGGAAAACGACTGGAAGTTATTTCTGTTTGTAAATAATGTTATGCATCAACACAACCTTCATCTACAAGTAGTACAACCTTCAGCTACAAGTAGTACAACCTTCATCTACAAGTAGTACAACCTTCATCTACAAGTAGTACAACCTTCAGCTACAACCTTCAGCTACAAGTAGTAAAACCTTCAGCTACAAGTAGTACAACCTTCAGCTACAAGTAGTACAACCTTCAACCTTCAGCTACAAGTAGTACAACCTTCAGCTACAAGTAGTACAAACTCTTATCTGTCACCTCTGATGGTCTCTACTGGCCTCTTTATACACCAAACAACCAGATCCGCAGTCTCCTACCCAGAGTTCCATGTGGCAGCCAGCATAGTACCTCTGCCACAGGCCAGAAAAATGTGACGATTCATCACATCTTGCACCGTCCATTCAATATAATGTACATATTTCTTAACGCTTTTAATTTTGACGAGCCTAAACATCTAATTAAACATCTTTGATAGAATGACTTAGTTTAACTGAGAAAATATCCTAAAACATGTAACACTATTTCCATTTGCTTAGCGATCCTTTGTTTACGTAGGTTGTACGACTCCACGTATTGTCAACGAATCCGACAGGGAGCAAATGATGCAACCAGTTTGATATCTAAATATGTACTGTCATAAATGTTACTTTCGCAGTTGTGGAAGAAATATATGTAACAATGTAAAACATTGTAAAGAGCGAGCCGCAAAGCTTGTGTAAGGCCAGTCTCTTCTTATTATGAATATGCGTGTTTGTTTACAAACAAGAGAAAAGTCTTGTCACGTGATATTCAAATTAGGCTGTGGCAGTGCACTGGCAGTGATGTTATGCTAACTCATCACTGCGCCGGAGTGTGCCAGATCCGGTGTACTGCTGAATGTTCTGTCAAGCCTTGTCCTTTTAGTGTCTCATGATCAAGTAATGGATTTTGAGAAATCACTGGTGATTTTGTCTCTGGAGTGATCTTTGTTGATGGCTGTGCTGTACTTTAACAAATAAAATGGCCCAAAATAGGCACCCTTCATGATATGTGTCTGGCTTATACCAACACATACGAACACAAAGGAACAGATGTATTTCCTCTTCAGTCAGTGCTCCAGATAATTTTTTAACTGCTGAAGAATAGTACAGGGTAGAATTCTGTCTCAGCTGGAGTACAGCATCACTAAGTCTCAAAATTAATTGTACTATCCTTGGTTTCCCAGCACAAACATGAGTGTTAATATCTTTGACAGTTCCAATACTATACTACAATATTATTTGTCTTTACGTGACAATGAGTCACAGAATTTACTAGGGGTGTCACGATACACCAATCTCACGATACGATACGTATAACGATTTTAAGGTCACGATACGATACGTATCGCGATACATAATTTTCGCGCCTTTTCATAGCATTACCTTACCGGCAACGTACGCGCTCGCGTTTGCGCTCGCTGATTGGTCCATCAAAATAGTCTAGCCAATCACAAAAGCTGTTAGTTTCCAACCTATTTTTTTAAGTAAAGCTAGCTACATCTATTTATCGGAGCGGCCTCGTATAATTTTACTATCAATACTTTGAAGGAGATGGATATAGCATAAAAATTTGAATCGATAAAGTTTTAAAATAGGAATCGATACACACAAGCATGTATCGTGTATCGATAAATGCTTATTGAACTGTAACTCTTGTAACTGACATTCAAATGTCCAAATTCAAGAGAATCATTTTGTGACTGAGTTAAAAGGCTGATATATGTTTTTAGTTAGAGCTATTTGTGTTGATGAGAAAATACTTGATTTGATTACCAGAAAGCAATTATTTTTCAAATACCGTGACAGCAAATAATGTAAAGGAACAGTGAAAAACTCATGGTTGTACGGGATTCATTAATGTGCAGAAATGAATGTAGATGTGTTTGAGGTAAATATCCTCAACTCAAGAAAGGTAATTTCAGTATATTGCTATAATATAATAATAACTGAGAATACAAAATAAATAAAAAAACATTTGAACTTGTTGAGTATATCAATCAGATGTTTCATTTTACTTGATTAAATAATAGTTAATGAAAATCCTTCTTGATCAATTGAATCTTTGGGCTTGAATTTTCATTCAAACAAATTCTTGTTCTAATTCTAATTCTAGATATTGATTTAATATCACTGAACTTTCTTAACATTTGTTTTTCAGACAATGGATCTTTCAGATAAACGTGAAACCTTGCTTCACACACTCAAGTTGGCTTACAAGAAGATCAATTCACTGAATGCTGCCACGAGGAAGATCAATGCTGTCATGGCTATCTTGTTCATGAGGAGAGACAAAACCAAGAGCGACATCGAGAGCATGACACGTCGACTTTCAGCCAAGATAGCCATGCTGCAAAGAGCATTTGAAAAAGAACTTTCAACCATCGTGGACAGAAAGATCAAAGCAATGGAGGACCAGGTGCAAGTGCTGTTTGATGAGATCTGCACCCTGGGAGAAGTTTGTGTAGAGGCAGAGAAGGTTCTGAAGATTCAGAATGAGCACAAATTAGCCTCGGACGGAACTCGTCTGACAGAAACATTCAGGTCTCTGCTGGATTGCAAACAGGATGCAGAGGAACAGGGTGACCTTGAAAATTTAATGTTCCTTCAGTTTGTACAAGGTGACCTGGAGACAAAGTTTGACCAAGGGGTCTTCGGACATATTTTCACTTCGAATAAAGATAGTGGAATATCTCTTGCTTGTTCCAATATGTCTCTTGATTCAAATCCTGAAGTGAGTCCTATTCCAGGAAACTCACTGTTAAATAGTGCATATAGTTCTGAATCTCAACCAGGACCTAAAGGAAGTGAGAAAAGTATTGCCAATCAAACTCTGCATCATGGAATCCATAATGTTCCGTGTCCACCAGGGTTTGAATCAGGACTTGTGAAAAGGAAAAACGAACTGTTTCCTTGTGTTTCTACACCTGCTGACAAAGTTCACACTCCAAGTCCTCAAGTCAAAGAAACTGTTGCAGCCAAAAAGAATGAATCTCTCAAGCAGAATGCGAGATTATTTGAGGAAGCAATGGAAGTTGCAGCTAATGAAGATACTGTGATGCCAATGGATGCAGTGAATCCTTGCAATAAAGAATTGTGCGACCGATCATCGAACAACTCCAGACTGTCACCAATTATTGAGAAGTGGGATGAAGATATGTACGAGATCTCAGAGATGTCGTCTGCCATGTCTATCAGACTTCAGAAGAACATCTATGACAGAAAGGTGTCTGAAAGGAACGCCAAGAGTAGTTCCAAAGGTTCTGGCGACATGTGTCATTCAGCACCAAGTTCAGCTAAAGAAAGAAGTGATTCATCAGAATCTTGGGACATAGACCTTCCATATGAAGACAAACCATCTCGAGCATCGTCATCTGAGAACCCTTCCCACGTGAGAAGACTTTTTGATAATGAAGTAGAGTCGAGAGACTTAAATGGAAAGCAAAATGATGGTGAATCTTGGAAGGATTCAGCTAAAGGATTTAGCGTTAAAGGAAACTCTATAAAAGGTAATGAGCTGAAAAAATTGTCACATGCTACTGAAAACAGGCCTCCCAAAGCCTTTGCAGCAGGGGCAGCATTGTGGAAGTTTCCATGTGTCACTGCTAATGGAATGGATGACTGGTGGGATGCTCGTACTGGTGACTATAGTCACATCAGTTTACCCGTGAAGAAAGAGAAGATTGATATGCCGTCTGTATCAAGTGAAAGGAGGCAAGAGAAGGTACAGGTGTCTACAAGTCTTTGTGGATCACCTGTCAAGAGTTTCAGGAGCAACCCAGTTGGAAAGATGCCACAGCTGCCTGGCTCTAGGTCACAGAAACTGCCACCACTGACCGAAGAACAGGGGGAATACTCTACTTATGTCAAAGATTCCGACCAAAATTCTGAGATAGTGAGTCATGAATCTGAAAAAGACCTTGATATTAATGTGATCGCTTCAGCAGTATCCAAGGAGGATTATTGCCAAAAGACAAAAAAAGAAGTTCCCTCCAAAAAGACCAACCCCATCATTTCTGGTAGAATGAAGAATCTGCTGAAGACTTACATTGAATCCAACAAGGAAAATTCTGGGAATGGAACAGTTGGTGGGGAGGCTGATGGTACAGGTGATAGAGCTGGTGATAGCGTTCCTAGCCCCAAATCAGATGTTGAGATCTTCAAGTCAGGTGGGGCTAATATTTCAGACAAACCAAAGGATGGTAATGGTGATTTCAAAAGGGCACTCTCACCATTAGGACATATGACATCAAAGTGCAGCCCTCATGACAAGACTGTTTTTCCGAAATCTAAGCTGGAGGAGCGTATGCTGGGTATAAAGCAAGAACCCCAAGAGGAGATCCTGGTAGAGACTGATTCTGTAGTGTCTCTAGGAAGTTTCCGGGTTAAGGTTGAGGAGACACCCGTGGCTGATGCTACCAACTCCAAAGACAAGATGGTGGCCAGTCTTGCCAAGTCACCATCACAGAGTAAAGATGATGTTGCTGTAAAGAAAGATGTGTATCCTGAAGTGAAAAAGGATGTTCAGTCTGCTAGTAGTGGGACTGTGAGAGAGAAGGTTGTGGAGACATACACTGACCTGTCAAGGCTGGTGTTCTCAGGGAACTGCTGGAGTGGTGAGTGTTCAGGATAATACTATACTATTCACACTTTGCTAAGGATCAAATCATGGATTCAACAGAAAACTATGATGTGGGGTCAAATTTGGTTAGATATCTAAGCTTATTGTAAGCATGGATCCTAGGTTTCAGTATGTCACTGCATCTTGTGGAACCCATACCTGCTATTGATAGGTGTTGTGTACTTGTCAATGACTTGTTCCATGATTTGCAAAATGGTTGATTGGTGCTATGAAAACAATTTCTATGGTTACTCATGTAACAAGTGCATAAGGTTAGATTAAAGTGACTCTTTTCCTAAAGAGGGGTTACCATGATTTTATTATTTTTCCAATTTCAAATTGTAAACCTATGTTTAAGTATATCCTGAGCAAAGTGTGAGTAGTATATTATTGATAGTGTTATAAAGTTGCTTGGTATGATGCCCCTTGTAACAATCCAGTAGTTTAATCTTGGGAACCCCTCAGTCTTTCACTCTAAACAGAATATTGTAAATTTCATTTTTAACTGGTTCACGAATAGCTGAGTGCTATTTTCGTCTCTGATTATGTGACATACATACAGTAATCTTAATCTCTGCATATAATACAATGCCTAGCAAAATAGATTAGAAATGAAAAGGTTAAAAAATCTTGTCTAGTGATGTTTAAGTACAAGTTTGGTGTCTTCACTGGCAAAAGTTTATATATTTTCTTATCCTGACTCATGATCTTTTGCTTATCTCCCTTTCCGTTGCGAATGGTAGTGGGACGCTTGAATCCCTTGAAGTTCCCGAAGCGGACGTAAAAATACACTCACCCACGAGTTACCTCCCTTTTCCCGCGTAAACAGTCATGTGGGCAGCCTTACTTGTCACTCTCTCCTTTTTCGCCCAAGCGGATGGTTGGGTGAGCACTGGAGTCCCGTATACGGCATTATAACCTTTTTAATTAGATCCTATTCTTCAAAATTATGCTGTGTATGGATTTGGCTATAACTACTATGTATTATATGAAAAATTATTTGTATTTGTGTCATAATTTCATCGTAATGTAACTTGTTTACATTTCATGAAATCTTGCATTGTTTGCAGGCACAGGTTATCCGTGGCTGATCCTCACCCCCCCAATGCCCTTCGTGCATCAAACCATGTTCTTCCAGCTTGCGCTGTACTTATTGTGTTGATTTATCAAATCTACAATTTAATCAACATTTGTCTTATAATTATAGACATGCCATGTGTCGGGTGAGGAAGTCATCACAAGTCACGGCTGATAAATCAGGAGATCAGCCTGCAAACCGTATGTTGCTTGCTACTGCTGAAATTCATAATACTGGCCCTATGTTGAGTACGTTGTAGGGGCAGTCGTCTGGTACGGGGGCGAAGTAGAGATCGGCTACAATGCAATTGACACCGGCTCAAGTAAGAAAAAGACGTCTGCTTCTACGTCGCAGAGGAGAGCATCTGTTACCAGATCGGAGGGTAAATCTACTCGGCCTAGTAAGTCAACGCATCAGAAATCCTTCAATGAAGAGATTTTACCTCCGCATGAAGTAGACGTTTTTTGATGATCCCCCGTTACTTCTACCTGAAGTACCTACGAGATCGGCGACTCAATCGACTCCACGACTACTAGATCGTCTCCTGCAACTGCCACAGCAGGCCAGCTGTTTGACGTACTACCATAAACTTCTCAACGGAGTGAAGTCGAGGCCCACAACTCAATCATGAACGCTTCAGTCAACGCAGAACTTTGATCCGGGCAAATTTATGAGACAATTCACCAACCAGATGATGGAACGTAGATTCGAGGAAGAGGCGAAGGCTCGACGGAACCTGTCATCTGCTGACAACGTGCTCAAACCTACGGACCTGCGGGAACCTACTCCTCAGGGAACTATGTCTCAAGACTTCGTTGGCGAACATACACCTTTGCAAAGGTCTCCACAGTCTGATGACTCTGTCATTTTGGAGGAGGATAGAAGACATGAGAAGCCTACTCACCCTTCAACATCTGCAAACCCTCAACGTTCGAGAACATCGAAGGATCCATCTCCTACACCTAGCCGCTCTAGATCGAGATCTCATATCTCTCACAGACGTTTGCGAAGTCACTCATCACGAGACAGAGGTTGGCAAAGAGAAGGCTCACGTCACAGAGGTTCACGAAGAGATGTATCCAGAGAAAGAGGTTCACGAAGGGATGATGGAGGTTCGAGAAGGGATACAGGTTCGCAGAAGGATGATTCGCGGAGGCATAGCTCTACCGATCAGGAGATAACGGATAAACAAACAGACTTCGTCTTCCCGGACTCAGAGGTTACAGCATGGATAGCCAATGGTGTGAACTTGGAGTCTCCTTCTAAGGTCTACACTTATAAGATGCGTAATGACGACTTTGACTCGGTGACTATTCCTCCGATTGAACCTATTTCCAAGGTACCTTCTAACCTACGCACAGCTTTGAGAAAGCTGCAGACATCTATAGGTACGAGAACTCTCAGATCTACAGGCAGATAACAGCAACGCAGACATCTACAAGGTTCGCGAACCCTAGGGTTAACTAACCCTTACATCAACAGGCAGGATGTTGACATCGACTCTATTACCATTAGGATGAATAAAAAGGAAGCAATGATGAAAACGGATGTTTTTTTCAGAGTTTATAACTCAACAAAAAGATCTACAACATGTGCGATATCTACAGTTTACAGCCTGCACAACTCTACAACCTGCACAAACCTTATACCTGTATAGGTTCAGTTTCGGACGACAACCTACTTGATGAAAGGAATCCCTTCATCTACACGGATGCTGAGGTCTTATACCGGGTAGCAGATGGCCTGCGGATATTGTCGTTCACTCACTCACTCCAACCCAACAGAGACTGAACAAGATTTTACACTTGGAGCAACCCTTATTCAAGAGGTTGATATGAGCGGGGGAGAATTACGCGCACTTTTACTCAACCAACTAATTGCACCAGATTTTATGGAGGCCAACTTGCTACAACACCGGTGACATTATGCTTGGAAGCTGATTGGTCCACGTCAGACAACGCCTCCCACTGACAGAGCAGGCACCAACAAGTTTACTGACTTGTAAACAAACCCGTGGTACGGGGGGAATACTTCATCGGCAGCCTTGGAAACAGTATACAACTACTGTTATCATCATGGGAATCTAATAGATGTCTAGCCTTGACAGCAGCATGAACGATGTTTATTTGGAAGTTGTTGCTGATAAAAGTCGGTATGAGTACCTGTCCCCTGCGATGCTACACTGGAGCCAGCCTTGCTATAAATAGACAACGCTTCGATGTATGCTGATCAACACAGATCGCCTGCGATTGTAAGGGGAAGAATGATGTATCGTCACTGCAATCAGAGGTTAGCACTTCCAATGGAACGTCCTACTGTTTGGAATATCGTCGGCTTTATGATTATTCATACGAATAACCAAGCCTACCGGCACCTATCTGCAGCATCGAGGTCTACGCAGTGCCGGTTATCTGGACGACGGCATACAGGTTCTTCAAAGTGCGAATCAACTCGGACAGCAGCTGAACTTCACAATTAAGTTGCTCACGCCACTAGGATGGCTAGTGAACCTGATGAAGTTGTGGTTAGAATCAAACAAGATCTTCAATTGCTGGGAATAAGAATTATCACAACACAGAATCGAATTGTGATCCCAGAAGATCATTGGGTCAAGATACAAGCCATGATTCCACAAGCAGTCATCTCTCCGTTAACACTACGAACATGGCAATGTCTACTCGGTCTACTAACCTTGACGCAGGACTTGACTGGCACAGGAAGGTTACAACTAAGGCCGCTGCAACGGTTCCTGACAAAACATCTGGACAGCATCGACCCTATCTTTTTGCCAGACAATCTTAAGAGGTACCTACTTTGGTGGACCCACAGATCGAATTCTGCGAAGGGACCTATTTACAAGAGCCTGCCTTCGATACACATCTCTTCTCTCTGTTCTGCAGAGGGAGCTGGTTTTATGCCTATGACGCCTGGGACTATTTCGATGAATATGGAAGTTTGTCGGGCTTCTTGTTAATCCCTCAGGTGCCTCGGCACCGGCAAATATTAGGTTGCCGGCTGCAGGGATTTACTGTATTCTGTCATAAATCCCGGTAGAAGAGTGACGGCGGGAGACACGGAAATACTCCGTGCCGAGATCCCGTCTCTGCTGAGCAAGACAACCATCGAGGTGGTTTCAAATGGTCAGGGAAATGTGGGGTTCGACTCAACTTATTTCCTCTTTACCATAAAGAACGGAATGTTCAGAATTATTCTTAACTGAGAGCTGAACAAGTTAATAGAGGTACTGTCCTTCAGGATGGAGACACCGCGCTCAGTGATCTCATCTGTCGAGACGTCGGCGAACGTCAATCGACCTCAAGGTCGCATACCTCCTTGTTCCAGTGCACCCCGATTTCAAGAATTCTTCTTCGGCGGGATGTGCTACCAGTTTCGTGTGCTTCCTTTAGGCCTTCCAAGGTGTTCAGCAAATTGAGGTTTATTCAAGCTCAGATAGCCAGATAGTAGTGCCGGTGTTGTCACCCATACCTAGGCAACTGGCACATCAGGGTTCTAGAATATCAGTTGTGTCTAAAACCTCGCGATCAGTGTTGGTCACTCTTAAGAAACTGGGCTGAATTGTCAATCTCAAGAAGTCGGACCTCGTCTTGGAGCAGGATCCGGTCTTTCTTGGGGTTGATGCAAGTTTGAGGATGAGACCCATGCAGCAACCTTTAGCAGCTGGGGTCTTACTCAAAGGGCTATGAGAGTTTTCTGGAGGCGCCAGAGTGGTTGATTCCTCATTTGCAGCATTGGGCAGACGTCGGGCGTCTTTCCAAGGGCCCTCCCCTGGAGACGCCATCGCTCTCCGTCCAGTCAGATACATGATCTGGGCGACCTGCGGTCTCTTGACAACGAAGTCACTACCTGTACATCAATGTGCTGGAATTGACAGCAGTCAGTTTGGTGTTCGATCCCACATGTAGGGTTTCGAATTACCTTAAGGTCAGACATTCTCACTCTGAACGGGGCGGCACTCCCGAATCCTCGGATTCTCTGGTGGCTTGGACTCTGTCGGGTCTAACCTCCAGGCACGCGGAATTTCTGCAGCTGTTGCAGACACAATTCTTTCTTTAAGGTGGGATTCGACCCCCATTCCTTATATTGATAGGTGGGGTGCACTGGTGTGCAGATAGGGAGATTTCAGAATCCCTATTCTGCAGATTTATTTCGGATATTGGAGTTAATATTACCCCGGTTTGGTTGAGAGCCTTATGGCCTCAAACCATTGCCGAGTACTCCATGGTTATTTCCATGTTTCACACCCCTTTCAAAGGTGCACTGCCTAGGCAGTAGTGGTGTTCCGATTAATTGAAATAATCGAAGATTGGTCAAAGTGACCAAGCAATCGATCACATTTTCTCATAATCGAACACAAACGATTTTGGAACTGCTGTTTTAGTGTTTGAAACACTTGACGATGGAGCATATCTTCGAAATTGTCAGGGCCTGAAAATTTGTTTAATTCTTAGAAAACTCACTGTCAGGACCTGAATATTTCTTGAAGACTCCAGAAAGTATATGTTCATGATATATTACTCAGCACTTTAAAGTGGCAAGTTGCATCATGTTATACGTATCTGCAATAACAACCTTGGTAGGAAAATCTGAAAAATGACGCTAACCAATTTTTTTCGATGAATGTTCGTTGATAATGAAGCAATCATCAATTGTGAGATTTCATCCAATTCCCAACACTACTAGGCAGCACCCTCTCGTACAGCGCTTCGTGTCTGGTCCTGACTTTTCAAGAAAATCGTCTCTCTCACTTCACTTGTTGACGTGGAAGACGGCTTTACTTGTGGTGATGAGCTCTGGTAGAAGGGTCGGGGACATACATGCGATATCCACTGACCCGACACTGACAGTATTTCATACTGATCATGTCCGTATTCGCCTCCCGGATACCTACCACTTTCAGATTGATATTGCTTTCCACGTGACAGCTCATATCGAACATCCACCGCTTACCCAGTCTTCCACATCGGGGACCGATCTTTCAAGTGCTCACCCAAAAGAGTGACTTTAACAAACGAATGAAAGGGATCCGTACGGGTACCCATGTGTTCTGTTTGGTGGCGGGGAAGACTGGGGAGTCTGCTAGCAAGCAGACTTTATCTCGTTGGCCTGTTTTCGTCATTGTTAGGTTACAATTGCTAAGATTTACCTTCCCCCCAGGGTTGAAGGCACACTTGGTGAGGGCAGATCCTGCTTCATTGACAATACACAGCGGCACTGCTCAATGAAGAGATCTGTTCTGCCGCTCTTTGGAGCCGGCCGAATACTTTCATTCGCCATTACCGACTTAACACCCATTCTAAGGATCGTGTTCGGTTCAGTCTTTCGTCTCTCCGGTGGAGAGTGTCCTGCCACCCTGACCAAGTGAGTAACTGGTCATTGGTATCGTTCTGTGTTCAATGTTGATATGGTTCATATCACTACACCGTCTCAGCCTTGCCACCCTTTCGGGTCGGGTCGGCTTTGGGTGTACAATTGTCCTTTCCGTCCTCTTCACCTAAAGGCAAGAGAGGGTGGGGCAGGTTTTGAACGCTATAACCAGTCATATGCTATTAACACGTCTTACAACGGAATTGGGTACGAACCGCCCATGGGTCACTGTTTGGAATGCCTCTCTGCCTCTCTGTTTGTCCTCGTTGGATTTCCTCAGAAAGTTTTTAGCGAGGCTAATAATTTATCTGGGTTTTATCGAGGTCCCGGGAAAGCCCTCTTCCAAACAGGAGGGGTGCATTCGAACCATTAGTGTGCAGTACTAATTGGCTCGACCCCGGTGTTATTGGCTTTTAAGCGTTTTTATGCTCTCCCTACCCTTATACCTCTCGACACGCTTCGCTGGTTTGGGCTCTTAAGGTTGGGAGTTGTTTCGGCATGTCCCCATACATTCCTTTCCATTGTAATGGTTGGGGGTGGGGTTTATGTCATTCTAGATTTGAGCCAATCGAAATATAAGCCTGGGCTCTCTATTTCCCGCCCTAGCCACACCCCTGCCTGATTGACATCAGCGGTCAGGTGACTAGGTATGTATGTTTTTCTATCTCCGATTCGGTCGTAGATCTAACTCCACAACGGGTTTAGTGTTGCCAGACAGAATACCACTCCCGACTTACAATCTTTGGGAGTCTGTCTAATGCTTATAAGTACCCCAAGGAGGATCTCTTTTGAAAAAGAATGTAACAAACCTGTAGAGGTTTCTGATTCTTTGAAAAGAGTCCTCCTTGGGGTAGAACAGCCCACCTCCCCTCATTCTGTCTGATACGTTCAGCATGAAAAGTGAGGTACAAGGTAAGCAGCCAGAGTTATATGCTCTTGGCTGTAGGGGGCCCTACGGGGTCCAGGTAGGGGTGGTCTCACAAGACAAAAACAAAATTTTTGGTTTTGTAAATATTCTTATTAAAATATTGTTACAACTGTCGTAGGATTTAAAATGGACATTTAAATGCTTATAAGTACCCCAAGGAGGACTCTTTTCAAAGAATCAGAAACCTCTACAGGTTTGTTTGAGTTTTACGCCACACTCAGCAATATTCCAGCTATATGGTGGTGGTCTGTAAATAGTCTGGACCAGACAATCCAGTGAGCAACAACATGAGCATTGATCTGCGCAATTGGGAACCGATGGCATGTGTCCATGTGTCCTGACGACCCGATCCCGATAGTCGCGTCTTATGACAAGCATGGGTTCGTGAAGATCAATCCTAACATATTAAGCTTACACTGTGTGATAGAAATGGAACACTCACATATTATGATTAAGACATGTTTATTCATGTATTGTATTCCAGAAATCAATGCTACACTTGTGAATAAGATTGGTCAGCTGAAGAAAGGCCATGGGGAAGGCTTCTTCTTTCCCATCGGTGTTGGTTGCAACAGCCACGGTGACGTAATTGTTGCAGACAACGGCAACGATCTTGTTAAGGTCATGAAGAAAGGTGTCCTTGACATTACCATTGGCATGCAGGCAGACAAGGTGGGTATCATGACAAGAATGAAATCTTTGAACAAGACACTAAAGTTGTGAATTTGTCATATATAATGTGTATAGTAGCTCAACTGATCAGTCATCGTAGATAGTTAATCATAATGACATGAAGGGTTGCAAAGATGTTTTTATATTATTTATGATCTATCTGTCATGTGATTAGATATCAACTACAGTTTTGATGTTATATGGAAATTGTCTCATGAGGCAAATTGTTGGATATGTTAAAGTATGTCCACATGTGCTGTCAAGGTCGGGACAGGGTGGACACAATGCTTTGACATAATGCCATGGAAAGTATGAGGCACATCAACCTTTAAAAAATAGTGAAGTGAAACGTCACCTAACTTTTAAAACACTGGTAGCCTTGTGATAAAAGCAGGCATTCTCACTATCACTTTCAATTTGTAACAATAATTCAACACAAAACTCTTTATCCAGAAGTGTACAAGGTGATACCAACAAAGAACAAAGTAATGGTCTACAATGAAAGGTTGTATCATATAATTTACTAGGTTTACAAACCTATACAATTTACTACAAAGTAATTTAAATGGCATTTGACAAGAGACTGTCGGTACAAATTTCAATGGGAGTACAATTACAGGGGCAGTATTGACTATTAAGATTAGCAGGTGCAGTTGTAAAGTCAGTGATGATAATAGTGCAGTGGCTTAGGGTGAAAGTAGATACTTGGCGGACTAAAACATGAAACTTTGCATAGTGTTGGGGAATATCATGATAAAACATATTTTCTGGGGGTGCCCGATTTTTGGGGCCCACTTTCCCTAAAATTCAAGATGGCATCCAAGATGGCTGCCAAAAATCAAGGATTTCCAATTTTTACACTATATGACTTTCCCCCGCTGGTTTTATAGCAGAAAACCTTGCACAATGCTTGGGAACATAATGCTAAAACATATTTTTGGGGTTTGCCCGGTTTTATGGGCACATTTTCCGAAAAATCCAAGATGGCCCCCTAAAAGCAAGGATTTCCAATTCTAACACTATTGTGACTTTACCCCGCTGGATTAAAACAGAAAACCTTGCACAGTGCTAGGGAACATCGTGATAAAGCATATTTTGGGGATGTGCTCGAATGTTGGGGCCTATTTTCCCCAAAATCCAAGATGGCCACCAAAAATCAAAGAGTGCTGAAGTCCACCCAGAATGGTCGCCGACTATGAAAAAATTATTCATTGGTTCAATATGTGAGATATATTCGCCGTTCAAAGGGCTATTCTAATACTTTCAAGAAATATAACAAACAAGATTTATGTGTAGTAGTAAAATATATAATTCATCATCCAATTAATGAAAAGGTTACTGTTTTGATCAGTCACGTGACATCAATTTGTCAAACATCGATCTCTGTGATTCTGAAGTCTCCTTTAACAGTTCCCATTGTAGTTACAGAGCGATGTGCACAGAAATTGAGAAGATTTACAAATGCACTTCTTTGAGCATAGAGGTTGAGACTTGCAGCCACATTTGATAATGCTGTTGATAATGGTACCAGCGAAAAACCTATTTCAATAGACACTATTTCAAGCTCTTCCAAACCTACACTTCCAGGCAGTTGTATAGTTCCTGCAGTAGCCTGCAATGTGGAGAGAGTTAATGTGCCTATAACTCATCATCAAGTCGAAGACAAGATCACCAAAGCTAAGAAGAATCTTGGATCAAGCACTGCATTGGCCTTCTCGCTGAAGAACATTTGGAAAAGGATGAGTTGCCTGGTGCATTTCATGCTTCTCGTCAATCCCAGGAACAGGTTGCAGCAGGAATAAGTTCTCTTCTTCCTCTTCTTTAAAGACAAAGCCACAAGTCTTGCCATGGTTAGGTATGGTATGTCTATTATCAAGACAGTCACAGGACATTGCAATCCAGGACAACTCCCAGTCATGGCTATAGCCCAACCACATTTTGCGCTAGCTATATATGTTCAATGGAGATGGCCTAGTGGTGAAGATGTGTACACTTTCATGCTTGGAGGTCTTCACATTGAAATAGCCTTATGGAAAATGGCTGGAGACTTGTTGAAAGATTATGGATGGACTTCAGCACCAACAGAAGCAGGTATTGCCCAAGTGGAACAGCTGAATCTTTCATTTCAGCGTCTCACGTTACAAAGACATGCTCATCAAATAGCTGCTGTATCAAATAGCAAGTCTTCAAAGCGATGCTTACATGTTCTCACTGAAACCGCATATTCAACAATCATTTGAAGACTGGCTGGAAAAATTGGATGTCAGAAAACATTCCAACATTCAAATTCTGGGATTTGATTCTTCATCTCGAGACAATGATACCAATCTGTGTGAGATCCCATCGCGGAAGAAAGATGTCTCTGTACATACAGGTAATGGAACAACTTGTCCCTTGGTTCTTTGCTCTTGATCACACCAACTATATACACGCAGGCTGTCAGTTCACATCAGAGATATGAAAGCCTTTCCTGTTGACAGAAGAGAGTCCATTCAGAGAGGTTTGGTTTTCCCCAAAAACATCAAACACATTTGCTGCCATACTTTTGGATCAAGCTCATGAGCAAAACAGCAAAGTTGTAAAACACTCAGGTGGTGCAGTTGCATTAACAGAAAATGTTGCCTTAACTAGATGGATGATATTTGGACCAGAACAAGCAAGAATTCTGCAAGAGTTTGAGAAGCAAGATGACAAGGTGGATACTAGAAGCAATGAACAAGATTTTGCTACACAGCAGACATATAAGACTCAAGTCAACAACTTTTGTGGCACAGTTGCTTTGATGGGAAATCCCTTCCTGGAAGAGTCTCCTGAACTGATGACCCTTGATGATCATCAATGTGTTGGTGAAGCTGTCGTAGCATCTATGGAAACAATGGAGAAGACAGGAAAAGACAAATATGAGAAGTTTGTAAAGGACAGAGTCAATTCACAACCCCATTAAGATAAATCACCTTTTTTCAAGCCACCACAAACAAACCCTCAGTCTAAATCAAACAGCAAACGAATGACCTGAAAAATGGCTACAGTCTCTTCAGTCAGATGTTCATTGATTGTCAGGTACGTCAACCTAATTTAAACCAATTCTTTTCTCATGAAAACCACCCGTGGCCACCATCCATATCAATTCATGGAAAACTTCATTTACCAAACTGCAAATCAGAGCTCTTAGATTGTCTTGCATCACCTGGGTATGACTCTGCTCGAGACAACACGAGAAAAGCGAAGAAAGGCAGTAGAAGAAAAGTTTCCCATCATACTAGACTACCAATGATCTATGTTGCTTTTCTAAAAAAATCAAAGGAAAGAGAAGAACTATTTGCATTCATAACAGATGATGTGGCTAGCAGCTCTTACAAACAATGAAAGGTTGTGTTCATAACAGCTGTGGAGTCAGTGGTTACAGTAGGACGTGAAGAGGATATGCAGTGCACTGATCATGAAGAGGCGGGTATCCGAATCTGCCTTCATGTCAAAGATGCTTTGCAAAAAGGTGCTACAAACGTCATGGTTTAGCACTGTCGACCCAAATGTTGTTGTCCAAACTGGTTGAACCAAAGTCTGCTGTTCAGCTGCGGGTGTCATTAGGGAACGGGAAAAACGTCAGATGTTATCACATAAACAGAATATTCCAAAATCTTGGCTGTCGAAGATTGGTGCTTCACTTCACGCATTCACTTGTTCTGACACAACATCACAGTTCAGTGGAAAAAGGAAAAAAGGCAACTGCTTTGAAGACTTGGATATCCTATGAGGATGTGACTGAGAGATTTCCTTTTCCTGCACAGCATCCATTCCAGCCTGTGAACAAAGACTCAGAAGTGTTTTCATAAGTTGAGCGATTCACATGCATCTTGTCTGACACAACTACATCAGTGAACACAGCCAAAGAACTGTGACAAGAGATGTTCTGCCAAAGCCGTAAGATCAAGTTTGATGCCGAACCTTCCTCCAACTCAGGATGCTTTGCTACAGCACACAAACAGGAGCTTGTACCAGGCCAGCATATGGCTTACTTGTTTACTTCTCAGACAGAAAGCATCAGAGCCAGATTTATTTGGTTGGACAAAGGACAACAACCCATGGCTACCGGTGTGGATGACACTGCCAGAAGCTTCAAGAGGTTGTTGAAAATTTGGCTACAAGTCTCAACCTCTATGTTCAAAGAAGTGTATTTGTAAATCTTCTCAACTTCTATGCACATCGCTCTGTAACTTCAATGGGAACTGTTAAAGGAGTCTTCAGAATCACAGAGATCGATGTTTGACAAATTGATGTCACAGTAACTTTTTCATTAATTGGATGATGAATTACATCTTTTACTACTAAACATAAATCCTGTTTGTTATATTTCTTGAAAGTATTCAAATAGCCCTTTGAACGGCGAATATATCTCACATATTGCAACAAATGAATATTTTTTTATAGTCGTCGACCATTCTGGGTGGTCTTCAGCACTCTTTGATTTTGGGTGGCCATCTTGGATTTTTTGGTAAATTGGCCCAAACATTCAGGCACATCCCCAAAATAAGCTTTATCGCGATCTTCCCTAGCACTGTGCAAGGTTTTCTGCTTTAATCCAGTGGGTAGTCACAATAGTGCTAGAATTGGAAATCCTTGCTTTTATGGGGCCATCTTGGACGCCATCTTGGATTTTTCGGAAAATGGGCCCAAAATTCGGGCACATCCTAACATTATGTTTTATCATTATGTTCCCAAGCACTGTGCAAGGTTTTCGGCTATAAAACCAGCGGGGGAAAGTTATATAATGTTAAAATTGGAAATCCTTGATTTTTGGCAGCCATCTTGGACGCCATCTTGAATTTTTCGGAAAGTGGGCCCCAAATATCGGGCACCCCCCCAAAAATATGTTTTTTCATTATATTCCCCAACGCTATGCAAAGTTTCATGCTTTAGTCCGGCACGTAACGATCAACCTCAAAATCGGACCTAAGCCACTGCACTAAATACAGTGTGCTATTTTGCTATTTACAGGTTACCTTCAGTAACAGGTTGCACCACGCAGAGGAACCAATAAATCCTCCAACACCTTTTTGAAGTCATTGTGTGTTTTAATTTGGAAGTAAGGGACTGGAAGTAATATGTCTCTCTCTGCGTGACTTGTTACAAGCAGAAACATTTGTGTACTCATAAATTAGTTAAGTAGCAGTAAACATATAATTGAGATTTATAAATGAAGGTAATGCAAAATTGAAACAATCATTCATCATTTATCATCATGGGTCCTGGTTCTGTTGAATGTATCTGATACTCACTGCTCACTGTTATGACAATTTTATTTTTAAACTTATCCTATTATATCTCACGACTTGCACCTCACTTGTCCAATTAGGTTACTTTTTAGATCCAGTGACATTATATTATGGTACAACCGAAGTTTTCATGGTGCAGCCAAACCTATAACTAGTATAAATGTTGGTGCAGGTACTGAATAAAAATGAAATCCCACCTTGTAATAATCACAGAGAAGCATTAGTGGTGAAGCTGCCCAAACAGGCCAAGGCTGGGAATCCAGGGCGAAAAACATGATCTTCACACAACTGCTGGTCTTGACATAATGTGAGATATTATTGGCCACTTTACTGGGATCACAAGCCCCACATGTTGTACATGATGGTGTACAGGCGAGGGGTAGCCTAGTGGTTCAAGTGTTAGCTCATCTTGCTGAAGAAGCAGGTTTGATTCCCCACATGGGTGCATTATGTGAAGCCCATTTCTGTTGTCCCCTGCAGTGATATTGCTGGAATATTTCTGAAAATTGGCATAATACCTAGCTTGTTCAACCCACATGATGGTTTACACTGAATGCCTGTAAGATTTGTCCATAGGAAAGCGTTGTAAGTGGTGGGGTTTGCTGGACTTATGTCCTGGCCTGATTCAAACTGTAACACTTTGGCTTACTAGGAGCTGGAGTCTTAGCATCTGCCATGATGCTGCAGACCTTCTGGACTTGCTATTCTATAGGGTATCTCTTCCACCAAAAGGGGCAGTGGGGTAGCCTAGTGGGTAAAGCATTCACTCGTCACACTGAAGACCCGGATTTGATTCCCCACATGGGTACAATATGTAAAGCCCATTTCTGGTGTCCCCTACCGTGATATTGCTGAAATATTGCTAAAACCGGCATAAAACCAAACTCACTCACTTACTTCCACCACAGTGTTCTCTTGGTATAGCACCTTGACATGTTCAGTCACATGATGTTTGAAGTCAGAGGTCATCGTGGTGGTTTTCTTCTGGTTTGAGTCCCTGTTTATCTGCCACATACTGGAGACAGTAGACTGTGAAGAAGAAGAGATATGGGGTCTTGTTCTGCACCAGAGTTTACTTCTCAGACAAAGGCCAATATTGGGTTCTCAGACCAGAAGATGGTCACAGAGTTGGCAGATGGAATTGGGCAGCTTCCTGAACAGCTGCTCTCCTGCCTTCAAGTCAAACATATTGTTATCTGTGTGAAGACCCAGCATGAGATAGCTCTGTTCAGGAATGTTCCCTAGCAAGGAGTTCATCGCAGCAACTCATGAAAAACTCACAGAGTTGGATGTATGTACAATATGTAAAGCCTAATTTTAGTGTCCCCACCATGATATACACTCTGGTGGAAAGAAATATTGGAACGTATAACAGGGAGCATTTGCTTCACATGCTGAAGCTAGCAGCCCTGAAAATGGCAGGATTTTAGGTCAGTTTACTTTACTTTTGATTATGTTGCTAAGTTTGTGTTCATGAGTTTAACTAAAAGATGATTACTGGTGTCCCCCTGCTGTGATATTGCAGGAATATTGCTAAAAGCGGCGTAAAACTAAACTCACTTTTTGAGTTTTACTAAAAGATAAATGGCACTGAAATTCTCAACCTCTAGGAAGATGGAGCTGCTTTGTATTGTCATACAGGTCATTACATGTCCGACACAGGGATCATGGGATCAGAACTTCATAATAGCACTGTTGAAAGTTCTGCTATCTAATCTACAAACGCTTACCATCTAGCTCATGGAGAAGTGACATTGCCCAAGTTCGAAGATGATCAAAGGGGACATCTTTGTGAGCATGACGAGTGTATTTTTAGCCACTGCATGATACGTAGTAGATCCTGTTAATTCTTCTTCACCAGATAGAAGGTTGAAATGTGATGACTTCAGCTTGTTGAGGTACCTTATATCACCTTGTTTTCAGTGTTTCTCACAGAGCGGAGTATCACTGTCTCGTCCCTCCGCAGTTGTAGTCAACGAGAAGGATGAGTTGTTTGTGAAGGATGCCACAGGAATATTCAAGTTTGATGACAAAGGAGTTCTTCTGGAGCAGATTGGTCAGAAGATTCTCAAAAGACCTTATGGTGAGAAATACATCTCAAAACTGAAGACCACACCTATGTAGTAACCCATGCTTGTCGTAAGAGGCGACCAACGGGATCAGGTGGTCAGGCTCGCTGGCTTGGTTGACACATGTCATAGGTTCCCAATTGCACAGAGCGATGCTCATGCTGTTGATCACTGGATTGTCTGGTCCAGACTCGATTATTGACAGACCCCCGCCATATAGCTGGAATATTGCTGAATGTGGCATAAAACTAAACTCACTCACTCACTATTTAAGTGATATCAACACGATCAATGATCATACGAACGTATGGGCTGGACAATGATATATATGTATGAAATAGTTGTAAAATCATACTATGGCCAAACAAAAAATAATATTTTGTCAAAAATGGGGATTTTCAGAAATTATAGTCAAGTTGAATTATCTAAATTTATACTCCAATTTGGGAATTCTAACATTTGCTGTAAACCCAAGACCCAAAGAGCTGCTCCTTCAAGTAACAAGTTCCCATTTCCTATCATTTAATACTTTTAATGCTCTATCACAGAAATGGGGCGGTAGGGTAGCCTAATGGTTAAAGTGTCCACTGTTCACGCTGAAGACCCGGGTTTGATTTGAATCATGGGTACCATGTGTGAAGCCCATTGGTGTCCCCTGCCTTGATATTGTAAAGTGATACTCATTCACTCATGACAGAAATATTTGCAGTGAAGAGCATGGAACATAATACCAAAATGAAAAAGTGACATTTTCACTCTGTCACCTTTCAGTTTAGAATATTAAATGTTTAATAACGGAAAAAGAAACCATATTTCATATTAAGTTTGATAAAGATGAGTTTTTTGGCAACTAAATAATGTAACTTTCAATGGATATTTATGAAGACATCTTAAAGGTCTTAAAAATCATAATTTGTATGTTTGAATATTTGTTGGAATCATTATGCTCTTACACATGATTTTGTTAATGTGAACAGTACCCAGTAATTGTTTGGCTATCAGGTGCTCATAAATACACTTTTGTCCTGTTGTACACAATGCCAGAGCTTGTTGATGATCAGCATTGATTGGAAGGTCTTAAAACAATTAGCCAGACATTTCAGTTTTCATCAGGCACTATGTGTATCTCTTTTGAGATGTTTTCAACAGAAACAACTCACTGCAATAGCTGACTCAATCTCATTGTTAATCGCCATTAAAATTTGCGTATGCTCACCAGGTTTCATTATTAGTGATATTTCAACCCTTTGTGCAAATAGCAGACGTACCATACACAATAAATTTCAACCACGTTTTATTCAGTATCAAGCTATATGTGGATACTTACTACTGATTTAGGTGAGTACAATGTTAATAACAAATTGTTAGAATAGCTATATATTCTTTGGAAAAGTTAATACTAATTTTGGCAAAAAAATATTAATTTTTCCATCAGTTTTTGGCCAAAATACTAATTGGGCTAAATTAGGGTTGGCATCTCTGAGTATGTCTGAAAGGCCCCTGGACACCTATCATGGCTAACAGTGTGTGGACCAAGCAAGTTGTGACTTGTAGCTGTCTAATTGTGTTCTTGTTCCAACAGGACTTGCACTGTCCTACAATGGACACTTGGTGACCCTTGATGTGACGAGGTCCGATCACTTGCTGTATCTCTTCAAGCAGAATGGTGGGGTGTTCCCGATGCAGTGTCTTTGGTCCACTTAGCAGCAATATGGCAGGCTCCAAGTGCCGCTTTCTGGAAGTCTTCAGAGACAGGGTCCTTGTCAGCGATCTTGGTAGGTGTCAATAGTCTTTCCCAGTGATATTGAGTATTTTACAAAATCTGTGATGTTTTTATTTCCATGTTCTACATTCAGCCCACTCAGTAGGGGCATTGTCAAGTATCACTGTTGTATCCTCAATGTCTCTTGAGAGGACCAGGGCGATGGGGTGGTTAAAGCGTTCGCTCATCATGCAGAAAAATCTGGGTTTGATTCAACCCATGGGTAAAGTGTGTGAAGCCCATTTCTGGTGTTCAACGTGATATTGCTGGAATAAATATTGCTAAAAGTGGCCTAAAACTAAACTTACTCACTCTCACTCTTGAGAGGACCATCATCACCATCAATGATCATGGTGTTGCATATTGTGATAACATGGATATATTAGTTTATTGCAGTTTGAACATGTTTTATTGTGCTCTGTTTAGGCCTTAGTGTGATGTACTTGGGGAACCTTTGTGGACAAGTGTTCCACTGTTTCGGACACTATGGAACCAATCCAGGATTCTTCCGTGAACCATCAGGTGTGGCCGTAGACTCTGCCGGGAACTGGATAATAGCCGACAGCAAGAATGACAGAATACAGGTAAGTGGTGTAGGGTAGGGGTATGCTTTGCTTCACTGCACTGCTGAGTATGTACTGTTTGGAATTATTTTGAGTGTAGGTTTGGAGCAGATTTGATTCTTGACTGATGAAAATATGATTTTTCCAAACAATTTGAACAAGGCCCAGGTCTTCTCAAGATGCACCCGTGAAGATCCGTGTTAGAATTAATCTTCAGTGAACTATGCTTGTCACTTGAGGCGACTAAAGGGATCGGGAGGTTAGGGCCCCTGACTTGGTTGACACATGTCATTGTATCCCAATTGCGTAGATTGATGCTCATCATGCTGATCACTGGATTGTCTGGTCCAGACTCGATTATTTACAGACTGCCTCCATATAGCTGGAATATTGCTGAGTGCGGCGTAAATTTCACTCTTCCCAAGATGGGTAGGTTCTCGACCAACTCCATCATCTCTACCATTGTTTCTTAGGTATTTTCACCTGACGGGAAGTACCTGTTTCCCATCAAGCTGTCTGATCCAATCTACCGACCGTCTGACATCATGCTGACACGGAACAGACACCTGCTAGTTGTCAACTACCTCACTCACTCTGTCAAAGTCTACAAGTTAGGATGAAGCTCATTCCCTGACAGGCCACCATTACCTGCTCTGACTTTCTATGTACAACCTGTCCTTTGTTTCTGTCTCATCATCTTCATCTATTATTACATTTGCTAAGTCCTATATTGTTTCAATAGTGTGTGTCTAACCTGTCATATCAGTGTTTAGCACAGCCTTCTGTCTGTCCTGTCATCAGTGCCCTTCTTGTGGGTCTGGCCAATCTTTATTGTCCGTCCTACTTGTCCTGTGTCCGTCTTCCTGTCCTTTGTATCAATCCCTCCCAAACATGCCTTTTCTCATGTTCTTGATGGGGTGAAATGATGCGGCTAATGTTGTCAGAGATATTCCAATGTCATTCTCCTGAAAGTGTTTGTAAGGCTATGATATTAATCTTACATTTTTGCTGAATGGTCAAAACCATTTACATATTTTTGAAAGTGCTGATCAACAATTGATTGTGCCTTTTCTCCAATTCAAAGATTTGTTCTTACATGTGTTTCCGTATTTAACCTAAAATATATATAGTGCTCCATCATACTACTGATCTTTGTGTTGACACTTTGTTGAAAAAACATAACTCGGGTAATGAGCATGTCCTGCAAAAGAATGGGATCTAACAATATGCCCTGTAGCATGGCACTATGGTGTCTTGATGTTATGGTAGTAATGGAATATGTGAAAACATTATATCCAAAATCTTAAGAGGATTAGCATGAACATGTCACTGATGCTCTCAGAAGACACTTGCCCATGCATTGCTGACTTGGAGCAACTGGGTGAGGTGAGGTGAGGTGAAATTGGGTTTAACGTCGTGCTTGAGAATATTTCGCTCATATGACGATATACATGCGTGTGTATGTGTATGTGCGGCTGCTTGTACTAGCCCAGACTTAAGCTGGTTTTATAGTGCTAGCCCACTGAGATACCATGCCACAGTGAAGCATGAATACCCCACTCAGACACATTATACTGACTCTGAGCCGACCAGTCCTTGTTGTAACCATTAATACCAACAAGTACCATATTTTAACGTCTTTTGGTATGACACGTTCGGGGATCGAACCCGCAACCTTCCGCTCTCCGGGCGGACGCTCTAACCACTACACCACGGAGGCGGTCTGGAGCGACTGGGATACCTTTGGGGTGGAATAAAGTAACTTTAAGAGTCATTCTAGAAAAACGAGATATCTTAAGTAAAACATAGCCTTTATACTTCGCAGTGAACTCATGTCTACACACGCTTCAAGTACAACTTGTATGTATCTCACAGAATAATCATTAGAGTAAACATTGTCTTGTGCTTTCTTACACAAATTTACATCAAAGCTGTTTGAGAATTAGCTGCTCAAATGGCAACCTTTGTAATGTGTACATGAATTATATCCTCAGATTGGAAGTAAACATGCAGTTCAGATTTGTTTCCTTCTGAAACATGTTCTATTTGTCTTATGTTATTGTCAGACTTCAACTAGTCAAACCATGTTCCTCTAGCCATACAGGTTAATCATTTCTTTGTTAAAAAAGGGCACCATGTTCATGAAACCACAAGTCTCTTGAATTCACTGGATCCAATGGTGGTATTGCAATATTGTCCAGGTTCAAAAACATTAAAAACAACAACAGCTTTACAGTACAGAAAAAAGTATAATGAATATCAATTTCTTGTGTCTGTATTTATGTTATCCTAAGAGACAAGTCCTTTCAAAGACCATGTGTATTCTTGCCTTTCCAATAGAAACGAATAAGGGAACACCTGCAAGTACAAGTATTCCTTTATTTATTTCCAGAATTTCACTCATTGCAATACATACCTTGTGAAGAAACCTAGAAAAGAATAAAGGAACAATTGTACTTTCGTGTGTTCCCTTATTTCTTTCCATGAGTATACATGCATAATTTCCTCAGTCCAGTTTTTGTTGAGCTGAATCTTTAAAAATTATCCATGATGTAGTCCAAAATGAATGAAAGGTGTGAAGGAACACCATATTCTTGCCAGATAGTATAAACATGTAAATGATTTTCATTACTTTTGTTCATTTTCTGTCTCCAGCTAAACATAGAAACAAACGCTTCAGTTTATGTTGAACTACTTGCTTAATATGTTCCTTATTTCAGTTTGTTAGTTAACTATTTATTTCCTGCAGTACAAGAATCATGTGGTTGGTTGTTTATTTAGTCACCAAGAAGGTACACAGATAACTTTTTGAGTGGCATTTAGAAGTTGGTGTTTGAACAACGATGAGAGTTCTATGGATATACATGCTTGATAACAGTGTTCAGGGCTCCAGATAACTTTTGGGGGTGTGAGTGTACTTACATCATAGTGGAGGTGTACTGAGAATTTTGAAGGAGTACTGACATGTTTTTGTGTGAGCGAGTTGATGTGGTTTGTCTGGACGATTCATCGATCACTATTTTCAACCATGTATTTGAAGACGCGTGAGAAATAACTGAACGACTGTGTGATGCGCGAAATGTCAGGTCCGACTGGATATAAATAGGAACAGTTTAGTTTTAGCCAATCGAAAAATAGTGACGCATATCGTTGCATGGCAACGCAAGGGATTCCTACTGTCGGTGTTTCCTTATGTGTCAAATCGTGCTTGGCAAAAGAAACTTAACAAGTATTTATCCGAAATAGATTTCCATTTGCACGATACGCACGGAAATTAAATGTTAGACGTACGAAGGTATTTATGTGCGTACACGATACGCTTGAAATCTGATATTGTGTTTTACTTCATTGATTGAGGCATACATTACGCCTGTACGCCCCTTATCTGTAGCCCTGAGTATTAGTAGCTACACTGAAAAAGTTTGCTGATATTAATAATAAAGAAGTTGCATATCCATAAAACTCTCCTCGTCAGGTGTTTTCATTTCTGTGCTCTGTATTAAATTAACCACATTACAATGTCCTTCCACAAGAATTGTTGCTCTAAACAAACATTGACAGTTATCAGTTGAACTGATGGTTATTTTGTTGTGGTGAAATAAACCATTTGTCTGACCCTTGTGTGCGATTGGTCCAACAGACTGAAACTTTCAAATTGGAATTTGGTGATCTTCCTGACAATAAAAGTGTGGTTTTATGTCCCTTTCATCAGCAGTATCACCAAGGTGGACACCAGATATTGGCTTAACACATTGTACCCACGAGGGGGTGAGGTGAAATTGGGTTTGACATTATACTTAAGAATATTTTTTTCACTCATATCATGCCAGCTCACTGGGATATCATGTCGCAGTTAAGCATGAATACCCCGCTCAGGTACATTATACTGACTCAAGTCGACCAGTGCTTGTTTTACCCATTAATGCAGAGAGCCAGGCAAGTACCATATTTTTATCGTCTTTTGGTATGATGCGACCTTCCTCTCTCCAGGCAGACGCTCTAACCAATTGACACCACAGCGGCGGTTATACCCAGGAGGAGAATCGAACCCGGGTCTGGAGCATGACAAACAAGCACTTAAACCACTATGCTCCCCCACAACCCCTCTTCTGACAAGCAAGAGAGTGCTATTCAAATATACTGGGTATTTAATAATTTAGGAAAACAAGTCAGTGTGAGATATGTTTCTTCACACTTGGTTCAACTCGACTTACATACTAAGTCAAACAGCAAAACACCTGTCAACAGGATAACGAGTTTATCATATGTACAATATATTTACATATTTTACAAAAATAAGTGATAACAGCACTATTTAGGTTGCATAACTACGATCACACATGTAGCTACACTACACATAAATGTCACAATAAACAAATTACTAATGAAATTTCATTGACAGGACCTTTCATCATTGAAGCAATATTGACAATTTTAGGCCATGGTCTTACCGGTAAGTTATTTGCTCAACAGTCTACAAGTGTGAACATCTTAGCAACTTGTCCACCACTAGAAGACATGAAGACACAGAATCGGACAAATCACAACTGCCTTTTCATGACTGCCATTTCCACTGATTTCTTTTCAGAACACCACAAGGCCAGACCAATTTTATTTCTTGTTTACGGATCTGCCCGTCGTATTTTTTCAAGAATAAGAAAAAAAATAAAATTAATTTTCCCCGCTCAAAAAATAAAATCCAAATGTTTTCATTGGCCAAAAAATATATATAAACATACAAGAATTTTTGTTTTAGATTGCCCCATATACACTTCATAAATTGCCAAAAGTAACACTTTGAGTATTTAGAAGGAATATTACTTTGACTTGTGATTTTATTTTATTTTTTCCCCTCCTGCCTTTAGGTTTTCTGAGGACAAAAATCCGAAAAACAAGAAATAAAATTGATCTGGCCTAATGAAGAATGGTCATTTGACATATTCTTTGTGGAACCCAGAGGATATTTCTGACAATATATTCAGGATGATTTCATCATTGACGATTGCTTGATAGCTTTAACTGACTTCCTACTTTGCTCACGTTAGGTAACCACATTTATTTCACCCGTTATTTCTGTTCATGTTTAGACATCAAGATCCTTTCAGTTGGCTGTTCTGTGTTTTCCCAGTCCTGCACGGCCCAGCTTACTCTTCTTTGTAGGTGGTGCTGCTTCATCCTCATCAGCAGGGTTTGTGTTGTGTGGAGCTTGGTTCTCCTCGTCACTGCCTTCACTGCTGTTAGAGGCCTGCTGGGGACAAAGCACCAGGAATAACCAATCTAATCTACAGGCCAAAAACTTATTGGGATGGTTTGTTTGTTTGATAACCCATGAAGATCCGGGTTAGAATTGATCTTCAGCAACCCATGCTTGTCGTAAGAGGCTACTAACAGGATCAGGTGGTCAGGCTTGATGACTTGGTTCACACATGTCATCGTGATCTGAATTGCGTAGATCGATGCTCATGCTGTTGAATACTGAATTGTCTTCTCAAGACTGAATTATTTACAGACCGCTGCCATATAGCTGGAATATTGCTAAGTGCGGTGTTTAGCAACAAACCTACAAAATTGTAGTTTAATGTCACACTTGGCAATATTCTAGACATGTAACATAAGCCTGCAGTAATTGACAACTACTCAGATACACAGCTAGTGGCCAGGACAGAAAAATTAAAACATTTTGTGTGTTATATCCATCAGTTCGCTATAAGTGTATTAGTTATAAACTGTACTACAAAATTAGCTTTGGACTAAAGTAGCATGATATATTTGAGAAATCTCAGAAATTTGTCCAAGCCAGAAACTTAGGTTGCATCTTTCAGGCAACAATATTGACCGAACATCATACAAATGCAGTATGCAAGGTTGCTTACTACCACCTGCCAAATATCAGTCAAATCAAGCGGTATGTAGGCATTGCGGCAACCAAGACACTTATCCATGCTTTTGTGACATCTTGGCTGGATTACTGTAATTCACTGCTGTATGTATCGAACCAACTTTGCCTGAGCAAACTTCAGAAGGTACAGAACTCAGTGGAAAGATTGATAAGTGGAAAGCGCAAACACGAGCATATTACGCCAATCTTATACGACCTACACTGGCTTCCAATTCGCCATCAGATTGTTTCAAATTACTGATGTTCATGTTTAAAGCTCTTCGTAGTCTTTTAAGCAGATACCAACCTCGGAGAACGATGCGGTCAGCAACTAAATCTTCAGCAACGAAATGTCCCCAAAACTAGAACAACAATCTAAAGTAACAGGAGTTTGCCAAAGCAGGCCCTGCACTCTGGAATTAACTCCCACCAAATATCCAGCAAATCAATGACTGAGATATTTCAAAGTGAGCTGAAGACCCCCTTGTTCAAATGAGCCTGTGACCTGCGCCTTTGAGCAAATTTTGGATTTAGGCTCAATACAAATATGAACTTTATTATTATTATAGATAAGTAGATTTTAGTGCATTTAGTACCATCAGAGCTAGGCACCGACTTGCCAGAACACAATGTCAGCAATCTAACCCACTCAGCTTCCACAAACAGGGAAGTCAACTGGTAGTCTAGATCAAGTACCTTGTGCATCTCTCTGACTCATGGCCGAAAGCTATGGAAACAATGCCATTTAGAAAGTGGTCAAATGTAACATGTTTTATTTGTGATCACACTTTCTCAGTAAAGTACAGATTCCAGTATTTTGGGGGTTGATTCCAATTCAGGGCTTTCTAAAGGACATTTGCCAATGTGATATTAAATTTTACTCACTCACAAACCGTGAAGATCCGGGGTAAAATAGGTCTTCAGCAACCCATGCTTGCCACAAAAGCGACTAACGGGATCGGGTGGTCAGGCTCGCTGACTTTGTTGGCACGTGTCATCGTTTCCCAATTGTGCAGATCGATGCTCATGCTGTTGATCACTGGATTGTCTGGTCCACACTCGATTATTTACAGACCACTGCCATATAGCTGGAATATTGCTGAGTGCGGCGTAAAAACTAAACTCTCTCACTCACAGTGTCAATAGGATATTATCAGGGTCCTGTCTAGTTATTTCCAGGTCACCATCATTTAAGTACAACACTGCTGAACAAAACAAACTACTCCGCTGTTAAACCATATGTTGAAAGAATGTCATGTGTCCTCTACTGTCTCAGACTGTTGTCTCACCTCCCCATTTTGTTCCCCTCCAGCCTCTGCATCCTGATCCATCTCTTCTTCGTCCTCATCAGACTCTTCCTCCATCACAGCCTGTACTGCTGCTACGTTGATGCGGAAGTCTCGCGATGTGCTTACTTTCATATAGTCCATCAAGTTTACCTTAAGAATTAAAAGGTTTTCAAATGACACTGGCAAATGTGAGAGGCTTTTGACAATCATTAGTCAACAAACTAGTTTTAACAATCTTTGCAAAATTTACTTCTGAATTATGTCTGCCATAGACACTTCTTGGATCTCTGAAGAAGATCACATGAGACATACCAAAAGGACTGTCTGTATCAACTTGTTGATGGTTTTGTTTTGAGTGACTGATTTGGGCTCTACTCTGCTCTTAGCAATAATCCAGCAATATCACAACATCGGACACCAGAAATGGGCATCACACATTGTACCCATGTAGGAGAATCGAACTCGGGTTTTCAATTTTAGCGTGATTCTGCCAGAAAACGCTTTAACCACTGGACTACCCATGTGGGAATTCACACACATCGCACCCATGTTGGGAATCATCAGTTTGTAAATAATCAAAATATTTGTTTTGAGCTTTCACAAAATAAGAAATGTCAACAAATTAAACTACATCAAAGAAACTCATTACTCACTAGAGGCATTAAGTTGCAAGTTGTTGAAGGCACAGCACCATTTTAGCATGTGTGGAATTCTGCCAGAAAACCTATGATCAAAATTTTGTAGTTCATCCTTAATTATGTTTCTATTATGGCTTTAAAATTGTCTAAAATAAACATCAGCTACTAAGCCCAGAACATCTTTTGATGACACCAGCATAAAGAGGAGTGTTTCATGTATTATAATGAATTAATTAGAGCTGTCAACTAACACCAGTAACGGTTTGGACAGGAATGGTAACGGGCTGGACATAAACCTTAATTTAATTCAGCATAGAAACAGGTAACATGAAAGGAAAAAATGATATCATTTACTTCAACTGCTAACCCTATTTTGGACAGACAGTGAAATGTGTATTAGAAATTGTAACTTGTGACTTGTTTTCTTTCATTCACTCGGATACCTTTAGTTTTTGTTAATCGTAAGATGGTAACACATATTTATCAAATCAAAGGTTTGGCCAACATATTAGCACCTAGCAAATATTCAAAGTAAATGGTAGCCTTACATATCTCACAGTTAAAGTTAAAACAGTTTACACCCAAAAAAATCTTTAAAGGTTGGAATACAATTAAGTTGTTTACCATTACTACATTTTGTCCAAACTGTTACCATAGAGGTCCTAACCGTTACCTTTAATTCATAAAAACTATAGATCTTATAGAAAATAGAAACTAATAAATTTGTTTTGGTTTTATTATTTAAAGCAGATAGATAAGTAAATAGAAATTTATTATCACACCATAGAACATATTCTTCAAAATTGAAATTGATTAAAGATATGTCCAGACCGTTACTATTATTTGTCCAAACCGTTACTAGAGACTGTGTTTTTTATGCTACTACATCAAAACTCCTTTGAACAGTAAATTCCATGCTTAAACTTATCTAAACTCTTAAAGTAATTATAAATTTGTTATATTTCAAATATTGATGAACAACTTTTTGAAATACAAATCTTTTTGTCCTGACCATTACAAGGACTGTCCAAACCGTTATTTGCAGAATGGTAAAGGTTTGGACAGTAACGGTCAAGACAACTTGTAAATAAATCTAAAATAAAAAAATGAATGATCCCTAAAAGATTTCAAAAGACATGCCTTCCACCTCTTCCATTTCTGGGCAACATATCCATTGAAATTTAAAAAAAATGGTAACGGTCTGGACAATTAAGGTTGACACATAATATTTATACTTATTTGATGGTGTCAATTTTCTGCAAAATGTGTTGAATTTCATTATTTCATCTGCTGTCACATGCACAGGGGCTAGCTCAAGCAGACACATGAAGTAGAATTACAATCCAGCTCCAGGGGGGAATTATTACAGGAATTTCATATACTGGTAACGGTCAGGTCACAAAATCACAGGTCAAGCATGTTCAATTTGTAGAAAAAAACTTTTTCAGTTAAAAAAAAATTAAATGAAGTTTGAGTATGCCTGTTCAATCCTAATTAGCATTATATGAATTAGTTTGTTTATTTGCATTTATATTTACATTATTTGTGAACATTGATATTCGGACCATCACCTCCGGACAGAGCCACATTTTAGGGTCAAAATTGGCAGATTTCTAACTATATAAATTTCAAAATGACAAGACTAATAATATTCCACATTTACTGACTAGTAAACATCTAAATATGTTTTCTAGCACAAAAAAATCCTTGTAGGTTAAGAGATTTTTTTCTTTTTGGAACGGACAGAAAATCCTACCAATTTTGGAAATGACCCATATACTGTTCAAAGTGGCATTAAACCCAGCTCCACACACAACCAGCCTCTCACCTTCGACTTCTTCCCGAGCTGTATAATGAACCTCTCAAACTGTTCAATAGCGTAGATCAAGTTGGGAATCGTCTTGGTCTGTTTCATGGCTCGATTCTGAAACATGACATACACAAACATCAATGCTGATATCAATTCAGATATAATTAGATTAAATTCAGCATTACATTTTACTGTTTCCCTCCAAGAACTTGTGATGCAGTTATCCTTTAACTGCAGGGAGTATCTGGGATTCCACATTAGTGAGTTGGGTTTTATGCTGCTTTTCGCAATATCACAGCGGGGACACTAGAAACGGGCTTCACACATTGTACAGAGATGCCAACACTATTTTGGGCCTAAGTGTAATAATAGAGGTCAAAAAGTGTAATTTGGACCTAAAAAGTGTAATACTTGTCTGCCGATCTCTTCAACATGGTACACGTTTTCACGAAAGGAAGATTCTAGACAGAAACATATGTGACCAATCATTATGAAGCTCCATACATTGAAAATTGTTGGTCATGTGACTCAAAATACTTTAATTCCTTGCAAATTCCTTGGAATCAGTCCATGCTAAGAGTATTGCGATTCCTTCGATGCAAGGTCATTTCTGCACCCCCCGCTTACAATAGAAACACTTCCCTGTGAAATTTTACCCACTTTATTGATTTTAAGTAAAACGAGTAGAAAAGTGTAATTTTCGCAGATTAAGTGTAATGGCGTAATTTACTGGTCAAAATCGTAATAATTACGCCTAAAGCGTAAGGGTTGGCATATCTGATTGTACCCACGTGGGGAATCAAACCTGGGCCGTCAGCATGACAAGTGAAACTTTAACCACTGGGCTACCCCACTGCCCCGATTCCACACTAAATGACAAAATGGTAAAGAAGGTGCTCCTCACCTTCCCCGCCTGGACGGCTGCTCCAGACTTCTTCTTGTCCTTCTTCACCTTGTCTACAGCCTGCTGCATGTGCTCGTGCTCACACGTCTACAACACACAGAGGCAAACCTGCAGATCTCACCTATATGTACAGATGATAAGGCTGCTAAAGCGTGATGGAGAGAATGTTAATTTCTTAAAAACGTCTGATCTTCCAGACTGAGGGAATAAGTTGGTGTTACACCATTTTTAACAGTATTCCAATTACATTGTGTCAGCTCTTAGGCGTCTACATTTTGGTAAAACCTATGAGCACAAGTATTGTGTTGACAGACCTGGCTAGCTCTTCTCGAAACGTTCGTAGCCCTACAAACTTCTTAAGTCCATTCTTAACACATTGGCTACGATCAAAGTTTAGAATTCTTAGGGCTACGAACGTTTCGAGAATAAGGGCCCTGGAAACTTAAATACTATCCTGTTGATATGTCATAAAGACTTAATTGTAGAAAAACCTTGTATACACGTCTGTATGTCATAAATACTTACTGCCAGAGCATGATGAAGACTAACTTGTTTGTATGTCACAAAGACTTATTGTAGGTACATGAAAACCTACATGTTTGTATACCATGAAGTCTCATCTGTAGAAAGACCTTGAAGATTGTACATCGTTTCTATGTCAGGAAGGTGTGTCGTGAAGATTTACCTGTATGTACTTGACAAGGAATCATCTGTAGGTTTCACACTGAAAGTATGTGGTGAAGATTTACCTGGAGGTACACACTGAAGGTATTTGGTGAAGATTTACCTGGAGGTATACACTGAAGGTCTGTGGTGACTTTACTGACTGACTGAGTGAAGGTTTTTACACTGTACACGCTTTAGCAATATTCCAGCAACATCAAAGGTATGTGGGACACCAGAAATGGGCTTCACACTGAAGGTATGTGCTGAAGATTTACCTGTAGGTATACACTGAAAGGTATGTGGTGAAGATTTACCTGGAGGTACACACTGAAGGTATGTGGTGAAGATTTACCTGGAGGTACACACTGAAGGTATGAAGATTTACCTGGAGGTACACACTGAAGGTATGTGGTGAAGATTTACCTGGAGGTACACACTGAAGGTATGTGGTGAAGATTTACCTGGAGGTACACACTGAAGGTATGTGGTGAAGATTTACCTGGAGGTACACACTGAAAGTATGTGGTGGAGATTTACCTGTAGATACACACACTGGTACACACTGAAGGTATGAGATGAAGATTTACCTGTATGTATGTTATGAAGGGGTAGACATTTTGTGTCAGCTCTCGAGCAACCAGCTTCACTAGTTTCTCAAACCGAGCAGTCAAATGACCGATCTTGTTGGCATACAGAGACAGGTACTGCAATATGAAAGCAGCCATTGGTGAATGGGTTAAATACACAGGAAGAACAACCAGTCTAATATATATCGACACTATCAACTAACAATCTGGCATATAAGTATATTGTTCGATCGGCATTCTAGAAGTTGGTGAGTCAAAACTGAAGCATTCGACTTGATGAATAACAACTTCTTGTTTGTTGCATACAGCGACGCTTTGTTGTAGATGCTTGTGAAATTTATCAAATTAAAAATAGCTTTAGCTTGATATTGCACCAAAAATTTGCTTGATGATATAAACAAGAAGTTGTTATCCATAAAGGTGTATGCGTCATTTTTGTATATAAGTTAACATAATTACCTCAGAAAAAATGATTGTTTCCTTTTTATACAGTAACGGTTGCTGCAGTAACACAGAGATTCATTGACTTGATGGAAAATATTTAGAAAATAATCAGTTATTTGTGATAATGTGACAATGTAACTGAAATGTTTTTAAAATTATGACATTTATGCCTAATTCATATCAGGTACTAACCGTAATTTATTTGTTCCCATAGCTTTTAAAGCATTTAAAGAATAAATGTATAAATACATGATCAAAATACAGTGGGTTCAACAGAAATGTTACATCAACTTGATGGCATATTGTAATTTAACCATAAAATAAACAACCTGCTACAATTTTTATAAAGTGATCATTAAGGCCTATGTATTGTAAGTTGTATGCTTCTCTCGAGGGTAATACGGTCTGATGTACGCCTCTTTGTAGCAGTGTTACCTAAACCGGTAGGCCGGTAGGTAATATGGTCTGATGTATGCCTCTTTGTAGCAGTGTTACCCAAACCCGGTAGGCGGTCTGGTATCTTTGTAGCAGTCTGAGTCTGATGTATGCCTCTTTGTAGCAGTGTTATCCCTCACCGCGATAGGCGAGGGATAACACTGCTACAAAGAGGCGTACATCAGACCAAATTACCCGAGGGAGAAGCATACAACATATTTATCTTACCACCATGTTAAATGCACAAAATATCATTTTATTTTATTTGGAAGATCGCAACCGACTATATGACACGTAAACAAAATGGCGTCTGCCTCTCGACTGGATTTTTAAAATCAGTGAAACATATTGAGACATGCTTAAAACTGCTATAAAAATGGTTAGTTATGTTTAAGTTGAGTGTGCAAACGACTCAATGTATAAAATAGTTTAAATAAAGCAGTGAAAGTCGATGAAATAAAATGTCTACATAGTGAACTCAAAAACAGCTAATCAAATAGTTTTCGAACTCCGGGCACTGCATGCATCATACAATTGTTAGCAATACAGCTTCTCGGCGGAGAGTTTGGCGGTTACCGTGGCAGCGGGTAATATTTTTTCCAGTTGTCACCCTCCTAGGACATGGAAACTTGTTAAAGTGTCATTGACCAATGAAATTAAGGTATTTCACATGAAGGTAAGATAATATGGGTTTTCAGTCACTCACATATTTCACGTAGTTTGTGAGAGTGGTGTAGTATCTGGTCAGAGTTTTCAACATGGTCTCCACACCCGCGCCGTACGGCACTGCTGTTTGTACCAGTTCATGGTAACCTGTGACAAGATGCCCGAGTCGTATACATGTTGTCTTCTCATGGTTCTCTCTCTGGGTCAGAGCCTGGGACATGTTGTCTGGAACATAGCAGCGAATGTTTCTATTTTCTTTCTTAAAACAATACAAAACAAATTCACATTGTTTTCCCTTTGAACTATCAAAACACAGATATAAGATTAGAAATGATGCTTTTTATATCAGTTCATTTACAAAATATTTGGCCCTGAAATGTCTTGAGGTGGTTAATAAAACAATATACAAATTTTTTACTTCTAAAATAGCTTTGATATATAATAATATAAAAGGATGGTTATTAGTGAGTATTATTATAATTCTTATTACGAGTTAATCTATCGTATACAGGGATGAGAATGGGTATGAGTGACAAAAACAGGAAACTGGGGGGTCGTCTTTGGGGCTGCAGGTTTAGACGATTCACAAGGATGACCCCAGCGTGATAAAATCTGCGGATTTGCAGAAAATTCACATCCCTGTGTATAATCTCATTATCTTATATCTGTCCTTCTAAAACAAGTCAAACAATACCCTCCATATAACCTGTCACAATCTGCTTCACTCATACATGTCTACATGAGAGAAAGAGAGATAAAGGAGAGAGTGAGTGTGTAGTTTTAAGCCGCTTTTAGCAATATTCAAGCAATATCACGGTGGGGGACACCAGAAATGGGCTTCACACATTGTACCCATGTGGGGAATGGAATCTGGGTCTTCGGCGTGACGAGTCAAAGCTATTACCACTAGGCTACCCCACCGTCCCAAAAGGAGAGAAAGAAATTGATTCACAAAGTAACAAGAAGATAAATTGCCCTGAAACATTGTGTATGGATTATCACTTTGTAGAACTTCTTAGCAGTAAAACAACCATTGTCTACCACTGTCTGACTCAGTTATTTACAGACCCCTGTGATGAAGCTAACTGTTACTGATTAGGATGTAGAAAGAAACAAATTGCTGACTTTCTCACCATCCTCTTGTCTGTGCTTTGCAAGAATGTCTGCCTTCATCCAGGTGAGACACCAGTCGATATCGTCCAGCTCGCGGTCAGTGCTGGACAACACCATCAACAACACTGTTGGCGCTGTCGGTGTGTCACCAGGGCCATGTGTGTCTTGTCCTCTACCTCCACCTCCTGGACAAACAGGACATGTGTTTAGCATTAGGCTTACTGTCCCTAAGGAGCAGAGAATGAAATCTGAAGACAGAATCAGTTTCATTGTTAATTTTTGTGTGTAACCCATTGTGAGTGAGTGAGTTTGGTTTATGCTGCTTTTAGCAATATTTCACCAATATCACGGCGAGGGACACCAAAAATGCTTCACACATTGTACCCATGTGGGGAATCAAAAACAGGGGTCTTCAGCGTGACGAGCGAACGCTTTAACTATTAGGCTACACCACAGCCCTCATAACCCTTTGTAATCTGGAGTTAAAAGTTCCCTTCATAATTTTGTTGTTGCTATAAATGATAAAGATTGTAGTAGGGACATTGTCGAGATAGGATGGTTTTTAGTATAAAGTCTTATCAGCTGTGGCTTGAATACTGGTGGTATCACTGAGTTCATAGTGTACCCGAGCTGACTCTACTTATCCCTAAACAGCTCAAACCTGGTCCGCGCCAAACACTGACTGTAGGTATGGCTGAACCCCCCCCTGCCACCTAACAGGTCTGTGTCCCCCAGCTGACAGTGGATGTTCCCTCCCTACTACCTGGTCTGTGTCCCCCAGCTGACTGTGGATGTCCCCTCCCCACTACCTGGTCTGTGTCCCCTCCCTACTACCTGGCCTGTGTCCCCCAGCTGACTGTGGATGTCCCCTCCCTACTACCTGGTCTGTGTCCCCCAGCTGACTGTGGATGTCTCCTCCCTACTACCTGGTCTGTGTCCCCCAGCTGACTGTGGATGTCCCCTCCCTACTACCTGGTCTGTGTCCCCCAGCTGACTGTGGATGTCTCCTCCCTACTACCTGGTCTGTGTCCCCCAGCTGACTGAGGATGTCCCCTCCACACTACCTGGTCTGTGTCCCATCCCCACTACCTGGTCTGTGTCCCCTCCCCACTACCTGGTCTGTGTCCCCCAGCTGACTGTGGATGTCCCTCGCTACTACCTGGTCTGTCCCTCCCCACTGCCTGGTCTGTGTCCCATCCCCACTTCCTGGTCTGTGTCCCCAGTGGATGTCCCTCCCTACTACCTGGTCTGTGTCCTGGTACCTGGTCTGTGTCCCCCACTACTGGTCTGTGTCCCCCAGCTGACTGTGGATGTCCCTCCCTACTACCTGGTCTGTGTCCCCTCCCACTACCTGGTCTGTGTCCCCCCCCACTACCTGGTCTGTGTCCCCCAGCTGACTGTGGATGTCCCTCCCGAATACCTTGTCTGTGTCCCTCCCCACTACCTAGTCTGTATTTTTTTTTTTCCCCACTACCTAGTCTGTATCCCCCCAGCTGACTGTGGATGTCCCCTCCCTACTACCTGGTCTGTGTCCCCCAGCTGACTGTGGATGTCCCCTCGCTACTACCTGGTCTGTGTCCCATCCCCACTACCTGGTCTGTGTCCCCTCCCCACTATCTGGTCTGTGTCCCCTCCCTACTACCTGGTCTGTGTCCCCCAGCTGACTGAGGATGTCCCCTCCACACTACCTGGTCTGTGTCCCATCCCCACTACCTTGTCTGTGTCCCCTCCCCACTACCTAGTCTGTATTTTTTTTTTTCCCCCACTACCTAGTCTGTATCCCCCCAGCTGACTGTGGATGTCCCCTCCCTACTACCTGGTCTGTGTCCCCCAGCTGACTGTGGATGTTTCCTCCCTACTACCTGGTCTGTGTCCCCCAGCTGACTGTGGATGTCCCTTCCCTACTACCTGGTCTCTGTCCCCCAGCTGACTGTGGATGTTCCCTCCCTACTACCTGGTCTGTGTCCCCCAGCTGACTGTGGATGTCCCCTCCCTACTACCTGGTCTCTGTCCCCCAGCTGACTGTGGATGTCCCTCCCTACTACCTGGTCTGTGTCCCCCAGCTGACTGTGGATGTTCCTCCCCTACTACCTGGTCTGTGTCCCCCAGCTGACTGTGGATGTCCCTCCCTACTACCTGGTCTGTGTCCCCCAGCTGACTGTGGATGTCCCCTCCCTACTACCTGGCCTGTGGCCCCAGCTGACTGTGGATGTCCCCTCCCTACTACCTGGTCTGTGTCCCCCAGCTGACTGTGGATGTCCCCTCCCTACTACCTGGTCTCTGTCCCCCAGCTGACTGTGGATGTCCCCTCCCTACTACCTGGTCTGTGTCCCCCAGTTGACAGTGGATGTCCCTTCCCCACTACCTGGTCTGTGTCCCCCAGCTGACTGAGGATGTCCCCTCCACACTACCTGGTCTGTGTCCCATCCCCACTACCTGGTCTGTGTCCCCTCCCCACTATCTGGTCTGTGTCCCCTCCCCACTACCTTGTGTCTGTGTCCCCAGCTGACTGTGGATGTCCCTCCTACTACCTGGTCTGTGTCCCATCCCCACTACCTGGTCTGTCCCCCCTCCCACTATCTGGTCTGTGTCCTCCCTACTACCTGGTCTGTGTCCCCAGCTGACTGAGGATGTCCCCTCCACACTACCTGGTCTGTGTCCCATCCCCACTACCTGGTCTGTGTCCCCTCCCCACTACCTGGTCTGTGTCCCCCAGCTGACTGTGGATGTCCCCTCGCTACTACCTGGTCTGTCCCCTCCCCACTGCCTGGTCTGTGTCCCATCCCCACTTCCTGGTCTGTGTCCCCAGCTGACTGTGGATGTCCCTCCCTACTACCTGGTCTGTGTCCTCCCCACTACCTGGTCTGTGTCCCCCACTACCTGGTCTGTGTCCCCAGCTGACTGTGGATGTCCCTCTCCTAATACCTTGTCTGTGTCCCCTCCCCACTACCTAGTCTGTATTTTTTTTTTCCCCCACTACCTAGTCTGTATCCCCCCAGCTGACTGTGGATGTCCCCTCCCTACTACCTGGTCTGTGTCCCCCAGCTGACTGTGGATGTCCCCTCGCTACTACCTGGTCTGTGTCCCCCAGCTGACTGTGGATGTCCTGGGCCAGGTCACGGAGCACCTGGGGCAGGTTCTTCATCTGCTGGGTGAGGGACAGGAGCGTCCCAAGCAGCTGCTTGCAGGTGGCCATATCATCTACAACACACAGAGTCGTCACAGGACAAATACCAACATGTGATGGCCACTGGTGGTGGGCCAATAAAATTAAACTGTACACATTCTTAATGTTGTATTCTTTTGTGAATAGACTGCCTCTGTGGTGTAGTGGTTAAAGCATCCGCCCGGAGAGCGGAAGGTCACGGGTTCGATCCTCGACCGCGTCATACCAAAAGACGCTAAAATATGGTACTTGTTGGTCCCTGCCTGGCGCTTGGCATTAATGGGTACAACAAGGACTGGTCGGCTCGGAGTCAGTATAATGTGTCTGAGTGGGGTATTCATGCTTCACTGCGGCATTGTATCTCAGTGGGCTAGCACTATAAAACCAGCTTAAGTCTGGCCTAGTACAAGCCGCCGCACATACACACGCATGCACGTCATCATATGAGCTAAATATTCTCAAGCACGACGTTAAACCCAATTTCACCTCACCTCACCTCACCTACTGTGAATACTTTATAATTCCAGGTGACATAATTATCAAAAAGAGAAATATGATCTACCCTCTTCCTTCAAAATAACAACTGATCAAGTGATTCCTATCTCACAAAAGTACATTTCACTGGGGTTTGGGTTATCAGTTTATTCAATCATTTATTTGCTTTTAATGAAAGTCATTGGCCGAAGCATATGACAATCTTAACCTATTTCTTTTCACTTTGTTCCACCCAAACTTAAACTTGCCAAGACTACGTACACTATAATAGTAGATTATTGTGATAGAATGACTGAAATCCTCAAATCACGACACAAAGTGTGAATATTCATAATGCGCTACATCCACAATGAGTGATTTTATACGAGATCAACTGTAATCGACGTAATTGACCTCGTATTCATGATTTTAGACTGTTTTAAGAAAGATAGCAGAAGTATCACAGAGTCATCCAAAATGGTCTTTCATATATTGCATAATTGAATCAACAGCTGGTCATTAAGATTAATGAACAATGCTTGACCCACTAGCCAAAAGATGTCTCGCACACAAATGTGGACAGTCGTACCTATTGACTGATCAGCAGAGATCTTGTGGACCCAGGAGTGGACCTGCTCGTAGTTGGGGCTGTTTGTGGGGAGGTGTTTGGTCAGCAGGGTGATGATGGTCAGTAGGGAGATCATCTCCTTCCAGCTCTGGACCTCTTCCTCCGCTGCCAGGATGTTAGCGATCAGTCGCTACAACAAGCCAGACAAGTTACAGTGTGGAGAGCATCAGGCTAGGGTTTAGAGTCGACTTAATGTCCCCATCTCTTGTATGGACGTATCATAGCTCTTTAAAGCTTATTATATGTAGTTTATGTCTGACTGAGTTAGGTTTTACGCCGCTTTTAGCAATATTCCAGCAACATCACGGCGGGGGACACCAGATGTAGTTTATGATGTGCCATGATATGGTGGCCAAAATTGGTCTCCTTTTTTAGAAATCTAGGTCACGTGAACGAACTGTTTTGTTTTGACTCAAATCAGAAATATGGAAGTGAAATGTTCATTATACAATCGGCAAGGATAAAATACAATGAAGCATGTATAAGATACTCTTTAATGGATTTACCTGAAGCTAACAAACTACCCCAGTCATTGAAATTTGTCAGAAATAACAGGGTTTTTTAATTGTGGAGGGTAGTAAAATTAGATCCATTATGTGTACAGTGCTCCTCTGATCTTTGCAACAGGCCAGTCAAATTACAGAGTGCATGGCGGAGGAATTAATTCTAGAAATTGCACAGTCCTCCCTCACTCATAACACAGCGGATACATTACATCAGTCACTTACTTCACAAAAATGAAATTTTTAGAGTAAAATTAATATTTTTATACTTATCCTGACTCATGTTTATTTGCTTGTCTTCTTCTTCTGGCGAACCTAGTGGAACACTTGTATCTCCCAATTGAAGTTCCCTTCAATAAAAAATCACTCATTAGTACTGACCACGAGTTACCTCCCTTCCACAAGCTCGGGAACGAGGGGCTCCACCCGAACCCATGTGCCTCACTCTCTGCTCATATACTGAGCCCAACACCTGAATTTCCAGGGAAATCCAAAGTGTTAATTGGGGAGGACGGGAGGGCTTACCTCATCAGTCAGGATAAGTATAAAAATATTAATTTTACTCTAAAAATTTCATATTTTTCCTTATCCTGACTCATGTTTATTTGCTTGTAGAATCCTACGGAATAGGAGGTGGGATTATATATACTTTGGATTTTACTAATTAGTGATTTGAACTGAGATGATTGTAATAACCCTAAGGGAACTTCATGAAGGCACTGAACTGAATTCCTGCTGTTAACTTATCAGCTGCCATATAAGGGTTATTACAATGTACTGAATATAATAAAAGTATATAGAACATTAATTAAGCTAAAGCTATTAATGTGATAGTATAAACTGTTGATAGTTTATAATGAATACTTTTATAAGAATCAAAGTAGTAAGCTTACAATATGCATATATGTAAGTTATAACAAAATTGTGCTTAAGGCATAATGATACTTTAAGCTGTATAATAGTAACCAACTACTGAGAGTTTGTTAACTAATACATGTTATGAAATGAACATATGACTGAGCTTAAGGATTGAAACTTAAGCTGAACATATATATAATAGTAGAACTCCTAAGAGTTGTAGGCATATATATAGTATGATTATAGTACTGTGCTTAAGATATAATTAACTTAAGCTACCTAAATAGCCAAACCAACTCCGTAGAGTTTGTTAGCTATTACATTTTATAATGTAACCATAATGCTTAAGATATGATGAAATTTAAGCTAAGTATATGATAGCAAAAAACTCTTTAGAGTTTGTTAGCTAATATACTTATATGATATAAGCACAGTACTGAGCTTTAAGATATGAATAAACTTAAGCTACATATATAATAGCAAAAAACTCCGTAGAGTTTGTTAGCTAATACATGTTATAATGTAACCATAATGCTTAAGATATGATGAAACTTAAGTTAAGTATATAATAGCAAAAACTCTTTAGAGTTTGTTAGCTAATATACTTATATGATATAAACATAGTACTGAGCTTTAAGATATGAATAAACTTAAGCTACATATATAATAGCAAAACTCCGTAAAGTTTGTTAGCTAATACATGTTATAATGTAACCATAATGCTTAAGATATGATGAAACTTAAGCTACATATATAATAGCAAAACTCCGTCAGAGTTTGTTAGCTAATATATTTTATGATATGAGTATAGTACTGTGTTTAAGATATAATGAACTTAAGCTACATATATAATAGCAAAAACAAACTCTGTAGAGTTTGTTAGCTAATACATTTATAATGTAACCATAGTACTGAGCTTAAGATATGATTAGCTTAAGCTAAATATATAATAACAAACTCCGTAGAGTTGTTAGCTTATATATTGTATGATATAATAACCATAGTACTGAGCTTAAGATAATAAAAGAACTTAAGCAAAATATATATAGCATGTAGCTATTTAGTACTGTTATAAGATAAGTAGAAATCTGTAAGATTGACTTATCTTCTCCGAGGAACTGTCAACTGTTGTGCAAGGACCCTGGGAACCGAATTGGTGGATACCTGAGACGTCCTCGGTGGTGATATCTCTCAGATAGTGGTTGGCAAACACCATATCGGATCTCCAGAAATAACCCTTCATTATTTCAATAGCATTTGTGTAGAGCAATGTATATGTTAGCTCTCTAATATCATGAGGATTAGAAGCTCATGGAGGGTCGATCCTGCAGTCTTGTAGGCACGTAGTATTACAGTTCTGATCCAAAAGGAGATAGTACGTGAGACTTCCGCCTCATGTAGCTTGATAGAGGAAATAATCTCTTGCATTTTCCCTCCTGTTTGGCCTCGGTGGAGATATATTTTCAGTGCTCTTACTGGCCATCGTGATAGATTCATCATATCATGGGGTCCAAGTATATCATCAAAGCGTGTTCATAAACCTCACTTGTGAGGTGTTGGAGCACTATATTCAGATCCCAAGTTGGAGCGTGAAACTCGTTTTAATCCTCAAATCGGAAAGCTCGTAGCAAGGCGAAAGTAACTGGGTTAGAACTTGGCGCTCGCTCTCAGTTATGATAGAGCTATTGCTGCAAGATAGGTGGACAAGTTGAGCCTTATAAAATCTTAGTTTGACGTAGATAACATAAGTAGTCCGCCACTTGAGGATGAGTAGCATATCTAGCTGTAAATCCTTCTTTGCAGCATAATTGACAAACTGTGCCATTTGTCATCGATATGTTGCCAGTGGAGTTACGCCCAGGCAAGCTAGACTGCTTTGCGCTCTGGCTGAATAACTGAATAACTTGTTATTCGACACGCTTCTTGATATAATCCATACGAAGTTGGAATATGTCTGGCTTTCCGCTTTGTTTGGGGTGATGTATTAACAGATTCGGTGCAATTACTTATAAGATGTAGCATTGGTTGTCCGCTTTGAATAAGAGTTGAAACCACGTTCAGCTGGTCAGTAGGCCGCGACCAAATTCGGTGATGGAGGCTCTGCTTTTGACTGGATTTTGTAGTCTGCCTCTGCCTGTCATTGTCTTGGTGAGCTGACTGTTGGATCTTGATCCATGGTTCTCCTTGTGTACAATTACAATTATACTGCCGTTACAAAATCAAAACCTAGAATTAGCAGATCTTGCGAAGGTTCTAGGTCCAACTTAAGTAGGTTACTAACCATCTAGTTGTGTTAGTAGCTTGATGATGAATTCAACTGTAGTCTGAGACGCTTATGGATTTGGATCCATTTGTATCCCGTCGTCGAGATAAATTCGCCAAGGCGGCGCTTGACGATGTAGGTGCACAAACCAGGGATGACTGCCATCGTTGAACTTATGTAAAAATCGCCTGACCGCCGTGCCTCGCCCTTACTTGATAGGGAGGTCTCTAACCTCAAGAAGGCAGCCCAATCATGAAGGTTCAGATTAGCTGGACTGTAAGGAGGCTTGCTCGCTCACTGATATATTGTTGTCACTTGCAACCTATGTGTTGAACTGTGAACTATGATCGACCTCTGCGTAGGGCGCTGTCCATCTCGGTCCAATCAGAACAAGGCATTTTGATTCTGTAGAGTACCCGCTGTGATGTCACCGTGTAGCAGGAAAAGGAACCTTGTATAATATAGTGCTGTGCGCCGATAATAGAACAATCGCCGGTCTTCACCGTAGCTTCCTCGGTTACCCGAAAGTGACCACGTGTTTCGAGGGTTGATGGTAAACGCGCTAAACCTCCGGCAAATAAATACCTCGCTCTGTAATATTAATGCTGGGTAGGTTATTTTCCATGCTGTCGTAAAAGTAACTTCAGTCTTGAAGATAATTCCGATTCCTTTATATAAGGTTCAATAAACCTTGCAAGTTGTCAGCTTGTAGACTGTTAAAGCTGAACTTGTTGCACATATTTCTTCTCAGGAAATCGTTGACGATTATGAGTTTTAATCGCTGTAACAAGGCTGCTGTTCAATTTCGTTATTGAATTGTCTGCAGGTCTGCGTAATGGTCACGCATGTAGATAATCGTATTGTAGTAGGTAGTCGGTTTGAAGATCCTTAATTAGGCTCTTCGTCTGTTGATAATTTAATACAGCGACGTTCTGTGTTGTAAACTGGCGATATGAATGTTGTCAGTTGTTTGTTGAATCGAGTGGTAAATAGGTCTATTAGTGTAGTTCCTATTACCTTGAAAATTTGAGTGAATATCTCTGTATGGAGCATTCATTCTGTCGGCGATGGTATGTGTGGCCGAGAGAGAACGTCTGCTATCACATTCTTTGCTCCCGGAATGTGATATGCTCTGACATGTATGATGAGATTGTCGATTAAATCGAACAATTGAAAACAGAGTCGATATGTTCGGGGACCTGGTTGAGCTTAGTTGTTCACATAAAACGCCACTGTCGAATTGACTGTGTAAATCATCCACAGGGTATACTGTAGTAAGTTGCTCCAGTGCATTAAGGCGTTTATTACTGCTTGCATCTCTAGCAGATTTATGTGTAATTTGTTCTCTTGATTGCTCATAGCCCTGATGCCGTCCTGTTGGCAAGATGGGCTCCCCAATCTTATAGTGACACATCTACGTAGAGAAGTGTTATCGATTCCAGCTCTGTTAACGAGACGCCTATTCAAACATTCGATCTCTTGGTCCACCATAGTAGATGAGGTTTGACCTGAACCGGTGAATTGAACGGTAGAGATTCGTCTAGATGCGAATTGATGATGACTTGTAACGGAAGTAATTGTAGTCTAGCCTGTGCTGTCTTCGCGTAGGCTTGTAGACGGCATATGGTTTACAGTTGATAGACAACTCATGCGATGTCTTGAACGGACTGACGAGTGGCTATATATGACGAGTGGCTAGTATATGGAGACCTTGGAGGAGACTTCCTCGGCGAACGCCGGGGACTTCGCGAAGATCTCGAAGTAACGCTTCTAGATCTTCTGGGTGAAGTAGACTTGGAGCCACTTAGCCTTCGCGACCTTCACAAAAGTATCGAGTCAGAGTCTGATCAATATATGAGCGCTTGCTTCGCGAACGACCTTTGTGTTCTACAGGGTGTGGGCTCTGCGAAGTGCTTTTTCTCAGCCTCTGAGAAAATGATACCATCGTCCTCCTCTGACGTATGGTCGTATGTCGGAGTCCTCGATCTGTAAGAAGATCTATGTGAGGACTGAGGAGAACGGACTGACGAGTGGCTAGTGTATGTAGACCTTGGAGAAGACATCCTTCGCAGAGATTGTGGGCTTCGTGAACGGTGATGGCTTCGCAGACGCTCTGGACTTCTCGAACGTTGAGGGCTACACGATCGTCTTCCAGGCGATGTAGAACCACTTAGCCTTCGCGTCCTACGCGAATGTCTGGAGTCAGTGTCCGATCCGACATATGAGCGCTTGCTTCGCTGGACGCCTTCGCATGACAAGGTGCGTGCTCGGCGAAGCCCTTCTCCGCAAGCCTCTTGCAAAAGGTGAGGCTCTGGCTCCTTCTCGAGGCGGCCTGGGATACCTTATGCAAAGAGCTCACTCCGGCAGGGTTGCCCTTCGTGGAGGCACGCCTATGGGCTCAGAGGCCCCACGCGAAGCCAAGGCGGCTCTGAGGCCCTGTATGACTTGATATGGGGTGGGCTCTAAGGCCCGTGGGCTCTGAGGCTCTGTAAGCCGTGAGCGGTCTTCCATCACCCTCATTATCTGGTTGATCAAGTCGCCTGAAGCGGTTCATGCTGATGAGGATGTCTCTCTGCAGAGGTGACGGACCCTCAGATAAAATTTCTGGTGATAGAGTCGGCATCTCCGGTTGTGTGTTTATCTGCGCTGAGGTGACAGTCGCAGAAATGGGCCGTTTCTTGTGACGAACTTCTTGAATGATAATTGGCATATCGTCATCATATAAAGCTAATTCTGTAACTGGTAAGATATCAGAGGCAAAATTATTAGATTTTGTTGACTTCCCTTTAGATGAAGCTGTAGATCTTGGTGTACGCAATGTATGAGATGATATGTATGGTTTCCTCGACTTGGACTGAGAAGACGGCAGCTCTTGAGATGCAAGTCGTTTCTTGGACATAGCGGACTGCGTCCCACGCTTATCCGCCGAGGGAAACTCAGGCATGCCACCAGCGGTGGCGTGTCCTCAGTCAACAGTTGACATGAAACATTAATTTGCGATCTATTAGCCATGTTTGAATTCTGTTTACGGGATTTATCTGCCTTCCGTCTGTAAACGGAACATAAATATTTGTCAAAGGCAGAGATAGGTAAATTGATACAAAATTTACAACGAGAATCAAAGGAACATGGAGTAATGCAACTAGGGCATTAAAATGTGGATCGGTATCAGAATAACGAAGTTTACATTCTGTGCAAATTTTCATTAATGTAGCCTACTGAACAAACACGATTTAAACCGCGGAATAAAACAGCAGAAACACAATTAATAATCAATGCAAATTGAATAATTATACTAGTACTACCTCTATACTAATGTATAAGAGGAACTTAACTAAATATAATTAAAGGATATAGTGTGTTGGGAGACACAGGTGCTCTCACGTCCAGCTCACTGGGCGAAGAAGGAGAGAGTGAGGCACATGGGTTCGGGTGGCGCCCTCGTTCCCGCGCTTGTGGAAGGGAGGTAACTCGTGGTCAGTACTAATGAGTGATTTTTTATTGAAGGGAACTTCAATTGGGAGATATACGTGTTCCACTAGGTTCGCCAGAAGAAGACAAGCAAATAAACATGAGTCAGGATAAGGAAAAATTTATTTGTTTCCTGACCGCGTAATACCAAAAGACGTTAAAATATGGTACTTGTTGGTCCCTGCCTGGCGCTCGGCATTAATGAGTACAACAAGGACTGGTCGGCTCGGAGTCAGTATAATGTGTCTGAGTGGGGTATTCATGCTTCACTGCGGCATTGTATCTCAGTGGGCTAGCACTATAAAACCAGCTTCAGTCTGGGCTAGTTCAAGCAGCCGCACATACACATACACACGCATGCACGTCGTCATATGAGCTAAATATTCTCAAGCATGACGTTAAACCCAATTTCACCTCACAAAATTATTAAAAAAATAAGAGCATATAATTCGGCGCTCATCGTGCCTTGATTTGGGGGGATTGTTCTGTCTTTCTTTCAGTCTCTGAGTCAGACTTATTCTAAGATAGCATTCAGACGTTGGCAAACTATTGCCAACGTTGGGCCTGAATGCTATCTGGGAATAAGCCCATCATATGGATGGACTCCCTTTATTCACTCGCTTTATTCACTGATATGAATTAATAATTATAATTTATTATTTGCTCCCTATTTTTTTAATTAACCATAGGGTTAGAAATTCATAAAAATAATGTGTCGAAAAATCGTGTCATTTGAACTGATTATTTTGTCATTCTGATTGCATTGTTTATGTCATGTGAGTATAACTGTGATGTATGGTCGTCAGAGTGACATGACACAAGAAACAACGTCATAGCTGAAGATTGTTGAGGTCATTTCTATTCATTTTACAGTTGTGGTTTTCTAAACAATGGTCATGATCTACACTGCATTTGTCCAAAGGAGGTTGAGAAGTAATGGGTAATATAGAAATGACTACACCAGCATGTGTGGCCTGCTGACATTTTGAACTCCTGCAAGAATTCATGTATCACATTTGATCTTGCTCAGAAATACATGAATTCGAACAATTGATTTGTAAAAACAGTCTGACACACATATGATAACCTCAATGTAAAATCACTATGAGTCTATCATGAGATTCGACCCGTCAAGATCCTGGTTAGCATTGGTCTTCAGCTTGTCATAAGAAGCGACCAACAGGATCGGGTGGTCAGGCTCGTTGACTTGGTTGACATGTGTCATCATATCCCAATTGATTAGATTGATGGTTATGATGTTGATCACTGGACTGTCTGGTCCAGACTATTATTTACAGACTGCCTCCATACAGCTGAAATATTGCTGAGTGCGGCATTAAACAACAAACTATTATGAGATTCAGGAAGAGGAAACTGAGCACCTGACATGTGCAGGTTTATGTCACTTACCTGTAGGGTTTTAATGTATGTGTGGATTTTGTCGGGCTTGTTGGAGACACGCACTTCCACCCCATCACAATCTTTCTCTGGAACAATCAGGACAAATCCGGAAAACCAATAATACAAGAGGGAGGAAAAACAAATGCATAAGGGAAGAATTATTATTACCTATTTAGCATCTTTCTGTAGAACCAACTAAAGTGAGTGAGTTAGTTTAGTTTTACGCTGCTTTTAGCAATATTCCAGCAATATCACGGCGGGGACACCAGAAATGGGCTTCACACATTGTACCCATGTGAGGAATCAGACCCAGGTCTTCAGCGTGACGAGCGAACGCTTTAACCACTAGGCTACCCCACCACCCAGAACCAACTTGAACAGACCTGTGAGAGAACTGTGGTCAGCTGCTTCCCAGATACCTGGGTTACTGTATATTACCGTAGATAAGCCATTTTGAGGACCAAAAAAAGCAGTCTATAGAAGGGGGTCGGCTTATCTATGGGTACTGCTGTCTGTAGATACAGAACATTACTGGATCTCATTGGACCACTGATCTGAACTCATTTCTTAAGGCACCAATGTCCCCAGATTAAGGTTACTAACTCATGGACTGTGGCTGTTTGAACTCACCAGATCCTTGTCTGAAGTCATTTCTGTGATGGAGGTATGTTGGGCCATTGTCTGAACTCACCTATGGCACAGACAGGTATGACTGTCCTCACCTATTTACAGGTCACTATTTTAAATCATCTGTTGTTGGGCCAGGTATGTTGGGCCACTGTCTGAACTCACCTGTTGATGGAGGTACACAGACACTGATGATGGTATGTTGGGCCACTGTCTGAACTCACCTGTGTTACACAGACACTGATGGAGGTGTGTTGGGCCACTGTCTGAACTCACCTGTGTTACACAGACACTGATGAAGGTATGTTGGGCCACTGTCTGAACTCACCTGTTACACAGACACTGACAAGTATGTCTGACCACTGTCTGAACTCACCTATGTTACACAGACACTGACAGAGGTGTGTCTGGCCCAGACTACAGACATAGGACATGATGCCAACCAGCCCCTCCAGACTCTGGCTACAGATGTTCTTTTTCCTCTCTTTCTTCTGTTCCTCAGTCAGAATCTGATTCTCTGTGTAGTACGTCATCAACAGCCTGAAGAAAACACAGGGTCAAATACCATTAATTAATCCATTATTGCACATTATGAGGGTGGTATTGTCAATACAGGTATGTGCTGTTAAATTATTTCAAGTTAATTGATCCTTTTATCTGTAGACCACATGAGAAAAATAATACCATGCCCATCACTTTCATCACGGTTATAAATCAATTTTTGGTTGCACTACTCAGAAAAATACTCTGCTACATAGCTGAAAATATACGCAAGTGCTAATGCAGGAAAATGTCATTACTGAAATTATTTAGTCACGGACTAGAGAATTCATCAATTTTTTACAACCAGACGTTCCTGTTACCTGATGACCACATGGTGTGAACCAATCCTTTATCCCTCCTCACCTGGCTAGAAAGTAGCAGTGTGAGAGCAGTCTCTCCTTCCCTACACCAGCAGCCCCGTCACAGGTGCCCTTGTCTGCTATCTGATGCACCTTCTGGAGGGCCACGGACATGATGTACTGCAGGAACTCAGGACACCCACGTAGTACAGCCAGGCTGTCTTCATGAACTGTGCTGGTGTCACTACAACATTACAGCATCAGTGTTAGAGGAACTAACAAGTGTTTTAAAGTACATGTAATAGCATTGGGATTGTCGATGCAAATCCATGGTGCATATATGATCCCAGTGGTGCGTTCAACTGGCCCAAGTAGTCTCTATGGCTGACCCCATTAATTCCTTCTACTGACCCTGTGGTACCTTTAGCTTATCACTATAGAGCCTTCAACAGACCCCACTAGTGGCTTCAAATGACCCCGTGGTACCTTTAGCTTATCACTATAGACCCTTCAACAGACCCCACTACCCAGATAGCAATGTCCGTTGGGCCAATGTTAGACCAACATTGGCCATCATTGGGCCTACGTTGGACAATGTTGGCCCAACAAACATTGCTATCAGGGTAGTGGCTTCATATGACCCCCTGGTACCTTTAGCTTATCACTAAAGAGCCTTCAACAGACCCCACTAGTGGCTTCAAATGACCCCCTGGTACCTTTAGCTTATCACTATAGAGCCTACAACAGACCCCACTAGTGGCTTCAAATGACCCTGTGGTACCTTTAGCTTATCACTATAGAGCCTTCAACAGACCCCACTAGTGGCTTCAAATGACCCCCTGGTACCTTTAGCTTATCACTATAGAGCCTTCAACAGACCCGAATAGTGGCTTCAAATGACCCCGTGGTACCTTTAGCTTATCACTATAGAGCCTTCAACAGACCCACTGATGCCTTCAAATGACCCTGTGGTACCTTTAGCTTATCACTATAGAGGCTTCAACAGACCCCACTAGTGGCTTCAAATGACCCCGTGGTACCTTTAGCTTATCACTATAGTGCTTTCAACAGACCCCACTGGTGCCTTCAAATGACCCTGTGGTACCTTTAGCTTATCACTATAGAGCCTTCAACAGACCCACTGGTTCCTTCAAATGACCCTGTGGTACCTTTAGCTTATCACTATAGAGGCTTCAACAGACCCCACTAGTGGCTTCAAATGACCCCCTGGTACCTTTAGCTTATCACTATAGAGCTTTCAACAGGCCCCACTAGTGCCTTCAAATGACCCCGTGGTACCTTCAGCTTATCACTATAACGCTTTCAAAAGATCCCACTAGTGCCTTCAAATGACCCCGTGGTACCTTTAGCTTATCACTATAATGCTTTCAAAAGACCCAACTTGTGGCTTCAAATGACCCCGTGGTACCTTTAGCTGATCACTACAGTGCCTTCAACAGACCCCACTGGTGCCTTCAAATGACCCTGTGGTACCTTCAGCTTATCACTATAATGCTTTCAAAAGACCCAACTTGTGGCTTCAAATGACCCCGTGGTACCTTTAGCTGATCACTACAGTGCCTTCAACAGCCCCCACTAGTGGCTTCAAATGACCCTGTGGTACCTTCAGCTTATCACTATAGAGCCTTCAACAGACCCCACTAGTGGCTTCAAATGACCCCGTGGTACCTTTAGCTTATCACTATAGAGCCTTCAACAGACCCCACTAGTGGCTTCAAATGACCCTGTGGTACCTTTAGCTTATCACTATAGTGCCCTCAAAAGACCCCACTGGTGCCTTCAAATGACCCTGTGGTACCTTTAGCTGACCACTATTATGCTTTCAAAAGACCCCACTGATGCCTTCAAATGACCCCATGGTACCTTTAGCTGATCACTATAGTGCTTTCAAAAGACACTTGTATTGCCTCCAACAGATCCCTATGAAGTCTTCAACTGATTTGAGTAGAGCCTGTCCCAGATCTGAGAGTGCCTATAACTGACCTGAGTAGAGCCTTCAAGATGTTGACCACAAAGGGGAGAGACAGCAGACTGTGGGGGATCTTCCCAGCTGCAGGACGGCCCTTCTTTCCAGCAGCTGCAGCTGTCTTCTCCTTCAGCACATCACTCAGCTTGTGGTAGTTGTCATACAGCTTCAGAACTTGTTCACAGCTGCTCAGACTATGAGTGAGTGAGAGTCAGTATTATTTTACGCCGCATTTAGTAATATTCAAGCAATATCAATTTCTAATTACTTATTTTACGGATACTTTTTATCAAACCATGCCATGGAACCAGCGTTTGAAAATTAAAGTCATCCCTTAAACCACTTGGACCCATAGCTTATGTTTTCTGTAGGTTCTCATGGCCTTGTTTATTGGGAATTACTTATATTATAGCTAAAATATAGGGCCTACACATTATGATCAGGACCCTAAACTTTTTATGGTCGGGGTACTTAGGGCCTCCAGATTTTCAGGGTTAAGGGCACACACTGCATGGAATGCAATGTTTAATCTGAAAACTACATGAAAACTTTATAAAAGATGTTTGGGGAGTTATGAAGTCAATGTGTCACCAGCATTCATCTATTTGCCAAATTCTTAATGACATTTATTGTTATTTGTTTCACTTTTTAAATGAAGTATTAATTGACACATATGCAAGAAAAAAAAGGAAAGTTTATTTCGATAACTGAGTATGGCTTCATGCTTACTTCATGAATGAGTGAGTTTTACGTCGCTTTTAGCAATATTATGGCGGGGACATCAGTAATGTTCTTCTCACATTGTACCCATGTGGGGAATTGACAAGCTAAAGCTTTAACCACTATAGGCTACCCACTGCCCCGCTTACTTTATAAAGCTAAGGACCCAAAAGCCTTCCAAATGTTATCTTCCACTTTTTTAAAACAGCATATGTCTGACTGACCTGAACTGTCCAGCAGTAAAGGTGTACTCCATCAGCACCTCATAAGCCCCAAGCACCATGATGGCGTAGATGTTGTTCTTGACACCAACGCTGGACGCCAGCGAAAAGTCCGCTGATTTGTCCTTCATTCCCAGAATGAAGACACTATTATTGTTGTACATTGTATATGATGGTGACAGGACTCCTGCACAACCCTCACAATCTCCCCACTAAACTACTGATCATTATCTATTGTAGAAGCAGGGCTCAATTTAGGAGTTGTTAACCTACTTGCACCAGGTGCAACCTAAGATAAAAACCTAGTTGCACCAGCCAAATTCCAGTTGCACTGATTTTATGGTGAAATGAAAGAAATGTTATGAAAGAAATATGCTATTGAGTTATTTAGATGTTTTATTCAGAAGTTTATCCACTCAAAAATTGACCTGCACCTGGTGCAAGTTAGAATAATAACTACATTGCACTTTGTAATATTGGCTAGCATCAGTGCAAGTAACAAAGCACTAAATCGAGCCCTGAGAAGGTGAGGCAACCTTGGAGTTTTTTAAATGTGTTTCTGAAAATCACATACTCATGAAAGTATGGCTTTCAGAATTCACTCAATGAGATCTACAAATTTGACAAACGACATGAAATAGTCACTAAATATTCTACTATGAAGGAAACTAATACGATAGAGACAAATTTTCATCCATCAAAGTATCTTGCCTTTACTGTTACTCACCAACTTTTTAAATGCCAGTGAAACAGTAAATTTCTCACTGTTTGAGTGTTTTACCTAACAAAGTTTACAGATTTACATACCAGTTCAAAGTCTTCCATCTCACATGCAATCATCCTGGTCGTCAGTGACGTCAGCAACTCCTCCAGCTCAGTCAAGGCCGTCACACAGTCCTCATCTTCATCCTCATCCCCACCTGCCTGGTTCTGGAACTGTCTGGTCTTTAGAACACACTGCTGGATGCAGCCTAGCAGGTGCCCCTGAAATATGATTGAGCTTGATGAGACTCTGGTTTAAGACGATTTGTAAATAAGGAACTGCGCATGCATGGAATGTTTTGGATTTTCATAAAAGTGTGAAAATGTTTGTTCTGGTTTGATGACCCAAATACTGCAGTCTGCCCAGATTTGCCACACATTTACAAGTTACCAGACAAGTTGAGCATGATTAAAGTTCATTTCAGTCAGGTGAGTTAAAGTGAGTGAGTGAGTGAGCGAGTTTAGTTTTACGCGGCACTCAGCAATGTTCCAGCTATATGGCGGCGGTCTGTAAATAATCGAGTCTGGACCAGACAATCCAGTGATTAACAGCATGAGCATCGATCTGCACAATTGGGAACCGATGACATGTGTCAACTAAGTCAGCAACCGCCCGATCCCGTTAGTCGCCTCTTACGACAAGCATGGGTTACTGAAGATTCATTCTAACCCAGACCTTCACGGGTCGGTGAGTTAAAGAACGCGATGTTATTGATGATACAGTACTGTACAGTATCAGTTTCTGAACAAACTCATTAAAATCATGCCTTTATTCCCACTACCACTAGATCCAGGTTAGAATTGGTCTTCAGCAATTCATACTTGTCATAAGAGACGACTATCGGGATCGAGTGTTCAGGCTCGTTGACTTAGTTGACACATGTCATCGGTTCCCAACTGCGCAGATCGATGCTCATGCTGTTGATCACTGGATTGTCTGGTTCAGACTTAATTGTTCCAATTTGATTTAACTCAATATCACTGGAATATTGCTGAGTGTGGCGTTAAACAACAAACAAACCACCAACAAAGATCTGACAACTTCCCTTTACCGGTCCTGTCAGAAAGGCAGCTACATCAACTTTCATTCCTTCTGTCTCTTTAATTTCTGTCAGTTGATCATCTGATTGTCAATAGAAGTGAAAAAGGGTACATGCTTTTGTATGCTGTGTTCCCAGGAAAATTTCTTTAATAAGCAATTTTTGTCTCAGCTGATCCACTCCCCAGTATGTTCCACCTACCATGGGTTCTGCCAGATACACAGACTCCCCTTGAGCCAGGATACAGGGGTCCAGCTTTAATGGAGGCGTCATGTCGCTGTCGGACTCGTAGTAACGATTGATCTGAGAAGGCATACACACAGTTTACAGTTGATGCCATATTTTATTGATTGAAACTTATCATAAATATAATGATTGCATTGGAAATATGGAAATTTTGAATTAAAGAACACACCCAAATATCAACACAAATATCCTATGGGAGACTTAAGAAGTAAATAGAGAAAGATTAATGAAAAAATGTATTCTATTCCTGTAGTTAGACAGGCTCTTCCTCCTGTTCCAAACTATGGAGACGTAGTGGTCCTACTCTGTGAACTGGTCGTTTGCATATCATCCATGGCATGGATGATTGCTAACATCAGTCACTGTTGCTGTCTTGCTGAAGGGGTTGTGATATGCACATCTGGAATTAATGAGGCTGAAGGGGTATGTGGAATTAATGAGGCTGAAGGGGTCGTTGTTGGCACTGGTACTACATATCCTTATACAGAAATGTCCCCTAAACAAAGTCCAAATACAGAAACGTACCAGGTACCATAAGTGAGGGAGCCATTCCACAACCCAAAATCAAGATTAATGCTGTTCATCCTTTTCACATGATTCTGAGTGATACTGTGCATCGCAAAATAATCGTCTTTGTGTATGCTTGATTCTTACATAACGCAATGGAATGAATCTCATACAGATAACGTTCCCTTTTGATCTTATCCGGTTTAGATTTCCATATAAACTGAAGCACTTGCTTTGGAATGGCTTAATCAAGATCAGGTAACTCTCGGGGTGACCTCCATACCCACAGATAAATGAAACTAGATGATTAAGTTTGGAAAGTAATAAAGATTTTAGTACTACATTTAAAATAAAAAGGACAAAAATCTGTAAATAGCAAAAGGCACCACTTTAGGTTCTGTTTGATATATCTACCAATTTTTGTTGAAAAATATTGAACAGTTTTTGAGTTATGCTCCTGAACAAAATGATTACGGACGGACAGACAGACGAGGCGTCGACTTTATATTCCCAGCATGTAATGAAGGAACAAACCAACAAACTAACAAAACCAACCAACCCAACTTGTTTTACCTGATTTAGCAGCATATCTAGAATAGGTGCCTGAAGTCTCGAGTTGTGGCATAGCACTTCATAAAGACCCTGTACAAAGGAGAATATTCAGGGATCGTGTTTAATTTGCGTCCTATGAAACAGAAAATATTGAAATGTGAAATTAAATATTTTCAATGTGCAGCTGCACAACTTATACTGAAAAAATAATACTCACCATGATTCATTTGGCAAATCAAATCATTCAAAACATATTTTTGTGCACCATCAAACTGTTAATTGCTCACACTCTCAATCTCACAGCTTAAAGGCCGGGGTGCAAACGTCCAAACCACCCCTGGTTTGCCAGTGAAGATGTTATCACCCTGTGACGGCTATGGGTGCCTGGCAAGAGCTTGGCGATGTCAAAGGTTAACCTTGGAATTTACTACTAGAATAAACACATGCCTTATAGTAAATGTCCAACAACCCTTTCACTTCATATTTTGATGACTAAAGAGATAAATTTGATTAGCATATATGAAACATCAACATTTACATATATTCTGAATATAAAATCTTCAGCAAAGAGATGTCAGCATCAGATAGTTGACAACCCTAGCCCTGCACAGCATGGTGTCAGGGGAGTGGGGGAGGGGGGCATTTGCCCAGCCTGCCTGAAATATGAAACCCTGAATGAAACATTTCCCCACTCCAAGGCTTGTTTCTATGGAAACACACCTCCTCTGGCCACCTGACTGACACAGTGGGAAATTCAAATCTGGATTTAAAAATGAGAAATATATTTTCAAAATGTATGTTTTGTAGACTGTCTGCATCCATACTTTTTGCTGTGAGTCTTCACTACTTCTTTATACTTTGACTTCATATCAGCCTGAACCGGTGAGTCAGTTTTGTGATATTTCATGGAATGTACTTGAATACTGCATTGCTTTGCATCTAAGGACAGCTTTGACAAGGCAAGGAGGCCACACCCCATCTGTGTACAGGTTTGAACCCCGGCCTAAAACACAGCCGTGGATATCTTGAATGCCAGTGCATGACAAGAAATCCTGTTCTGGGTGATAACATGGATTTGTGGATTACTTTATGAGTCCATGGTAAATGATACTGAAAGGATTCTTGCAGTCATGGAATCCATGAAAATCTAGCACTCTAGTTTACAGGCTTACATGATGTTTGGCTGAGTACAAATTCTCACTTAAAGAAAATCTGGAGCTCAGAGGTAAATGCTCGAAACAAGGTCAAAGCCACCAATACTTTTGCTGTGCCAGTCCTTTCCTATTCCTTTGGAGTAGTTGACTGGACAAAACAAGACATCCAGAGTCTTGACCGCCTGACCAGAAGGATCATGTCTGATAACAGAGCCCACCACCCTCGTTCCTCTCTTAACCGTTTATACATGCCAATCAATTCTGGATTAATGTGGAGGCTATTCATGATAGAACTTTATTGTGTACTTTTGCACATATTTATTTATCGGATGATCCTCTGGTGATGCATGTCAAGACTCATGATGAAAGAAAGGAATTCCACAGCTATTTTAAGCGTGCTCAGGTTGTTGAACAAAATCTAAAATTTGAGGTTGATTTTGTTGAAGGTAATGTACTGCTGGACGGTACAGCGATGGGGGTAAACCAGGTGAAGTCCTTCACCAAGTCTGCCCAGAGTCTGTCATGTGTGGAAAAGCTTTCTGAGAAACCATTGCATCATGTGTACATGCAGTGTGTGGAACAGAATAGCAATCCCATCGACTCCTTCGCCTGGATGAAGTCGGCTGGTCTTAATGTGAAACGGAGGGCTTCCTTTTTGCTGCTCAGGACCAGTCACTTCCCACTCGTGATCGCCAAAATGTGATTCTTAAACAAAATATCAATATGAAATGTTGACTATGTAATGAATTTACAGAGACTGTCCAACACCTTGTCAGTGGATGCCCTCCTTTGGCACAAACAGCATCTCTTAAACGACATGATGGAATGGCTCGTTGCTTTTACTTCCGTCTCCGCATGTCTGTGGCTTTGACTCCGAGGTCCATTCATGGTATGACCCTGAACATGTCCAGGGCATCATGGAAAATGATGCTTTCAAACTTCTGTGGAATAGGCCCATATACAGCCTCAGAAGAATTCCAGCCAACAAACCTGATCTTATCCTTTTTGATAAAGCCAATGAATTTATTTATATCATTGAATTTTCTGCCCTTCTGATAGCAATGTGATTGGCAAGATTCAGGAAAAGCATGATAAATATGCGGACCTTGCCTTTGAAATGTCTTGCCTGCATCCCAAGTACACTGTCGTCAGGCTGCCCATATGTCTGATGAAAGACATATTATGACACGTACAGGAATTTACCTTGAGTCCTGTATTTGAGGGTTCCTTTGGACTCATACTCTTAATTTTCAGGGGTCCTGGTCAACAAAATGGGGGTCCCAGACACTTAGATATTATAATTAATACTGTTTTTGTATTGTGTATCATGATTATCACTTAAATTGTTACAGTAATCAAACTGCAAATGATTCCATAACTCAGCTAGTAGCAAACTCAGTGATAACTTATTGTTACTTGATTGGAATTTTTACAAAAAGTATTTGGACTGTTCTGTGCCGCTGTGGAAATGCTAATAAATTTAACCAAACCTGAAGAGGTTTTCAATTCTTCGAAGAGAGTCGTCCTTGGGGTACATATTATGCATTTTCCACGCTGAAAATGTCCTGTGACAGTTGTATCAATGTTTTTTGAATAAAAAGATTGTACAATAAATAAACTTTTTTATTTATTATACGGCCCCAACCTCGTGGAGTTACCTCCCGTTGCGCATGCGCACCAACTGGGTAATCACCTAGGCCCGTATCATCATTCCTTCTGCTGAATAAATCAGTGAACAGAATTAAGGAGGAGGCCCTACCCCATGGGCGACTCTCTTCGAAGAATTGAAAACCTCTTCAGGTTTGGTTAATTCTTCTTCATAGAGATCGCCCTTGGGGTACATATTATGCATAAACACAGACTCCCAAAGACCGGAGGCCAGGAGGAGGAATTCTGTCCAAGCACATACAAATAGCTATCGTTAATTGAATAATGTAACAGACGCCATAACACTCACCTGTCACATGTCCCAGTTTTCGCTCCCGCGAGAGGCATTATGGGAGGGGAACTGACAGGGAGGATTGTACTCGAAGACGACCTCAAAGGTTCGCATAGGAACTCGCACATGGTGCAAAATGTAAACAAAGCCCCATCCACCTTGTGTCGATTAGTAAGCACCGTAGGGGGGAATGTCAAAACCGCTCACAATCGACCTAAATACTCCGGAGAGGATCGAAATGAGGTTATTTAGCTCCCAATAGCGGATATGTCAATAAAACTCAGTATTGAACAGCAGCGTCAACAAAACCAATGAACCAAGACTCACTTTCGGTCAGGGTGGCAGGACACTGTCCACTGGAGAATAGAACGGCCAAAGCTTCGCCGCGATTACGGGAATGCGTGATCGAGCTGATAATGCCGAATAAACGCGTGCTAGGCGGCTCCAAATAGCGGCAGAGCAGATCTCTTCAATGGGGAGTGCCGATGCAAAAGCTTTGATGCGGCTACTGCCCTGACCGAGTGAGCCTTCAACCCCTCAGGGGAGGCTTGCCCTTAGCCTGATAAGCAGTACAGATACGACGAAACTAGCCAGCGAGACAAAGTCTGCTTGCTTTCGCCCGCACACCAGCCTTCCGCCACCGTAACAACAGAACAGCTGGGTACCCGTCACGGATCCCCTGCGTTCGTTTGATATAGACCTTGAGAGTCTTACGGACATCGAACGGGTGAGTGCTCATTGCAGAGGTCCCCGATGTGGAAGGCTGGGTAAGAGTGGGAAGTTCGATAGGAGCTGTCACATGGAAAGCGTGATTGACCTTCGGGCTGATGCACGATCCAGGGGCCGAATACTGACACGATCAGTGTGAAACACAGTCAGCGCCCGGTCGGACTGACATAGCATGTAAATCGCCGACCCTACGCCCGGATGTTACCGCCACCAGAAAACAGCCTTCCAAGTTAACAACTGAATGGAAATAGCCCGATAGGTGTGAGAAAGTGGGACGGACAGCCAATCGAGCACAATTGACAAATCCCAAGGTGGGCTGGTTTAAGCCTGACAGCAGGTCGAACCCGATCAGCGCCAGCTAAAAGCTGTCGCGAGAGGGTGCTGCCCCAGAAGAGCACCATCGACAGGGGTGTGAAAGGTGGAAATAGCGGTGGAGTAGCCACGCAGATGGTCGAAGCCGCCAGGCCTTCTTCCAAACGGGCTTGCAAAAACTCAATACTCGACTAAATCCGCAGAAAAGGAATCTGCAATCCCCTATCTGAACACCAGCGGCGCGCAGGCGGGACCACCTATCCTCATACTGAGCGTTTGTCGAATCCATACCGGCCAGAATTGTGTCTGCAACTGCTGCAGGAATTCAGGCGTGCCTCGAGGCTAGACCTGACAGAGGCCAAGCCACCCACTGAATCCTTGGATTGGGGTGGAAGCTCCGTTCTGAGTGAGAATGTCCGGTCGTAAAGGTAATAGAACAGGAGGCTGAGCCAGAAACCAGAGAATTACCGGAAACCAGCTCTGTGACGGCCAAAGCGGTGCCGGTAGCACAAGCAGCTGAGCTGGCTGGGTGGACAGCTGTGAAAGGACACAGGGAATGAGTGGTAACGGCGAACGCAGAGCACTTTGCCCGTCCAATCCAGCAGGAAGGCGGCAGCCAACGCCCACCGGTCCGGTATTCGAGAGCAGAACATCGGGTGTCTGATTAGCCCCGCCCGGACGCAAACAGATCCACTTGGAACAACCCGTTACAACTGGGAGATAACTCTGAATATCTGCGGTCGGAAGCATCCACTTCGTCGCGGGGCCAGGATCTGGCGAGAGAGCGCTTGCTCGCGCGCTCTCCAGCCCGGAAGATAAACAGGGAGTACCTGACAATGCGCACTGGTCGCACCAGAGGAGAAAGTCCCATGTCTCCCCGGAGCTTTCGGGGACACCGTGCATTGCTTCAGGATATGCGACATGGCCGTCTGGTTGTCCAACTGAAGACGAACCACCTGGCCCTGGACATGCTCGGGCGCTCGAAAACCAAACGCACAGCTCTCAGTTCCAACGCGTTGATGTGAAGGCGGGCTTCCGCTTCGACCAGAGTCCGGACACCGACAGACTGCCTAGAACACCCCCAGCCCGTGAGGGGCGCGCTCGGTCTGAACTGTAAGAGCTGGCGCCGGGATTTCCAAGGGGATCCCCTGGTGAGATTCCGGACATTGGTCCCACCACTGAAGGTGAGGTGTCAACCACCGGGGACTGTGAGACTCAGCTCAGGTCCTCCGAGTGAGCCCACAGACTTCGCCAAAGCTTGCTGTATAGGGCACCCTCAACCGCCCGCCACACTACAGAGATCGTCGCCGCCATATGGCCCAGTAGACGGAGCCAAGTCCGTGCTGGTGCCTGGGGCTGGGAGAGGAACGAAGACACCATCTCACGTACTCTGGTGACCCGGTCGGGCGACAAGGAAACGAGATCCTTGTGTGTTTGGAACCTCGCCCCGAGAAAAACCAAGTCCTGGGTGGGTACCAGGTCGGATTTCTTGAGGTTGATGATCCACCCCAGTCGAACTAGAATGTCTATCACCGTGTGAGTAGCATCTAGGCTCCGAGTGCGCCGAGCAACCAGTCGTCCAGGTAAGGGTAACAACGCCTTCCTTGCGAGCAAGCAAGTAGCCGGGACTAACATGAGCTTGGTGAACACCCTTGGGAGGTGGATATGCCGAAGGGGAGCACCGTGAATTGGTAACACATCCCGTCGTAAGAGAACCGAAGGTACTGCTTGAACGATGGATGTATGGGCACATGCAGATACGCATCCTTTAGGTTGATTGACGTGAGCCAATCGCCGGGCTGAACAGAGGAGATCGCCGAGCGCAGTGTCTCCATCTTGAAGGATGGAACTTCTAGCATGCGATTCAACCCCTTGAGGTTGAGAATGGGGCCGGAACCTGCCGTCTTTTCTTGGACGAGGAAGTGCGTGGAGTAAAATCCGCCTGTTCCTCTCCCGGTGGTATCTTCGATTGCGGACTTGTCCAGCAAAGCCTGGACTTCGTCGCGCAATATGTCCGCCTTGCCTGACATGGCGGCACCCGAGTCGCGGCGTATGCGGTGAAGTTGGGCGGACCTGCAGCTTCCACAGTGGTAAATGGCCCGACACTGGCGGTGGACAGCACCCAAGTGTTGTTTGTAGCCTTCTCCCACTCTGGCAGGAATAGAGAGAGCTGACCTCCCACTGGTATGCGTTGGAGTAAGGCGGCGTCGTGGTCGAGTAAGCGGAGCTGACTGGGAGTGACACACGGCTGGGTCTACAGCCTGATGGGTTAACGAGAGGTCAGAGCAGACCTCCCGCGCCTGCGAAAAGGCTGGGAGCTAGTCCAAGAGGACTGCTCTTTGCCCTTACCCTTGGCGGACCGGTTCCTCCGCCTACCTGCCAAGGGGCGAAGCCAACCAGCCGGACTTCGGGTGTAGGCTGCACCCCGGCGGAGGAAGGTGGAACGGAAGCGCGGGGGCGAGAAGCCCGCGGGTGCTCCAACAAGGCTTCGAGTCCTTGAAGGAGGTAGCTGCTGGGCCCCAGGAAACAGCGTCGCTCCCAGACGGTAGGGAAGGGCCAGCAAGGTCTGCTGTCTAGTTGCCGAGTACCGAGACGTCGACAGCCACAGCTTGCGCATCCCCATGACTGCGCACATCACCGTCGATGCAGCGGACCGCAAGGAGTCGCGCGCGAGGTGTGCCTGGACCTCGGATAACTGACGGAGTAGCACGACATGCGGAGATACGTCTCCAGCATGCCCCTCCGCCTCCAGGGCCGACCTCTGGATCGAGGAGAGTAGGCCTCATGGACCACGACCGCACCTGCTGCATAGCGTTCCGGTAGACCTCCTCGTAGGTCCGTGCGCGATGCTGCAGAAGCGCCCAGGAAGCAAGCGGTGGTGTTAAGCGCCCTTGCCGAGCAGCCAGAGCTGCTCGAGGAAGCCGAGCCTCCCCGAGGCGACCCGTAAACTGCGACTCTTCCACCATTGGAACAGCGAACAGGGAATCCTCCCCTAGCTGGTACCTCGGACAAGCTCAGGCAAGTCGAAATGGAGGCGAGACCCAGACAGGAGGATCGACCACGTCCTGGACCAACGGCGGTAGAATACGGAGCAGCGTCTCGTGGGCTGCTGAGGGGCAAACGCCTGCCTGGCAGGAGGAACTCAGACGAGTCCGGCGGCTGGCAGGCACCGCTGCCTGGGGTAGGAACTTCGGCAATGCGTTGCGGACCTCCCACGCAAAGCGTCGCCGAAAAAGCGGAAGGCACCCTCCTGCTCCTCAACCTCCCAGTATCCATGGACTCGGGCCCGAGCCGAGAGTCCGAGTCTGGGTCTCCTTTAGAAGAGGACCCGAACCCCGACCCGGTGGGCGGCTAGCACCAGGCACAGAAGAGAGGGAGGAGCAGACAGAACGCCCCGCGTCAGCACCTGCCTTCACGCACGGACCCCGGTCCCGAGACGCTGGAGGCAGACCAGGCAGAACTGGTGCCTCCGCCCTCATGGGGCGGGGCGGCGCGGGATCGGAACCCCAGGAATCATCAGCGGCCCCTGCGCCAACTCCGAGAGGGGACTGGGGCCGAGCCTCCCCCTCCCGGGGGCAGCCCGGCGTCCCGACCCGAAGCCAGAGGCAGCGGATCTACAGGCGCCTCAAGGCGAGGGATCGAGCCGGGCTCGGCGATCCAACCCCCAGACTCTCCGCCCCCTGCCCAGAGTGGGCGAGGAACTCCTGCCGGAGCCCTCCAACCGACTCATGGACAAGGGACCTCACCGAGTCCACATGCTGCTGAAACAACTGAGTTATTAACGACATATCAAAACCGCTACTAGGAGCGGGAGAAGGCGACTGGCTACGCGACTTTTTGCCCTTACTGCGAGGCTTTTGCGCTTTGGACGGGGGGACCTGGGTCAGTTCCCCTCCCGCCTCACGCATCTCTCTATAAAATAGAAAATCCGCCGCCCTTCTCTTCTGGGTCCGGGGGGAAAAGCCCTTGCAAATCTCACAGGTTTCTGAGATATGATCCGTTTTCTCCAAACACACGATGCATTTATCGTGGTGGTCGGCCCTGGGTATGCTTTTCCCACAGACCGAACAGGAGGAAAACGCCTGAAAGCAAACACGCAAGCATGTAGCTAACAGCGGACCAGCAGCTAAGATACACGTAGAAAACATTGAAATACGTGAAGGCTACCACGGGAAGCAATAGTGGGTTCAATACGCAATATTACAACCACGTGGCACGCTAAACTTCCCGCCTTGGCAGAGCAACATGTGCGTAAACCACGGGAAAGTGAGCGTAAAATAATTAATACAAAGTCACAATTATGAAACAACCGACCGCGAAGCTTTACTGTTCCGTTCAAGGACAAAATAAAGACCATACATACAGGTGGTGTTGTCTCAGACATAGCTCTTTTGAGTTCTCTTGGAGAGTACAGCGCTGCTCTACACATTAACACGTCTATACACGTGAGTGACAGCAGAAGGAATGATGATACGGGCCTAGGTGATTACCCAGTTGGTGCGCATGTGCAACGGGAGGTAACTCCACGAGGTGGGGGCCGTATAATAAATAAAAAAGTTTATTTATTGTACAATCTTTTTATTCAAAAAACATTGATACAACTGTCACAGGACATTTTCAGCGTGGAAAATGCATAATATGTACCCCAAGGACGATCTCTATGAAGGAGAATTGGTTGCGTTCACTGTCAATTTGTATGGGTATAGGACGCAGAGATTTGTGTCCCGTAAATCCCTGCACTTATTAATACCAGTTGGTGTTTTCTGCATACTTCTGGTTTTCACCTAAGATTTTCATGATTTTCATCATGACAGATCTGCATCAACAAACCAAACGATGCTCACAAGGAGTTGAAGAGATGTGGTATTACAACTTGCTACATCTCACCTCATACAGCTGAAGGCGGACGTCAGCCTGTTGGGTGCAGCATCGTCTCAAGTTGCCCAGGATCTCCAGGCACAGAGCCTCGTTACTTGCAGCATTGTACGGCTTATGGACGTCTACCTGGATCTGACAGAGGTGAAATGAATGAATCTCTGTGTGTTGTATTCATCAGTCAGATGTTACGGGTTGATTCCAAAGTTGAAACTAAGGAGCTAACTAATCAGTCTATAGAAGAACTAGGTGTAAAACCAGCAGACAACAAAAGAGCTGTAATTAACAATTGTATTCTATTTAACTAAATTCACAATTCAACACAAAGGTATCATTATGGCAATACACAAGTCAAAATAAAAATACCACTGAGTCACTGACTTAACTGGTACAATGTATAACATGTGAAACATTGCTGCACTAGGGGTATAGCTGGGGCTAGGGCTGGGTCTGGGGCTGGGGCTGAAACATTGCTGTACTGGGGCTAGGGCTGAAACATTGCTGCATTGGGGATAGGTCTGGGCCTGGGGCTGAAACATTGCTGCACTGGGGCTGGGTGATTTTCACGGTGTTGAAACATTGCTAATCACTGGGGCTAGGGCTGGGTGCTATGAAATCATTGCTGCACTGGGCTGGTGTTGAAACATTGCTGCACTGGGGACTAAGGCTGGGGCTGAAACATTGCTGCACTGGGGCTGGGCGCTGACTCATTGCTGCACTGGGGCTGGGGCTGAAACATTGCTGCACTGGGGATAGGGTTGGGGCTTGGGCTTAATACATTGCTGTACTGGGGCTAGGGCTGAAACATTGCTGCACTGGGGCTGGTGCTGAAACATTGCTGCACTGGGGCTGGGGCTGAAACGTTGCTGCACTGGGGCTAAGGCTGGGGCTGAAACATTGCTGCACTGGGGCTGGGGCTGAAACATTGCTGCACTGGGGCTGGGGCTGAAACATTGCTGCACTGGGGATAGGGCTGGGGCTGGGGCTAAAACATTGCTGCACTGGGGCTGGTGCTGAAACATTGCTGCACTGGGGCTGGTGCTGAAACATTGCTGCACTGGGGCTGGGGCTGAAACATTGCTGCACTGGGGATAGGGCTGGGGCTGGGGCTGAAACATTGCTGCACTGGGGCTGGGGCTGGGGCTGAAACATTGCTGCACTGGGGCTGGTGCTGAAACATTGCTGCACTGGGGCTGGGGCTGGGGCTGGGTGTGATGCTGCACTGGGGCTGGGGTTGGGTGTGTTGATGTTGATGTTGATGATGGGGTTGGGGTTAGTGGTTATTTTGGCTGGAGATCACAGGATCCACGGAAAGAGGATATTTTTACCTGGCTAAATGAGCAGAAGCAGAATCAAATGAATCTCAACCTGACTTTCTACGTAGAATGTTAGTTCCATCAACAGACAAAAGGAAATGGATTTATTACCTGGCTGAGTGAGAAAGTCTGACTGGACTGACTGGACACCAGGCCTCCCAGGACCTTGAAGTGCTTCAATATCATCAGGAAGCCCATCACACCAATCTTCCGGGAATCCAACTGCCTGAGAACATGAACACTGCATTGTTTCACAGGGTTTTACATAGCTTAGAAATGTATGCCAAGTACATACAAAAGCTACCTGTGAAGATCTGCATGTCGAGCCTATCTTAGTACCACCACAGCTTGGAAAACACAAATTGGCCGATCAATTCTTCTACTCACATACCAAACCCCCACCCGTTCATCCCACACTCCTCTCGCTTACTCGCTCCACCCGTGAAGATCAGCGTTAGAACTGATCTTCAGTAACCCATGCTTGTCATAAGAAACAACTAACGGGATCAGATGGTCAGGCTTGCTGACTTGGTTCACACATGTCATCAGGGCTCCAGATAATTTTTCAACATCCTTATTTTTTCAATATATACTCAGCAGCAAAAATAACGTCAGTACGAATTCAAAATTAGATAGGCACTGTAATCATTACAGAAATGTACATAATAAGCGGATCAAAAACATTTTTTGTGTACAATATCTTGACACATCAGTGAAAGAATCAGCAAAATTGCAAAAAGAAATTACATGAACGTTTGCAGTCCATTCAGACTCTTGACTTCAGTATCTAGTGTGACCACCACAAGCGGCAATAACTGCAGCACAGCGTCAATGCAAGGAGTGCACCAATCGATTGATGAAGGCCATTGGCACATGGAACCACACCCTGAGAAAGGCCTGGCGCAATACATCGTCTGAGTTCGGCCTTGGTATGACATTATTCAGTCTCCTCTGAATTTCATCCCAAAGATGTTCAACTGGGTTTAAATCAGGACTAAGGGCTGACCACTGCATAATGTTGACACCGTTCTGCTGTAGGAAGTCCCGTGTAGCTCTGGCAGTATGGGCCCGAGCATTATCATGCTGGAAAATGTTGTTCCGGTAACGTGCGAAATGTGGTATGACGTGGGGTCTGAGAGCTTGGTTGATGTAGCGCACCGCTGTGATGCCGCCTCCTCTCCCTGGACCAAGGTTCTGGAACACCACAGGACCCACTCACTGGTTCAGGCCTATTCCACCCCATACCATGATGCCTGCACCTCCCCATGAGTCTCTTTCCATAACACATTGGTCTGAGTAACGCTGGCCACGTCGTTGCCATATTCTTGTTCTGCCATCTGCAGTTGATACGCAGTACCGACTCATCTGTGAACAGAACACTTCTCCATTGCCTGTATCGCCAGTTTTGGTGTTGTAGGGCAAACTGTAGATGTTCACACCGATGACGAGGGGTGAGGATAGGTCCACGGTAACGTCTATGGCAATGGAGGTTCCCGCTGTTTAGATGTCAGTGTACTGTATCAGTACTGATTGGTCTTCTGTGTGTTCCCACTGTCTGGCGTGTTGTTTCGGATGCCTGCATGAAGGGACTCTGTACATTCTGTCGCACAACATGGCGGTCTTGTCGTCTTGTGGTCACCCTGGGTCTGCCAGTTTTTGGGCGATCATTTGTGGTGTTGGTGGCCCAGAAACGTTGCTGCAGCCTGTAGATGGTCCGAACATTGACCTGGAAGTGATTGGCAATGGTTTGTGCAGTGTGGCCAGCTTCAAGTCTTCCAAGCGCCTGGTTCCTCTGAGCTGTCGTGAGAAGGGGCATCCTGCTGACGTTGTAATGTGAATATTTCAACCAGGTTTGGGGGGGCATTTTATAGGGCTGGTCCTTGTGAACAGCACGTGCAGCATGAGTTGCATGAAAAATATGGAGAACACCAGACCATCTCCAAGATCAGGTTGCGTTTTTGAGACCATTTCCTGGGTTCAATTCTGAGTTTGGGAAGGAATGTCTTTGCTCAGGTAAAGTTGGAGATGTTGTCAAAAAATACAATCAAAATATTAAATGAGTTTACAGTTATCCGTTTCTGCGAAGGAAAATTCCAAACTGATGTTTCTTTTGCTGCTTAGTATAGGAGTACTTGAAAATCTTAAAGAGTACATTTAGAGTACTGAATGGAATTTAATGGAGTATCAGTAATCTTGAGTTTCGTTTCATATATGCACCACAACATTGCTAGTCTTGTGTAAACAGGCCAATAAACAATACTTTTTCAGATAAATACGTCTGTAAATGATTCTAAGACCGTACTCCATTGCTGTGGTGCGTATCTGCTACGTTTTCTAAATTATTTCCTATCGTATCGTGCATATTTTATATCCGTACATACGCTGATACGGACTTTATGTGGAGCCCTGTGTCATTATCTTGCTTAGAGCCCTGTGTCATCAATATCCCAATTGCTTAGATCAATGCTAATGATGTTGATCACTGGATTGTCTGGTCCAGACTCTAATTATATACAGACAGCCACCATATAGATTTAATATTGCTGAGTGCAGTGTTAAACAACAAACCAACAAACAAAACACCAGCAATAGCAACTGGATTGTTTACTTATCATTATTTATTTACTGCAGCAGTATAGCTAGATATTCACAGGTTTCCCAGCTAGGAACATGGTAAGAGCTCCTCCCGTTCCCCCATCCCAAATGCTATTTATAAATATATATTAAAATTATTAACAAAACCTAACACAAAAATTACTAGAGAACTCACAAAAATAACACAAAGCCCCAAAATTAATTACAATATATAGGGTTGAACCACTTAGCGTTACCTCTGTTAATCTGCGGAAGAAAGAATATGGAGGAACGGAAGGAACTCTTTCCAGGAACATAATCAGTCTCAATTTCATGTTACAAAAAATAAGCACTACAATTTTTTCCATTATTTTCTAGTTCCTACACTATTCCTTCCTTACTGATCTCACAGTCCCTGTCTACTCACTTTGAAAACATGGCCTTGCGTAGTACGCGTAGTACGAGTATGAGTGAGTCTTTGAGAGACATGCTGAGTTTGAGTAGGGGCTGTATGGCCTTCAGAAGACCCTCGGCCGATGACGGCGGCAGGAATGACAGGTAGTCGAATGCTTCTCTCACCTTGGGGACAGACTCCAGAAGAAGCTGAGGAGCAGACTTGACTGTGTCTGCTAGCAGCTCTGCGGATGTCACAGGTCATTTTAGTGACAACACCCAGATTGTAAGGGTGAAATGATACAGCATGTTACAGCATGATACAAGTTCACAGTATGATGTGCATACTTACATCAAGTGAGTCTGAAATATCTTCACTATGAATATTTCGGAGCAGGTTCAAAATGAAAAGCATGCTGAAGAAACATCTTCATAGCAGGGTTTTTAATAGTGAACTTAAAACACTAATTAACACATATTTTTCAATATTTGACTGACAAAAAAGCTGGATGGTCATTGAAAAAGCAACAATATAAGTTAGAAAGTGTACCTCTTGTTTAAATTACTGTGATGTTTATTGTCAAAGTAATGTCATGTTTGTTGTTATCCTACCCAAGTAATGAGACACTGGTGATGTGGCCTTGGTGGTTACTCGGTTGAAGATCTGGTCCAGAATCTCGTGTCTCACAACTTCATGAGCCTGTAGGAGAACAAAGGCATCATAACTATATGATCCATGATGTCACAGTCATGATGTCACACACTGTCTCTGTCCAATCAATATTATACCTTTCATAATGGTCGTGATGTTAATACATTGTGGCACTTTGAATATGTACATGGTGATATTATACTGAAATGATCTTTTCAAAACTGTCAGCTGTTTTGTATCTGCTTAGTTAAACATGAAACTTAGCAAAGTTTTCTAGACACTTGCCTGATAATGTAGCAAGTGTTACTAGTGGATCCACAGAAAATGTATCCACACATAACAAAGACAGATCACATAACAATGTAAAATAAGATGAGGTGAGGTGAGGTGAAATTGGGTTTAACATCGTTCTTGGGAATATCTCGCTCATATGGCGACGTGCATGCGTGTGTATGTATATGTGCAGCTGCTTGTACTAGCTCAGACTTAAGCTGGTTTTATAGTGCTAGCCCACTGAGATACCATGCCGCAGTGAAGCATGAATACCCCACTCAGACACATTATACTGACTCCCGAGCCGACCAGTCCTTGATGTACCCATTAATGCCGAGCGCCAGGCAGGGACAAACAAGTACCATATTTTAACGTCTTCTGGTATGACGCGGTCGGGAAACAAATAATGTTGTGAAGTAAGTGACTGATATAATGTATCCGCTGTGTTATGAGTGAGGGAGGACTGTGCAATTTCTAGAACTAATTCCTCCGCCATGCACTCTGTAATTTGACTGGCCTGTTGCAAAGATCACACCACTACACCACACCACGGAGGCGGTCGTAAAATAAAATGAATTGTGGCAGTCTATACATATGTACAAATATGAAAAGTAAGTATCAGTGGGTAAGAGTTTCGACCGTAATCCCCGCTTGAAATATATTCTATTTATTAGGATTTCCGAGAGTTTAGGGTTAGGGTTAATTTTTTTTATGTAAAAACCCCTCTATTCTTAGGCATAGAATGCTAAAAAAACCAGGGGGTTACGGGCGGAAATCTTTCTTATCAGTGTAAATGGTTAAAAGTCTTACTGAGGTAAAACCTGTTCATGTGCCAACCAGATTTGTTCCTCAGGATAATAGCTAGCACAAATAAACCATCATATGAAATAGCACAACGTGCTTAATTCTCTCAATGCCAATGTGGCATATTCAGTTCATAACCTGCAGACATGGCTTGTCCTTTCAGTGCTCTACTGACCTGGGTACTGAGTACTTGTGTTAAACCAAGCTGGAGAAAGTAAAAACCCAAGCTACAATTATATAACCCCCTTTGTTGTTTGACTACCACAGCTGGATCATGGACAATGGAAAGTGGTCAGTGATAAGCAGTAGTGGTGGTCCATTAATTGAAATAATCGAAGATTGGTCGCAGTGCCTAAACGACCAAGCAATCGATTGTGTTTTCTCATGATCGAACACAACCAATCTTGGAACACTTGTTTGCATCAACAATATTTTACACAAGGTTGGTTTTGTCTGTGTCATTAAATTTACATTTCATAAGCACTACAAGCTCGTTCCAAGTCATGATTGAATTTATCTTAAAGAATCCAGGAAATCTGTGTTCCTAACATACTAATCATCCTTTAAATATGCGAAATTTGCCAATGGATTTTGTGCAATTTGCAAAAGACCCAAATTACTACATGTTTTTTCTTTATTTTTTGTGTGTGCATTAACAAAGATAACAGGAACATTTGATAAATGACGCAAACCAATTATTTTCGATGATTGATCGGTTGTAATGAACCAATCATCAATTATGAGATTTTAACCAATTCCCAACACTAGTAAGCAGAGTATCTGAGTTAGAGTGAATAGGTATTTTAGGAAATATAAATGTATTTGAGAATCACTTCAGATTTATAAATATATACTCAGAGAAACAAATAAAGGATCACAGGAAAATTCAAGCGTTCCTTTAATATCTTCTAGTTTTCATCACCTTTGATTAGCGCTGTGGTGATGAAAACTGGAAAATAATAAAGGAATGCTTGCATATTCCTGTGATCCTTTATTTATTTCTCTCAATATATATACAGATTTATAGATACATATATAAGAAATTCTCAAAACACAAGTACAAACCACCACTCCTATGGACCTTGAGCTTACAAGGTTTACTACTGACTGACTGACTGAGTTTTGTTTTACGCTGCTTTTAGCAATATTCCAGCAACATCACGGCGGGGGACACCAGAAATGGGCTTCACACAATGTACCCATGTGGGGATTTGAACCCGGGTCTTCGGCGTGACGAGCCAATGCTTTAACCACTAGGCTACCCCACCGCCCCTACGAGGTTTACTGGGTTGATAATACTGATAATAATGATAATAGTAATGAATTGAGTTCTGTTTTTGCAATAGACATTTTGCATAATTCACTTGACACATGCTCAAAGTAAGAATAATGTTACACCACTACTGCATAAAGTAAAAACAGCCGTATAAACACACAGAACAATCATGTGACACGTCATAGCAATTATCTCCCTTGCCAATATATACAAAGAAGAGTAACTTTGTAACTTTTTGCAACTGGGCGTTGGCCGGCCATGTGTTTACCTTGAATGTGTTGATGAGGAGCCTTGCACCAAGTCGACAGCTTTGCCTGGAGGGGGTCAGTTGTGTGGTGGGGCTGGTGGTCTCAATCCTCCCAAACCGCAGCCTTTGGTCCGAAACTGTCCATCAAAGTGAAGCCAAGTTGCACGAGGCTCTGTATCACGTGATCCCAGCCATACACACTGGGGAAGGCAAAGGAGGACACTGACTCAACAGAGTTCAGGGATGCATTGACAAAAAAACCCAAAAACTTACAGCTTACGTTGCACCAGGATCTACACAAGGTGTGAGTTAAGGACATGATGTATATTACAGGAACAGTTTTGTGTGTTTGTTGTTTAATGCCTCACTTACCGGTAGCAATAAATACAGCTATAAATAGCTGTAACTAATAGAGTCTGGACCAGACAACCCAGTGATTGACATCATGAGCATCGATCTACACAATTGGGATACGATGAATCAACCAAGTCAGCGAGCCTGACCACCCGATCCTCTAGCCACCTCTTACAACAAGCATGGGTTGCTGAAGACAGTTCTAACCCAAACCTTCACAAGTCATATGAAAAGTGTATATATAATAAGATAATGAATTATGATAACCGAAGGTAGTTATGAAGTTCTCCACTTTTCAATATTTATTTAAATATTTGGGAAATCCTCACACAACTCAATTCAGATGTTGCCCGATTGTATCACTTAAGATACTGATTGGCTGTAATAAGCACAAGTCGCTTTGGAAATCGATGGGGCAGTAGTGAAAGTTAGTTCAAACATTGATGGAGCTAAAACTGTTATGTTAATAGTTACTTCCCCTTCTGCTCTTCTTTGATATACACAACAAAAGACGAAACCACGGGCAAAGTTTGAATGTTGAGGAGTAACTTCCATTGATTTATGTGGAAAAATATAAAATAAGATTAAGCTTTTGCTGTAATGTTGCTGACTGTGGCGTAAAACATTCCCTCACTTACTGTTTGATACATAACTAGATGAGTGAGTGAGTTTAGTTTTACACTGCACTCAGCAATATTCCAGCTATATGGCGGTTGTCTGTAAATAATCAAGTCTGGACCAGACAATCCAGTGATCAACAGCATGAGCATTGATCTGTGCAATTGGGAACCGATGACACGTGTCAACCAAATCAGCGAGCCTGACAACCCGATCCCGCTAGTCGCCTTTTATGACAAGCATGGGTTACTGAAGATCAATATTCTAACCCGGACCTTCACGGGTCCTACTTAACTAGAAATTCCACTAAAGACATGTCAAAGTTCTATTAGGATCTGTCAGCCTGTAGTTCACAGCCAGAGGCCCAGATAAGCTGCGTATCCGGGTAAAATATGTATAGAAAATTTCCAATTACGCATTGAAAAATAATTGTTGCATACCAATTACGCATTTAAATGTTAGATACGCAAAAAGTTTAAAACAAATGCGTAAGGAATATATTTATAAAAATCGCTTGCGTAATGAAAAAGACATCGACTGCTATCAAGTTGTACTGTCAGTATAGGATGAGTGATTTTTTATGAAATCATTTCCATTATATTCAAGTTGGTTTTGATTAGGTATGACATAAGGCAGAACATACCTGCTTAGTAAACTTACTCAATGACATAATACTTAGGTGAGTAAAATTATTGAAATACGCACATATTTGAAAGCAGTGGGTAACGGAAAATGAAATACCCACTCAACATTCATAATACCCACTCCAGGAAAATACAGTGGGTACAGTACCCACATGAGCTAAATCTTATCTGGAGCTCTGCACAGCTCTTGACAATATCTCAGGTGTTTGATCCTGTCAAAACAACTTGGAACCAGATAAAGTAGTGATTGATCAAGAGCAGCATCAAATCATATGAGCCACACCTGAACCTTCCAGTCGCATCATGTGACGCGTATAGGTTGCTGAGGATCTATGCTTAATGGTTATCCGGGCTGGTGGGGTAGCCTAGTGGTTAAAGCGTTCATTCTTCACGCTGAAGGCCGTGTTCAATTCCCCACATGGGTACAGTGTGTGAAGCCCATTTCTGGTGTCCCCAGCTGTGATATTGCTGGAATATTCCTAAAAGCGGCGTAAAACCATACTCACTCACTACTAGGAATCCACACCGCCAATTACTCAACGACAAGGCCTTCCATTTGCAATTTGACTTTTCAGCTCCGAACACAAGGAATCTCACTGGTTGCTGAGAGCCTATGCTACCTAGCAATCCTCATCTAACTACTACTGAGATAGTGACAGGGCCAATAATTCACAGCTCCCAACACAAGGAATCTCACTGGTTGCTGAGACTATGCTGAGACTATGCTAACTAGCAATCCTCATCTAACTACTACGGAGATAGTGACATGGCCAATAACTCACAGCTCCCAACACAAGGAATCTCACCTGTTACTGACAGTCTCCAGCACCATGCTCCCAACACAAGGAATCTCACCTGTTACTGACAGTCTCCAGCACCATGCTCCCAACACAAGGAATCTCACCTGTTACTGACAGTCTCCAGCACCATGCTCTCACAGCTCCCAACACAAGGAATCTCACCTGTTACTGACAGTCTCCAGCACCATGCTCTCACAGCTCCCAACACAAGGAATCTCACCTGTTACTGACAGTCTCCAGCACCATGCTCTCCCAGCTCCCAACACAAGGAATCTCACCTGTTACTGACAGTCTCCAGCACCATGCTCTCACAGCTCCCAACACAAGGAATCTCACCTGTTACTGACAGTCTCCAGCACCATGCTCTCCCAGCTCCCAACACAAGGAATCTCACCTGTTACTGACAGTCTCCAGCACCATGCTCTCAATGTTCAGTTTCTCGTGTGTGATTTCCCTCACTAGATAGGACTGCTGCTGTCTGTCTGTGTCTTTAAAACATCTCAGTATTGTATTCTTTAAAAAATCAAATATCTGAAAACAAAATCAAGAGGTGATGTAGGGCGAGCGTTGTATTTTAACAAGAGCATTTGACCAAATTTTTTAGAAAGTCAAATTGAAGGCTTTTTATAAAGGGAAATAACACTCCAACTTTGAGGGAATAAATATATGGATCGGCTTTTTCTTCATGGATTCTCTATTGGCTTCTTATGGAATATAGGGCGGTGGGGTAGCCTAATTGTTTAAGCGTTGGCTTGTTACGCCGAAGACCCGGGTTCGAATCCCCACATGGGCACAATGTGTGAAGCCCATTTCTGATGTCCCCCGCCGTGATGTTGCTGGAATATTGCTAAAAGCGGCGTAAAACCAAACTCAGTCAGTCTTATAGTTTCAAATGGTTGGTATTTTGCTCTATTCTTGCTGTTATTGCTATATTGCGAATATGAACAGAAATTCATTGCTGCAAATATACTACATACGTCTGTGTTTTATACTGAACTACAAAATTATACATAAAATTTACACACATAAAGGAAAGAAAGATTTCCGTAAGCTTCATCCAATCAAATACGAGTATTCCAGGGGATTCCCCTTGTCAGTGAGGTCCACTCTGACTCATCCAAAGCCCACTTTGATGGCTTCCTGACCCTAATTGGCTCCTAGTGGTTATGGTAGAAAATAAATTGGTGCTGGCTTGACCACTAAGAGTTGGGGTGATGGCTCCCTTTAAGGCAGGGTCACCAAATTTAATGCCCACGCAAACATGGTGGAAAGTTATAACCTTACCTCAATGTTCCTAGCAGAGCAAACTGGCAAACATACCGTACAGGTATCCACACAAAGATTTAATACTAGGATCAGGGTTTCACGTCCAGTACACACAAATCCAGAGAATGGATGCAGAAAACAATTCACAGCATCCAGAGGGACACACAATATTGTTCACTGTACCCACAAAACATCTATGACTTTGCTGCGTATTTGGTTGTTTCTTTCAGAGCAGTTACATGCATCAATTCATCAATTCATCAATCAGTTCACATGATCAATGATTTATTCCATGATCAAAAGAAATGATCAAACATACAGTTCTCTACACTGTTACTTCACAGGACCCTCACATTGCCTGCAAGCACCCATAAAAGTGTTTCTGAGTCGAGGTAAAACCGTGTTGGGAGTGAGTGAGTGAGTTTAGTTTTACGCCACACTCAGCAATATTCCAGCTATATGGTGGCGCTCTGTAAATAATCAAGTCTGGACCAGACAATCCAGTGATCAACATCATGAGCATCGATCTATGCAATTTGGAACCGATGACATGTGTCCACCAAGTAGGCGAGCCTGACCACCCAGTCCCGTTAGTCACTTCTTATGACAAGCATGGGTTACTGAAAGTCAATTCTAACCGGGTCGGTGGGGTAGCCTAATGTTTAAAGCGTTGGCTCGTCACGCCGAAGACCCGGGTTCGAATCCCCACATGGGCACAATGTGTGAAGCCCATTTCTGGTGTCCCCCGCCGTGATGTTGCTGGAATATTGCTAAAAGCGGCGTAAAACCAAACTCAGTCAGTCAGTCAGTCAATTCTAACCCGGATCTTCACGGGTCACCCTGATAGGATGATTCCTAACTCTTCTTATATCGCCTGCAGCACATTACCTGATCTTGGAATCTGTGCAGTTGAGCTGTGGACAAGGCAAGGGCAAGGTTGAAAGGGGCAAGGGCTCTTGTTGGACATGACAGCTGACTGGCCTGTAGAACAGTTGACTATGTACATATATTCACTCAATGAACAACAGTTTCTTATCAGTTTATGAAAGTCATCAATTTTTACCCATAGGAAAGTTTCTATATTACTTTTAATGATCACACGAATAAAGCACAAAGTTGATTCCATAAATACATTAATGAAGACATACATATGATTCATTAATTGAAATATACCCATTTTTCATTAATGAAGACATACATATATGTATATTAAACAAGAAGACAAGGTCATCAATATCCCCTGCCACAGTGTTCTGTTCCTATTTGGTTCCTGTTTTTCAACTCCACCATGACATTCACGTCCTGAAAACACATACCACATTTGGTTTCCCTATCTACAACAGTTACTGAGAAAATCTGTTCCTATTGAGGATAATGTGCACTAAGACTAGAAACGCATGACAAGGGCCATAACTCTGTAACAAATTGTAACACAGTTTCCATTTTTGAACTCGATCAAGGCATTCATGTCCTGAAAACACATACCAAATTTGGTTGCCCTGTCTTTAACATCTTTTGTTAAAGAAAATCAGTCCCCATCATCTCGGATGGACGGACAGAGCTCAAACCTATATCCCCTACCACTTCGTGGCAGGGGATAATAAATTCATACACCCAATTCATTTATCCAGAAATGGGTATATTTCATAAATCTATAAACATAAATCATTAATCTAGATGTACGTGATTCATTCCTCCATCCATGATCTACACAATTTGTTAATGAATATATACACATGGTTCATTTATCCATATAGACACATGATACATATAATTAGTTTATCCAGATGTAAACATGGTTAAATACTCCAGAATGATTGATCCAGACATGTTACACCAAGTTCAAATGGCAAGCTACCATTCACATGAACTGGCTCCCCAGCCAACACATGCATTAGACTTCAAGCAAATAAACATTAATGTAGAAATGTGTTAGTCCAAACCTTCAGATATTTGACAAACTCTCTTCCCAGCTCCTGATCTTGTTTGATGGCAACGACAATATGGAGGATACTGGTACCCTCGGTGTGTCTTAGCGTCTCCACACCGTTGTACTCACACATCAGATCCTCGCTGGGCGAACACAAGGAAATAGTTTGTATTAGACACTGCAGAAGTCATTATTCTCAGACTTTGAGACTTTCAGGATCTCATTCAAAGTGAAACTATCCCTGCTCTGCATTTGCAACTTTCACTTCTGTTTGTCAGTTTTTGCCTTAATAACTTGTATATTATTCCGTTGCATTTGATTGGCCAACTAAATAGTTATTTGGGGGTTTGATTCCATAAAATTGAAATGGCCACACCCATGAGAAAACTACTGTTTCACAATTGACTGATAAAGAGAGTGGAATTATTGCCCTAAATGTGAGTGAGTTGGGTTTTAAGCCGCTTTTAGCAAGAGATTGAATGAGTGAATGAGTGAGTGAGTGAGTGAGTGAGTTGGGTTTTACACCGGTTTTAGCAATATTCCAGCAATATCACGGCGGGGGACACCAGAAATGGGCTTCACACTCTGTGCTCATGTGGGGAATTGAACCCGGGTCTTCTACACCACACGCCCTGCTCTAAATATGGTTGTGGTTGTATCATCATCAGGTTTGTGTTAACGACTAGATAAGCAGTCAGTGAAGTTATTATCCATGACTCAGTATATCTATGCTCTTTAGGGGTAATAAATGTGAAACCTGCACAATGTGTAAATGTGTGCGCACAGTGTTACATTCATGCATCCATATATCAATGTATCATGGGAAATACTGAACATGTAATGCTTCTGTTACAGTCTTTTAACTTACTTGAAATAAGTCCTTACATCTAAATATTCAGTTGATAATAAAGGCTCTCAAATTCATAAATAACAGATCGTAATCATTTTTATTCTTGTCATAAAACGATTTCACAATGACACTAATAAAGTAGCACTGGTTTGACAACTACACATATTTTAGCAACTTTAAGATGATACTTAACTAGGGTGAAGTATTAAACATAAATTTCCAAAACAGTGTATCAAAGTATGGGATCATTTATCCACTTGCATAAAGGGATCTTAGTGCTATGACAGTCACAAACCAATGTTAACTCTGAGAATTACGATCAGTACAGTGCTAAGGTTGCTTTGTTCAAGTGGACCCAGATCTTAAGGAGATTGTTTATCTGATATTGACAACTTGAGCAATGTCCGGTCAGATTCCCATTTACCTTTCCTGGTTTCCGCGACTCCGTTGAAGGTTGTCCTGGTCTATGAAGAAGTCAGTGATCCCTTCCAGAACCAACCTCTTATGACCCTATAGGGAGCAGAGACCAGGTGATGATCAGTTATCCCAACAAACTCTTAACATTAATGTTTGCTTATTTACTTACATTTTATCCAAGGCTCATAACTTAATACACAATAATTTGTTTCGGTTTGTAGCAAAATGATGGTTGGTTCGTGTTTAACGTCACACTCAGCAATATTCCAGCTATATGGCAGCGGTCTGTAAATAATCGAGTCTGGACCAAACAATCCAGTGATCAGTATCATGAGCATCGACCAACACAATTCGGATACAGATGACATATGTCAACCATGTCGGCGAGCCTGACCATCCGATCCTGTTAGTGACCTCTTACGACAAGCATGGGTTGCTGAAGACCAATTCTAACCAATTATTCACAGGTCGGTAGCAAAATGAACTGTTACCAATCACTCAAAATTAACAGCCATCTCTGCTGTTTCAGATACCTGTGATATTCAATCAGGTTCTAACCAGTGCTTGCACTGCCTACCTTTGCAGCCAGCAACAACAGCTGATAGACCAGTGCAGGTAGATCCTGGAGGTCAAGGTCACGCATCCCACGTAGGACCTTCTCAACAACAAACTTGAGTTCCTCCTGTGTGAGGGGGACGTCCCGGAACATGGCAGCAAGGTGAAGGACACTCTGTGGGTTCCATCTGCAAAACACAAGGATAAATATTGTCTTGTGAGAGTATGTCTACTTGTGTGTCGCAGTAGTGATCAGTGCCCACTTGCACAAAGTAGTCTCAGCATTAAGACAGTCGTAAGTCCCATACTTTAACATAGACATGATAGACTTATGATAGTCGCTGCACTAAGACAACTTTGTGTAAATGGGCCTGGCAATTGATCCTAATTGGTTTTAAGAACCTATAAATATTCTACTTAATTAAGAAATTTTCCAAAATCTAGTTAAATTCTTATGTTCTAATTAAATATCCTTAGGGGAGTCAATGTCAAAACAACAAACAGTGGTCCTCAGCAACCTTTTGCTATCGTAAGTAACAAAAAGATACTTTTTTCAGTTTTTCATGAGTTGCCATGAGAAACTGAACGCTTTATTTTTTTCAGATTGATGTTTATGAATGCGGTGACAAGACCCGCTCGTACTTGTGTAATTGTTATGGCGCGAATGGCACAAGGGCCTTGCCTGGAATGAACATGCAATGAGGTCTTACAGCACTGGGTGCCCCAGGATCTTAAACAGTCCTACTTCCACCTACTTGCAGGAGCAGACAGTGTTGAGGACATGACTCTTGTACTCTGATCCCTTCATGGAGCTCTCCCCGTACACCACTGCATCCTGGACCAACAACACTGACAGCAACTTAGGGAACAGCTCCAGTGCTCTGAAACAGAATGTCACAGAATCACATCCACAGATCTGGTCATTGTGAATGTTTTTATGCACAAAAGTATTTGAAGAAAAAAAAAAATTCAGTCAATGTTAGAGAGAGGGAGAGAGGAGGGAGAGAGGGGGTAGAGGGAGAGAGAGAGGGAGAGAGAGAGAGAGAGAGAGAGAGAGAGAGAGAGAGAGAGAGAGAGAGAGAGAGAGAGAGAGAGAGAGCAGGGCAGGCAGGGCAGGTAGGTAGGTAAGTTTTACTCTGTATATAGCAATATTCCAGCAATAGCACAGCAGGCGACACCAGAAATGGGGTATTCGCGTGACAAGTGAACATTTTAACCACAAAGCTACCCCACTGCCCCTAAGTTGCTAGTAGGTGTGTAGGGAGTCAGGATTTGTATCCCTAACATGTCCAACAATATACCCCAAATATTGAGTCCTTACTTTCCTCCCTGTAGCGTCCCCTCCTTGATGGACTCCACGAAACTGCTGGCCAGCTCCACCAACACTGTACCAGGGAGAGAGTCAGCCTGCGAATAGAAACACCGTGTTACAACAGTACCACATCTTGACACAACCCCTGGGCCCTGCGTATAGAAACACCGTGTTACAACAGTACCACATCTTGACACAACCCCTGGGCCACCATGTTAACACAGTATAGAAACACCCGTGTTACAACAGTACCACATCTTGACACAACCCCTGGGCCCTGCGTATAGAAACACCGTGTTACAACAGTACCACATCTTGACACAACCCCTGGGCCCTGCGTATAGAAACACTGTGTTACAACAGTACCACATCTTGACACAACCCCTGGGCCCTGCATATAGAAACACTGTGTTACAACAGTACCACATCTTGACACAACCGATGGGCCCTGCATATAGAAACACTGTGTTACAACCGTCCTACATCTTGACACAACCCCTGGGCCCTGCGTATAGAAACACTGTGTTACAACCGTCCTACATCTTGACACAACCCCTGGGCCCTGCGTATAGAAACACCGTGTTACAACCGTCCTACATCTTGACACAACCCCTGGGCCCTGTTCCTGTTCCAATCTTAGCACTAAGGTAGTTGTGGTACCAATACTTTCACATGTTTAACGATAGTTGTAGGGCTAAGATGGCTCTGTGGATCAGGACCCTGAACATTCAAAAGGTATTGTCATATTCTGATATCTGACATGATAGAATTGATAAACCAATTTATTATATAGGTAGTATTTTGCGTGTACCACGATTGGTCAAAAGACCGTCACATGATTGACTACAAAAGACGATATTGACTTGGGTTACTAAAAATAGACAAGGAATCCCGTACGAAGGGGCTTCCCGCGCTTTTCAGCCAATCAGATCACTTGGATAGATGGCACAGTGTGTGCATTAAAAGTTTATGTTAAAACCCGTTTCTCTTACATTATATAATAAAACAATTATAGACTCTTGTAGAGGTCGATATCGGTTTTTATTGACCTGAGAAAAACAATATCGACCTCGCTAGCTCGGTCGATATTGTTTTACTCAGGTCAATAAAAACCGATATCGACCTCTACAAGAGTCTATAATTGTATAATATTATTGAAAGAATTGTAAATTACATATACCGGGTTATACAAATCATGTCACTAAATTGTCAGTTTCCATGGCAGTAGATTTGTTTATTGATGGTCATGTTTGGTTTTTTTTCACATGCTACCAAATCAAAATTCTTCCATCAGGTCTATTCTCTCATACAAGTAAGAATTCTGTGTCTTCAAAGCTCTAAGAAATTATATCAAGCCATGTTGCTTTGTTTTATGCCTGTTCTTCAACATGTTTAATGCCACACAGAGAATTATCCAGCTGTACGACTATGGTCTTTGATAACAGGACCAGACAATCCAGTGATTGACATCATGAACATCGCTTCATGCAACTGGGATACGATGATATTTATCTTGCCTCACATTAGTGGTGGTCCGATTAATTGAAATAATCGAAGATTGGTCGCAGTGACTAAATGACCAAGCAATCGATCATGTTTTCTCATAATCGAACACAAACAATTCTGGAACACATGTTTTCATAAACAATATTTTTCGCAAGGTTGGTTTTGTCTGTTACATTTCATAAGCACTACAATCTCATTTTCAAGTCATGATTGAATTTATCTTAAAGACTCCAAGAAATTTATGTTCCTGACATACTAGTCATCCTTTAAAGATGTGAAATTTTGTCCAAGATATTTTTTATGGATTAAACTTCTTTTTAAATTTCTCTCTCAACGTTTCGAGACCATTCCAGGTCCCTTCATCAGGTGAACTGTCAGTTAGGACTATGACGTCGTCACTATGACGTCATTACTGAGTAAAAAGAAGTTTAATCCATAAAAAATATCTTGGACATCAATGTACAACTTCTAAATGCCACTGAAAGACATGTGAAATTTTGCCCAAAAACCAAAAAGAACTACATGGGTTTTTTTTATTTTTATGTGCATTAACAAATTTCATTAATGACGCTCACCAATTTTTTTCGATGATTGATCGGTTGTAATAAACCAATCATCAATTATGAGATTTTAACCAATTCCCAACACTACCTCACACATAAATGTCGTTTTCTGATTGGCTGAGGGCTCTTCTATTATTTTCAATGTACCCCACTTACAAGCGAGTAATATTTTCTATGTACCCTCCTGGGAACGCAGAACTCATTTGGTACTTAGTAGTAGTAATTCTTTATCTCGAATAACATTGAATCACATGTGATGTATGGAAATTACCGATGTTTTGCGAATGCAAATTGATGGAAGGGAGATAACTCTAAATTTTCTTTCTAGTCGTCTGTATACTCCATACTGTGATCAAATACCCGTGCTTCAAACAGTGTGTTAGGTAAGATAAATATGTTGTTCACTGGTCTTGAAGGGGACATGGGCTGATGTACCCTCGATGTTTGTTTATGTTCCCTGAGCCCTATAGATTTCAACTATGCACCAAAATACAAGGAATTAACCTGCATTTCCTTGGATTCTGCATGTAGGTAGCAGTACTTTGAAAAGATTGATGTTTATAGACAAAGGGAGTATTTAAGTAATACAAATAGCTTCAAACCCTCTTGATTCCAAACAAAAGACACCACTTAAGAAACAGCCATACCTCAAGCATCATGAGTCAACCAAATTTGATGCCATCTTGGTGTTGATTTCATTCTTGTGTAGAATCTTGACAAGATGCTTATACACCAGGAGGAGGCGGCTCCACTCCAGAAGTCTCCGTTGATGGAGACTTTCCTGCCACCAAACAGTCTCCATCACAACATGCAGAACAGATTACCAACAGTATCACTAGAGACTTCAAAATTCATGTTAGTCACAACTCATCCACATGTTATATTCATATCGACTGTTTTTACATCTCAGACCACCATCATGGAAAAACTGCTTACCAACTTCCATTTTGGGGAAGAGTGAGAGAGTTTAGTTTTACGCCGCACTCAGCAATATTCCAGCTATATGGCGGCGGTCTGTAAATAATCGAGTCTGGACCAGACAATCCAGTGATCAACAGCATGAGCACTGATCTGCGCAATTGGGAACCGATGACATGTGTCAACCAAGTCAGCGAGCCTGACCACCGATCCCGTTAATTAAGCCTCTCAGAGCTCCAGATAAGATTTAGCTCATGTGGGTGCTGTACCAACTGTACTTTTTTGGAGTGGATATTATGCATGTTGAGTGGGTATTTCATTTTCCATTACCCACTGCTTTCAAATATGTGGGTATTTCAGTGATTTTACTCACCTAAGTATATGTCTTTGAGTAAGTTTACTAAGCAGGTATGTACTGCCTATGTCATACCGAAGCAAAACCAACTTAAATATAATGGAAATGATTTCATAAAAAAAATCACTCATCCTATACTGACAGTACAACACTAGTCCTATACTAACAGTACAACTTGATACTAATCGATGTCTTTTTCATTATGCAAGTGATTTTTATAGATATATTCCATACGCATTTGTTTTAAACTTTGTGCATATCTAACATTTTTAATGCGTAATTGGTATGCAACAATTATTTTTCAATCGTGGTGGAAATTTTCTGTGTGTATTTTACCCAAATCGCCCAGCTTATCTGGGCCTCTGGCCTCTTACAACAAGCATGGGTTACTGAAGGTTCATTCTAACCCTGACCTTCACGGGTATTTTGGGGAAGAAATGGTGGCTGAGATCACTGACTTTGTGTGCTGATGAATTGGTGACTCACTCTGAGAGAGTATAATGAATGGCACTCAGTTCAAAAGTACAAGAATCTATATTTCTTTGAGAAAGTGTAATTAGGGCCTCTTCAAGGTTGAAACGAATTTAGGGCATTTAGAGGATAAAACGTCAAAATGTCAGGTTTTTACAAGCCTTTGTGAACCCTGCCTTCCCATCAATAAAACCTTTGTAGAACTATAACACACAGAGTAATAATCATGATCACTCGATTTGGGAGATTTTCAATCATACTAAATTCAGTGGAAACTTTCAGGAAGATTCTCCCATACTTGTCAATTCTTGGCCACTGTGTATACTCAGATAATACTCTGTAGGGTACTGACAAAGATGACTAATTTTCAGAATTAGTCACCAGACCTCACTAAAACTGCCAACTGCAGTTGTTGAAGCTAGTTGTGTACTCAAATTAGTGAGTTGAATCATAACTATCTGCATGCAAATCAAGGCAAATTGAAAATAATGCTTCAATTATGTTTATTTTCATAGCAGGAAGGTAGACTATATTCATTTTTTTTCAAAATCCGCTATTCTTATCAGACATTAAGACAAATAGGATGCATCTTATGATTAATAACTGTTATAGACATTTTTACCTTGGAAAACTGCTTGTAAAAAGGCCAGTGGATCTCCTCGTCCTTTGAGAATTAAGTTGTTCAGCATGTCTGTCAGCTGTGTATGCAAACATACAAGCGAGTACGGTAATTCCGCACGTCCGGTAATTCAGCGCAGCTGCAATAGCCTACTTCTGTATCTAAGGTAAAATCGTCTGCTACCACATTTATGCTTGAAATCGGGACATTTCCAGAAGGGACTGGCTTTTAATCACTCGTTTTCTTCAGACATTCGTTTTCTTCAGACTTCTAAACCTTTGGTTTATGCGCATCAGTTGCTGCGCAGAATTACCGGACAGCAAGCGATGTCGTCAAAATGCCAGTAAGGTCAACCATATGGCATAATGCAACGTTAGAATCTTATAGTCGTCAATAAAACTTACATTTCTAGGTAAATATGATGCATACCAGCATGTTTAGTCACATAAACCACAAAAAATAAGAGACGTTAGTTGCCGTGTTGCGATCGATGTACAAACCAGAAAAGTGCCACTTGACTTTATTTTGTTTGTTTGTTGTTTAACGCCACACTCAGCAATATTCCAGTTATATGTCAGCAGTCTGTACATAATCAAGTCTGGACCAGGCAATCCAGTGATCAAAATTTGTACGAAATCTAAATAAACATAACATCATGTTGAATAACTCTCAGATGGATTAATTATCATGGTATGATGAAAAATGAGTTGACACAGTACAGTGAGTGAGTTTAGTTTTATGCCGCTTTTAGTAATATTCCGGCAATATCATAGCGGGGGACACCAGAAATGGGCTTCACACATTGTACCCATGTGGGGAATTGAACATGGGTCTTCGGCGTGATGAGTGAATGCTTTAACCACTAGGCTACCCTACAGCCAGACACAGTACAGCAAAGGATGTTTCTCAGATACATTTGAATACAGATATAAAAAAAAAGGAATCACACCTTCATTCACAAGTAAGCACTTCTATTTATCATGTAATTTTAATTTAATTTAGACTTGTAGTTTAATATTTAATTGTAAACTTTAAAGAGTAAACCTTAATGTAAACATGATTTATGCCTTGCATGTGATTAGAAACAGTCAAACATGCAGTAGAAGTTTTCATACACTGTACTATGTATACTTATGTACATGTAAACATCTGTTGGGAAATAATGGGTAATGTAAAATGATTTATACCTTGAATGTTACCAGATATGTCAAACATACACAAGTTGTAATTCATATACAGTACAAAACAATACTATGTACCTATGCCTACATATGTATCTATAGCATCTGCAGACATATAATGAAAAATGTAATATTGACATAGGCCCTATGCCTACCAGATGTAGTCAACCCTGTAATAATTATTTATGTATTATGTAATTATGCCTGCTTATCTATTTGTAGCATCTGCAGAGAAAGAATGGTTAATGTAACACTGACTTAGGCCCTATGCCAAACCTGTAACTACTACCTATTTAAAAATCTTATGTATACCTTGTATATGTGAACATCTGTTCATAATTATAATGTCATATAAACATGTACTGGGAAATAAAAACATTAGAATAAACAAAAATCAATTTAATTGTAAATTAGTGATCCTTATACTTCAGAGCTTTAAGGCCTGTAGCACTTTAGTGGAGAAAACCCTGTTTTACATGTTTTATACCTGGGATGGTTGCAGGTCATCCAGTGCAGCTGACAGTTCATCCATCTTGCCTGCATCACTTAGTCCTACTATTTTTCTTCTCCATCATTTAGCATATACACAGGTCTTAAGTTAAAATCCTGAAATCTGAAAGCATGAGACACAAAATTGCTAGTGCTAAGTTCAAGAAGCAAAGAGCAATAATCATAAATATCCTCGATGGGAAAATTATTAGCGAATATTGATATGAAAAATGTGTGCTTGATAATATCTTACATGAACTTTTGTAACAGAGATTTCAACCAATTGCCAAAACTAATTGATAGTCAGCCCTTTAATTGCCCATGTATTGATTGAAAAATTGATTGAAACCAAAGACCACATGTTAAGTCATGTACTATGTATTTATTAATAGATCCAGGCATACATTTGTCAAGTCAGCTCAGAGACCATATAATAGATAATATATATTATATGGTCTCTGGTCCAGCTACAGTGCTTACCAGAATCTATATACAGTTGTTGCTTATGTTGGTTAACGCCACATTCAGCAATCTTCCAGCTATATGGCTGCTGTTTGAAAAAAGTCAAGTCTGGACCAGACAATCCATTGATCAACAGAATGAGCTTCGATGTACACAATTGGGATACGATGACATGTGTAAACCAAGTCAGCAAGCCTGACCACCCCGATCCCATTAGTAAAGCCTCTTACAATAAGCAAGGGTTACTGAAGACCTATTATAACCCAGATCTTCATGGGACTGTCGCTTATGAAAACATCTGAATAACATAAAGCATCTCTTTTGAAAAAGGGCGATCAGTTAATTAACAGGTTTAGAATTTTATATTATTTTATATATTTACTATTTCAAAATCATGGTGCCATACATGGTGATTAAACTGTACATGTGAGCACATTCTTTTGCTGTGGAATTATAAGAAATATACATACTAGTATGCACTACAGCTGATATTAAACAAACAACAATAAAAATAATATTTAACAAAACTGACATAGCAGTAACAGCTGATATCAATATGGCACGTGGACCCAGATCTTAAGGAGATTGTTTATCTGATATTGACAACTTGAGCAATGCCTGGTCAGATTCCTCATTTACCTTTCCTGGTTTCCGACTCCGCTTGAAGGTTGTCCTGGTCTATGAAGAAGTCAGTGATCCCTTCCAGAACCAACCTCTTATGACCCTGTATGGAGCAGAGACCAGGTGATGATCAGTTATCCCAACAAACTCTTAACATTACTGTTTGCTTATTTACTTACATTTTGTCCAAGGCTCATAATTAATACACAATAATTTGTTTCAGTTTGTAGCAAATGATGGTTGGTTTGTCAGTTTAACGCCACACTCAGCAATATTCCAGCTATATGGCAGCGGTCTGTAAATAATCGAAGTCTGGACCAAACGATCCAGTGATCAGTATCATGAGCATCGATCAACACAATTCGGATACAGATGACATATGTCAACCATGTCGGCGAGCCTGACCACCGATCCTGTTAGTGACCTCTTACGACAAGCATGGGTTGCTGAAGACCAATTCTAACCAATTATTCATAGGTCGGTAGCAACTAGAACTGTTACCAATCACTCAAAATTAACAGCCATCTCTGCTGTTTCAGATACCTGTGATATTCAATCAGGTTCTAACCAGTGCTTGCACTGCCCACCTTTGCAGCCAGCAACAACAGCTGATAGACCAGTGCAGGTAGATCCTGGAGGTCAAGGTCACGCATCCCACGTAGGACCTTCTCAACAACAAACTTGAGTTCCTCCTGTGTGAGGGGGACGTCCCGGAACATGGCAGCAAGGTGAAGGACACTCTGTGGGTTCCATCTGCAAAACACAAGGATAAATATTGTCTTGTGAGAGTATGTCTACTTTGTGTGCCGTAGTGATCAGTGCCCACTTGCACAAAGTAGTCTCAGCATTAAGACAGTCGTAAGTCCCATACTTTAACATAGACATGATAGACTTATGATAGTCGCTGCACTAAGACAACTTTGTGTAAATGGGCCTGGCAATTGATCCTAATTGGTTTTGAGAACCTATAAATATTCTACTTAATTAAGAAATTTTCCAAAATCTAGTTAAATTCTTATGTTCTAATTAAATATCCTTAGGGAGTCAATGTCAAAACAACAAACAGTGGTCCTCAGCAACCTTTTGCTATAAGTAAGTAACATCGTATGAGTTTTTCATGAAAGAAAAGATTTTTTTCAGATTGATGTTTATGAATGTGGTGACAAGACCCGCTCGTACTTGTGTAATTGTTATAGCGCGAATGGCACAAGGGCCTTGCCTGGAATGAACATGCAATGAGTTCTTACAGTGCTGGGTGCCCCAAGATCTTAAACAGTCCCACTTCCACCTACTTGCAGGAGCAGACAGTGTTGAGGACATGACTCTTGTACTCTGATCCCTTCATGGAGCTCTCCCCGTACACCACTGCCTCCTGGATCAACAACACTGACAGCAACTTAGGGAACAGCTCCAGTGCTCTGAAACAGAATGTCACAGAATCACATCCACAGATCTGGTCATTGTGAATGTTTTTATGCACAAAAGTATTTGAAGAAAAAAAATAATTCAGTCAATGTTAGAGAGAGGGAGAGAGGGGGTAGAGGGAGTAGAGGGTGAGAGGGAGAGGGAGAGGAGAGAGAGAGAGAGGAGAGGAGAGAGAGAGAGAGAGAGAGAGAGAGAGAGAGAGAGAGAGAGAGAGGGCAGGGCAGGGCAGGTAGGTAGGCAGGTTTTTACTCTGTATATAGCAATATTCCAGCAATAGCACAGCAGGCGACACCAGAAATGGGGTATTCGCGTGACAAGTGAACATTTTAACCACAAAGCTACCCCACTGCCCCTAAGTTGCTAGTAGGTGTGTAGGGAGTCAGGATTTGTATCCCTAACATGTCCAACAATATACCCCAAATATTGAGTCCTTACTTTCCTCCCTGTAGCGTCCCCTCCTTGATGGACTCCACGAAACTGCTGGCCAGCTCCACCAACACTGTACCAGGGAGAGAGTCAGCCTGCAAATAGAAACTTCGTGTTACAACAGTACCACATCTTGACACAACCCCTGTGTCCTGCATATAGAAACAATGTGTTACAACAGTACCACATCTTGACACAACCCCTGGGCCCTGCATATAGAAACACTGTGTTACAACAGTACCACATCTTGACAGAACCCCTGGGCCCTGCGTATAGAAACACTGTGTTAACACAGTACCACATCTTGACACAACCCCTGGGCCCTGCGTATAGAAACACCGTGTTACAACAGTACCACATCTTGACACAACCCCTGGGCCCTGCGTGATAGAAAACACCGTGTTACAACAGTACCACATCTTGACACAATCCCTGGGCCCTGCATGATAGAAACACTGTGTTACAACAGTACCACATCTTGACACAACCCCTGGCCCTATATATAGAAACACCGTGTTACAACAGTACCACATCTTGACACAACCCCTGGGCCCTGCATATAGAAACACTGTGTTACAACAGTACCACATCTTGACACAACCCCTGGGCCCTGCGTATAGAAACACCGTGTTACAACAGTACCACATCTTGACACAACCCCTGGGCCCTGTGTATAGAAACACCGTGTTACAACAGTACCACATCTTGACACAACCCCTGGGCCCTGCGTATAGAAACACTGTGTTACAACAGTACCACATCTTGACACAACCCCTGGGCCCTGCATGATAGAAACACCCGTGTTACAACAGTACCACATCTTGACACAACCCCCTGGGCCCTGCGTGTGATAGAAACACTGTGTTACAACAGTACCACATCTTGACACAACCCCTGGGCCCTGATATAAACACCGTGTTACAACAGTACCACATCTTGACACAACCCCTGGGCCCTGCGTATAGAAACACCGTGTTACAACAGTACCACATCTTGACACAACCGATGGGCCCTGCGTATAGAAACACTGTGTTACAACAGTCCTACATCTTGACACAACCCCTGGGCCCTGTTCCAATCTTAGCACTAAGGTAGTTGTGGTACCAATACTTTCACATGTTTAACGATAGTTGTAGGGCTAAGATGGCTCTGTGGATCAGGACCCTGAACATTCAAAAGGTATTGTCATATTCTGATATCTGACATGATAGAATTGATAAACCAATATTATATAGGTTCAAAAGAAAGAATTGTTAAATTAGACAAGGAATATATACTTGGATAGATGGCACAGTGTGTGCATTAAAAGGTTAAAACCCGCTTATTATATAATAAAACATTACAAATATCATGTCACCGGTTAAATTGTCACTAAATCAGTTTCCATGGCAGTAGATTTGTTTATTGATGGTCATGTTTGGGTTTTTTTCACATGCTACCAAATCAAAATTCTTCCATCAGGTCTATTCTCTCATACAAGTAAGAATTCTGTGTCTTCAAAGCTCTAAGAAATTATATCAAGCCATGTTGCTTTGTTTTATGCCTGTTCTTCAACATGTTTAATGCCACACAGAGAATTATCCAGCTGTATGACTATGGTCTTTGATAACAGGACCAGACAATCCAGTGATTGACATCATGAACATCGCTTCATGCAACTGGGATACGATGATATTTATCTTGCCTCACATTAGTGGTGGTCCGATTAATTGAAATAATCGAAGATTGGTCGCAGTGACTAAATGACCAAGCAATCGATCATGTTTTCTCATAATCGAACACAAACAATTCTGGAACACATGTTTTCATAAACAATATTTTTCGCAAGGTTGGTTTTGTCTGTTACATTTCATAAGCACTACAATCTCGTTTTCAAGTCATGATTGAATTTATCTTAAAGACTCCAAGAAATTTATGTTCCTGACATACTAGTCATCCTTTAAAGATGTGAAATTTTGCCCAAAAACCAAAAAGAACTACATGGGGTTTTTTTATTTTTATGTGCATTAACAAATTTCATTAATGACGCTAACCAATTTTTTTCGATGATTGATCGGTTGTAATAAACCAATCATCAATTATGAGATTTTAACCAATTCCCAACACTACCTCACACATAAATGTCGTTTTCTGATTGGCTGAGGGCTCTTCTATTATTTTCAATGTACCCCACTTACAAGCGAGTAATATTTTCTACGTACCCTCCTGGGAACGCAGAACTCATTTGGTACTTCGTAGTAGTAATTCTTTATCTCGAATAACATTGAATCACATGTGATGTATGGAAATTACCGATGTTTTGCGAATGCAAATTGATGGAAGGGAGATAACTCTAAATTTTCTTTCTAGTCGTCTGTATACTCCATACTGTGATCAAATACCCGTGCTTCAAACAGTTCAAAATTACCATTGGGGTGTTAGGTAAGATAAATATGTTGTTCACTGGTCTTGAAGGGGACATGGGCTGATGTACCCTCGATGTTTGTTTATGTTCCCTGAGCCCTATAGATTTCAACTATGCACCAAAATACAAGGAATTAACCTGCATTTCCTTGGATTCTGCATGTAGGTAGCAGTACCTTGAAAAGATTGATGTTTATAGACAAGGAGTATTTCGTAATACAAATAGCTTCAAACCCTCTTGATTCCAAACAAAAGACACCACTTAAGAAACAGCCATACCTCAAGCATCATGAGTCCAACCAAATTTGATGCCATCTTGGTGTTGATTTCATTCTTGTGTAGAATCTTGACAAGATGCTTATACACCAGGAGGAGACGCTCCACTCCAGAAGTCTCCGTTGATGGAGACCCTGCCACCAAACAGTCTCCATCACAACATGCAGACAGATTACCAACAGTATCACTAGAGACTTCAAAATTCATGTTAGTCACAACTCATCCACATGTTATATTCATATCGACTGTTTTTACATCTCAGACCACCATCATGGAAAAACTGCTTACCAACTTCCATTTTGGGGAAGAGTGAGTGAGTTTAGTTTTACGCCGCACTCAGCAATATTCCAGCTATATGGCGGTGGTCTGTAAATAATCGAGTCTGGACCAGACAATCCAGTGATCAACAGCATGAGCACTGATCTGCGCAATTGGGAACCGATGACATGTGTCAACCAAGTCAGCGAGCCTGACCACCCGATCCCGTTAGTCGCCTCTCAGAGCTCCAGATAAGATTTAGCTCATGTGGGTGCTGTACCAACTGTACTTTTTTTGGAGTGGATATTATGCATGTTGAGTGGGTATTTCATTTTCCATTACCCACTGCTTTCAAATATGTGGGTATTTCAGTGATTTTACTCACCTAAGTATATGTCTTTGAGTAAGTTTACTAAGCAGGTATGTACTGCCTATGTCATACCGAAGCAAAACCAACTTAAATATAATGGAAATGATTTCATAAAAAAAATCACTCATCCTATACTGACAGTACAACACTAGTCCTATACTAACAGTACAACTTGATACTAATCGATGTCTTTTTCATTATGCAAGTGATTTTTATAGATATATTCCATACGCATATGTTTTAAACTTTGTGCATATCTAACATTTTTAATGCGTAATTGGTATGCAACAATTATTTTTCAATGCGTAATTGGAAATTTTCTGTGTGTATTTTACCCAAATACGCAGCTTATCTGGGCCTCTGGCCTCTTACAACAAGCATGGGTTACTGAAGGTTCATTCTAACCCTGACCTTCACGGGTATTTTGGGGAAGAAATGGTGGCTGAGATCACTGACTTTGTGTGCTGATGAATTGGTGACTCACTCTGAGAGAGTATAATGAATGGCACTCAGTTCAAAAGTACAAGAATCTATATTTCTTTGAGAAAGTGTAATTAGGGCCTCTTCAAGGTTGAAACGAATTTAGGGCATTTAGAGGATAAAACGTCAAAATGTCAGGTTTTTACAAGCCTTTGTGAACCCTGCCTTCCCATCAATAAAACCTTTGTAGAACTATAACACACAGAGTAATAATCATGATCACTCGATTTGGGAGATTTTCAATCATACTAAATTCAGTGGAAACTTTCAGGAAGATTCTCTCCATACTTGTCAATTCTTGGCCACTGTGTATACTCAGATAATACTCTGTAGGGTACTGACAAAGATGACTAATTTTCAGAATTAGTCACCAGACCTCACTAAAACTGCCAACTGCAGTTGTTGAAGCTAGTTGTGTGTACTCAAATTAGTGAGTTGAATCATAACTATCTGCATGCAAATCAAGGCAAATTGAAAATAATGCTTCAATTATGTTTATTTTCATAGCAGGAAGGTAGACTATATTCATTTTTTTTCAAAATCCGCTATTCTTATCAGACATTAAGACAAATAGGATGCATCTTATGATTAATAACTGTTATAGACATTTTTACCTTGGAAAACTGCTTGTAAAAAGGCCAATGGATCTCCTCGTCCTTTGAGAATTAAGTTGTTCAGCATGTCTGTCAGCTGTGTATGCAAACATACAAGCGAGAACAGTAATTCCGCACGTCCGGTAATTCAGCGCAGCTGCAATAGCCTACTTCTGTATCTAAGGTAAAATCGTCTGCTACCACCTTTATGCTTGAAATCGGGACATTTCTACAAGGGACTGGCTTTTAATCACTAAAGGGAAGTAAATAACAGTAATTGACAGACAAATTGACAGTTTTATGAACATTCGTTTTCTTCAGACTTCTAAACCTTTGGTTTATGCGCATCAGTTGCTGCGCAAAATTACCGGACAGCAAGCGATGTCGTCAAAATGCCGGTAAGGTCAACCATATGGCATAATGCAACGTTACAATCTTATAGTCGTCAATAAAACTTACATTTCTAGGTAAATATGATGCATACCAGCATGTTTAGTCACATAAACCACAAAAAATAAGAGACGTTAGTTGCCGTGTTGCGATCGATGTACAAACCAGAAAAGTGCCACTTGACTTTATTTTGTTTGTTTGTTTGTTGTTTAACGCCACACTCAGCAATATTCCAGTTATATGTCAGCAGTCTGTACATAATCAAGTCTGGACCAGGCAATCCAGTGATAAAAATTTGTACGAAATCTAAATAAACATAACATCATGTTGAATAACTCTCAGATGGATTAATTATCATGGTATGATGGAAAATGAGTTGACACAGTACAGTGAGTGAGTTTAATTTTATGCCGCTTTTAGTAATATTCCGGCAATATCATAGTGGGGACACCAGAAATGGGCTTCACACATTGTACCCATGTGGGGAATTGAACATGGGTCTTCGGCGTGATGAGTGAATGCTTTAACCACTAGGCTACCCTACAGCCAGACACAGTACAGCAAAGGATGTTTCTCAGATACATTTGAATACAGATATTGAAAAAAGGAATCCCAACTTCATTCACAAGTAAGCACTTCTATTTATCATGTAATTTTAATTTAATTTAGACTTGTAGTTTAATATTTAATTGTAAACTTTAAAGAGTACACTTTAATGTAAACATGATTTATGCCTTGCATGTGATTAGAAACAGTCAAACATGCAGTAGAAGTTTTCATACACTGTACTATGTATACTTATGTACATGTAAACATCTGTTGGGAAATAATGGGTAATGTAAAATGACTTATACCTTGCATGTTACCAGATGCAGTCAAACACACACAAGTTGTAATTCACATACAGTACAAAACAATACTATGTACCTATGCCTACATATGTATCTATAGCATCTGCAGACATATAATGGAAAATGTAATATCGACATCAGCCCTATGCCTACCAGATGTAGTCAACCTTGTAATCATTATTTATGTATTATGTAATTATGCCTGCTTATCTATTTGTAGCATCTGCAGAGAAATAATGGTTAATGTAACACTGACTTAGGCCCTATGCCAAACCTGTAACTACTACCTATTTAAAAATCTTATGTATACCTTGTATATGTGAACATCTGTTCATAATTATAATGTCATGTAAACATGTACTGGGAAATAAAAATATTAAAATAAACAAAAATCAATTTAATTGTAAATTAGTGATCCTTATACTTCAGAGCTTTAAGGCCTGTAGCACTTTAGTGGAGAAAACCCTGTTTTACATGTTTTATACCTGGGATGGTTGCAGGTCATCCAGTGCAGCTGACAGTTCATCCATCTTGCCTGCATCACTTAGTCCTACTATTTTCTTCTCCATCATTTAGCATATACACAGGTCTTAAGTTAAATCCTGAAATCTGAAAAGCATGAGACACAAAATTGCTAGTGCTAAGTTCAAGAAGCAAAAGAGCAATAATCATAAATATCCTCGATGGGAAAATTATTAACGAATATTGATATGAAAAATGTGTGCTTGATAATATCTTACATGAACTTTTGTAACAGAGATTTCAACCAATTGCCAAAACTAATTGATAGTCAGCCCTTTAATTGCCCATGTATTGATTGAAAAATTGATTGAAACCAAAGACCACATGTTAAGTCATGTACTATGTATTTATTAATAGATCCAGGCATACATTTGTCAGTCAGCTCAGAGACCATATAATAGATAATATATATTATATGGTCTCTGGTCAGCTGCACGGTGCTTACCAGAATCTATATACAGTTGTTGCTTATGTTGGTTAACGCCACATTCAGCAATCTTCCAGCTATATGGCGGCTGTTTGAAAAAAGTCAAGTCTGGACCAGACAATCCATTGATCAACAGAATGAGCTTCGATGTACACAATTGGGATACGATGACATGTGTAAACCAAGTCAGCAAGCCTGACCACCCGATCCCATTAGTCCCTCTTACAATAAGCAAGGGTTACTGAAGACCTATTATAACCCAGATCTTCATGGGACTGTCGCTTATGAAAACATCTGAATAACATAAAGCATCTCTTTTGAAAAAGGGCGATCAGTTAATTAACAGGTTTAGAATTTTATATTATTTTATATATTTACTATTTCAAAATCATGGTGCCATACATGGTGATTAAACTGTACATGTGAGCACATTCTTTTTGCTGTGGAATTATAAGAAATATACATACTAGTATGCACTACAGCTGATATTAAACAAACAACAATAAAAAATAATATTTAACAAAAACTGACATAGCAGTAACAGCTGATATCAATATGACAGCCCACACGTACGGTTTCTCGATCACACACTGTCGATCAGTGCTTGTAACTCTAACTGTTAAAGGCACTCTACTATCTGTGGGAAGCATGTGGAACATTAGTTTAACGGTATTTGATCAACAATACACCTACTGACAGATGGCACGACCAAAGCCGTCAGCTGGATCTTCCTTCTCAGATGTCCTCAAATTTCGCGGGTAATTCCGTCGCACTTCCGGGCGCTTTGTCCAATGAGATTTGCTGTATCGTAAGCCGCCCGCACGTCTATAACCAATGAGATATTTCAATAAGCAGCTCGGCTCAACTTCCTGTTTGTAACTGTTGTCATTTCATCGACTTGATGCCTGTCGTTCGGCAGGGAATTCTCGCTGAGATTAAATCTTTAAATTGTCACTGCTCGTCAAGATATCGGAGTGAACAAAATGCCTCCAAAGAAAAGGAAAAACGACCAAGACAACACCAACAATGGATCTAAAAAGAGGAAATTGCCTGATACTTTGTCTGCAGGGAATGACACACTGCCTCAATTCCTTGAAGACATCAGTGTTTTTATTTTACCAGCAAGTATAGAAAAAGCAAGGATGCAGATATTTAGGAACAATGTAGAAAAATATGGGGGTGTCATTGACAAAGAGTTGACTACGACGACTAGCTACCTCGTGGTTGATGATAAAATGGAGCCAGAAAGGCTTTGTAAGCTTCTCAAACTTGAGAAAGCACCACCAGCCACTGTTGTCAAATCTTCATGGTTAAGTGGTTGTTTTCGGACGAAAACAAAAATTGAAACTGAGGATCACACATTAGATATATCATGTGTCTTTACAAAACATGAATCACCAAACAATTCTGACTCAGAAGAAACGTCAAACACAATGAAATCGGAAGAAAAAGTGCCAACTTCAACAAAACCAGAGTATGCAAAAGCAGGAGTTATGTTCAATGCATTCAGAAAAGCAAAGAATGAAGACCAATTATCTGACAGTGACTATGTGCAGAGTGATGGAGAAGAGAGCGAAATGGTTGGTCATATAAACCTGTTTACTGACAGTGGAGTTACCTCAGCTGGCACAAGCTCAGCTGATACAACACCTAATACGTCTCCCATGAAGCAACTGCCTGTGAGCTGTGTGATATCCTCCCAGCACACTGCAATCATTGCAATCAAGGGTGGAAATAACTTTAAAATTGCTAGTGTACTCCGATACAGTGGCACATGTAAAATCACTTGCCCTGATAATTGTTCCACTGTACCGGTCGTTTTCTTGTTGATTTTTTAAATAAACAACATAATTTACATTGGAAAGTCAACTGGACACCGGTACAGTGTGATATACAAATTTGCTTGCCCGACAGAAAATAAACACTAGATGCGGATGTCGGGCAATGGGTTATTTCCACCCCTGGCAATGTTATACCCTTAGGCATTAAAGACCACATTTACTATTTATTTGCACTTTATAAAGTTTATTTGCCTGATATTATGGATACGTCTGTGTAATGGCTGATTCTTGTCTAAGACTTCACATATGTCATACAAATTATTGGCATAAAAAATAGAGAATCCGTAATGTCACCATCTTAAATTACCATTAGATTCAGTGGACAACACTTTACTAATATCTTGATTATTACTGTTGAATAACTTATACAAGACAGCTGTGTAGGGATTTAGTCTTCTATCACTGAATGTGATCTGTTTGTTCCAAACAACCAGTGAAAAACTGATAACCATGGTTACAGCACATACAATGTTGACCATTTTGTATGTTTCAGGTTGACAAGTGGATTTGTGCTCAGTCATCCAAAAGCCCAAAGCCAAATTTAAATAAACATATCACAGATAAATTAGAGGTATGTTACTTCCCAAATTATTGATGATAATTCACTTTTCTGTTTGACATTGAGATCATGCAGGTATACTGCCAAAATTCTCTATTATTTAAGCTCACCTATTTAAGAGGATTTGTCATGTGTTTAAAATACACTTGATTTCCAAAATGGGAATTTCAAAGTTATACAACATTCCATATTGTCGAGTAAAGGAATCAGGTGGTCAAACACAGTGACTAGGGGCCCAGTATCCACTGTTTGTAGCATTATGTAATAATAAAGTAAAGAGTTATGATAAGTCGTAATGTTACGAATGCTTTGTGGATTGGGACCCTGTTTAATTGAGTTGTCATCCCTCAATATTGTGGTACATTCCTCACCTCAATGATCACTGGTTTGTATGTCATATTGCTGGATTATTGCCAGATTGCTGAGAGATGTATAAAACCAAAAATCAAATACATCAAAGGGAGAAACTTATTTTTTATGTAGATATACTGGACAAAAATAGTTTGGGATATATGTAAATTTTGAAATTATGAAAATAGCTGCCAAACGGTACGTTTTAGCGACTTGACCCGTCCGGGCCAAATTGTTGGGAATTCAATTGTGCATCTGTACAAGAGATTTGGAAGTGTTGGAACAATTAGTTCTTGAGATATTTGCTGTGAAACTTTGAAATTTTGGAATTAATTTTGAATTATCTCCCCTTTGCTATATAACCTGGAGCCTAGAGCTTTTTAAGGGGAATATCTACACCTCGGTGCGCATCTGTGTGATTTTTTTGTAAGCGATTCAGAGCATTGGTTTAGGAGTTATGTTTGGTACAAAAATCGGCGGAATATTAAATAATAATAAGAAGAATCCGTAAGATTACAATAGGTCTCCTGCCTAGAGGCAAGGAGCCCTAAAAATACCAGTATCCCTAACTTATTTTGTCCAGTATAAATTACAGGTTGTGTTGAGTGATATGCCCGGTAACATGTCCAGGCTTAATTTCACTTTCTGCCCAGGAAATGGTGAAGAACTATGAGAGCACAAATGACAAGTGGAGAGCATTTGGTTATCAGAAAGCAATACAGGCTCTGAGACGACATCCTAAACCGATAACAACATGGGAGGTAAGGCCTGGGATATGTCAGATTATGATCATGATGATACTGACAATGTTCATAACTTGTAGGAGCGTGACAATAAACTGACATGTTAATGCATCGCATATTTTCAAGATTATGAAATGAACCCATGAACCTGAACCTGTCGTAAGAGGAGATATGTAAACGATTGATTGGCTGGCTGTGTGGTTTGTTTGAAAGTGTGTTTTTGTATCCCAATGTTGTGAATTGTTCTGATAGGACGGAACACTGTGATAGATTCTAAGAAAGATAGATCTCTTTTCCTCTGCAGTTCAAACCCCAAATCCAAATTTTGTAGCGTTTCCATGTGGTCGAATTCTTCCAAAGCAAAGGGCATAGCATTATGCATATCTGGGAAAAGAATTACAATCAAGGAAGTATATGATAAGCTGATGTTCTGTGACAGGAGGCACGATCGCTGACCGGTGTTGGGGCCAAGCTGGCAGACAAGGTGTGGGAGATTGTGGAGAGTGGGGGTCTGCGTAAACTGGAGGAGTTCAAGTCCAACGAGGAGTTGAAGATACTGAACATGTTCACAGACCTGTGGGGCTCCGGACCACACACAGCCAGGGTCTGGTATCAACAGGTGAACATTCACATGTCAGCTGTCAACAGTTGTTTTAGAAAACCAAAAAGTATCTCACTCAGTGCACAAATATGTCCTCATCTGTGTGATTTTTTGTAAGCGATTCGGAGCATTGGTTTAGGAGTTATGTTTGGTACAAAAATCGGCGGAATAATAAATAATAATAATAAGTGGTTGCAATGGTGTTGTGATTAGACTGGTTTATGAAATAGCTTGAAATACACAGAGGTACAAATAAGCTGCGTATCTGCATAAATTACGCAAATATTTATGTGAGAACTCAATTCCTAATAAGTCTATTGCGTACAAGTATGCTTGATTTTTTGTAAATACTCGATACGTTTTATCTTACATGAGTACACACAAAAATGTCAAATCATAACTTGCAGACCGGTGCATGGTTAGATAAATTAACTGAGGTATATTGAGAGGTTCTTTATCAACACATGAACTTGGCAAGTTGCAGTCATTCTTATCGTTTCTCATATTACAGATGAAATATAAATAGCAAACACATAAAACAACATTTAGACTTTATTATATTTTTACAATTAATGGAAAATGGTACCCAATTGAGTTTGAGTGAGGTGGGTACAATTTATTTGGTTACTCAAAGGAAAATTAGGATACCCAGTTGATATAAACATAAGTGATTACATAACTCAATGACTTAAAAGGTAATCTGTAGCTCTGAATACAGTATCTTCACCTTTACATTATATAGTACATTTTCTGTTTGCATTGATTTGAAGTTTGTTTTCCAGATATTGTAATCAGATATGCAGCTCTAAATTCTTATTGTACTGATACCAAGAAGTTATGATGAAAATGTGAATATTCATCTAGGATCTGAAATTGTAGCAACAAGGAGTGGTACCTAGAAAGACAGCATGTAAACTTGAGGATTCATTTTAGTATCATAATTTCTCAAATATATTTAGTGTTATTCTAACTATCCTTAATTATCCCCCGCCGTGCGTTTAGCGCGAAGCGGGGGATATAGTATTGGGCTCCATCCGTCTGTACGTACGTATGTCCGTACGTACGAATTGGAATATCTTAAGAACCGATGACTGGATTCTTGTCATATTTGGTACCTAGGTTCATCACAGTAAAAGAAATGTCCCAGTCAGGTTTGGGTACCTTGCCTCATTTCAAGGTCACAAGTGGACATTAACGTTTTACCCTTGTCAGCGAGATATCTCAAGAACCATTTACTTGATTTTCTTAATATTCAACACCAAGCTTTATCTAGGGAAGGTGCAGGGCCCAGTCTATTTTGGTGACCTTCACATAATTTTCAAGGTCACGGCGACACTTTGAAGATTTCAGCATTTTAAACTGCATGTTAAGATTGTCAGCGAGATATCTCAAGAACAGTTCACTGGAATTTCTTCATAGACTTTCAAGACTTCCCTTGAATGTTTTTCAATAAGCAATTGTTTATTACTATTTTTGCATATTTCATGCACTAAGACATTCATGTCACGGTCGAAGTGAGTCTTGAAAATATTTGTGCGTTTGAACAACTACAGTGCAACATATCAAGAGAGGTTGACTGGTCATGTTTTTGTTTACATTTAACTTCATCTTAAATTACAACCTTCACTTTCATTACTTTTTAAGTTTGATTTGATAATTTGCGACGGGGGATTATGTCACCTTAGTGACAATGCTTGTTGTCAATATTTTGAGTTGGCATCATTCTGTGTTCAGGGTTTTCGAAGCCTGGAGGACCTGCGCACCAAGGCCAACCTGACCCACCAACAGAAGGTGGGGCTTCGTCTCTATGACGACCTGCTGGACCGCATGCCGCGGGAGGAGGCTGGGGAGATCGAACAAGTGGTAAGTCACCATATGGTTATCAAAGCTGCCCGTTCTTCTGTTGTACATTTGGAGTTATCACTCACTGCTCCAGATGAAGAAAGCCAATAGTTACTACATTATATACAAGGTTATCACTGCTGCAGGTGAAAAAAGCAGCCGAGTCTATCCACCCTGGCATCATAGCTCAAGCGTTACTACATGCAGGGTCATATCGTTACGGGCAATATACAAGACATGTGGTGATGTGGATGTCCTAGTCACCCACCCAGATGGGAAGTCACACCAGGGCGTGTACGGAAAACTCATCGCCAAACTCAAGGAGGAGAGTAGGTTATATTTACCCATTACTTTAAGTTTTGTAGGTTGTGCAATAGGGTGACTTATTGGTTAAAGTTCTCTCTTGTCTTGTCAAGGACATGTGTTCTGCTCCACAAATAATTACAATATGTGAAGCCTATAATACCCTAGCTGTATTCTGTTATATTCTTAAATCGTCACGATATGGCTGAGATATTGCCGATGTGACGTTAAATATTAACTCACTCACTCACTCTTAAAGTTCTGTTTTGGCTGTCAATCACTATAAGCAAAGGAGATGGGAGATCTGTACAGCTCCCATGTCTTTTCATGCCGAATACCACTGCTTATATAAGGGGCGGTGGGGTAGCCTAATGGTTAAAGTGTCCACTCACGCTGAAGACCCGGGTTCGATTCCTCACATGGGTACAATATGTGAAACCCATTTCTGGTGTCCCCTGCAGTGATATTGCCAGAATAATAAAGTGTCGTAAAACCAAACTCACTCTTTAGTGATTTTTGTATATCAATTAAGATCTAAGGAAAAAAAATTCATGTCAAGGTGAAGGTCACATGAACATGCTTGATACTTTATAAATCAAATGTTTGTACAGTACACCATTTCAGTCAGTAATGGGGGCAGTGGGGTAGCCTATTGGTTATAGCGTTCACTCGTCATGCCAAAGACCCAGGTTCAATTCCCCACATGGGTACAATGAGTGAAGCCCGATTCTGGTGTCCCCTGCCGTGATATTGCCGGAATATTACTAAAAGCGGCATAAAACTAAACTCACTCACTCACTCAGTCAGTAATGAACTCAACATTATTTTTTTAAATGTATGAGTGATATCAGTGATACTGCAATATCCCATCGTGACATTGTACCCAGACATACCATCCTAATAACGGGTTGACAATGATAGACATCAGTAAAGGTGCAAAGAATAGCACCAGTGTTTCAGAACAAACTTTGAATGAAGAGAAATAAAAATATTAAACCTGAAACACTGAACCTAGAACAACCATGTTTGGACGTAGTAGTTCATGTGAACAACATCTTTACTTATCACAATATACTAAGACAGTCCATCTGAATGTTGTGACATTGTATAACATTCTAAGTTGTTCACTTGTCAAGGGGCCGGTGGGGTAGCCTAATGGGTAAAGCGTTGGCTCGTCAGGCCGAAGACCCGGGTTCGAATCCTCACATGGGCACAATGTGTGAAGCCCATTTCTGGTGTCCCCCTCCGTGATGTTGCTGGAATATTGCTAAAAGCGGCGTAAAACCAAACTCAGTCAGTCAGTCACTTGTCAAGAGGGGGACATGTTTATGGGATCATGTACAAACATCGAGGGTACATCAACCCATGGGCCCGAGGGACCAGTGAACAACGTATTTATCTTACCGAACACCTTAATGTTAATTTTGAACTGTTTGAAGCACGGGGAATTGGATCATAATAAGGAGTACCAGAGTTAGGCAACAGCTCAAACACTACTAACACGAAGTATCAAACAAATTCCCACAGTTCGGCATTTCCAACGGGTAACATAGAAAATTTTACTCGCATGTAAGCGGGGTACATTGGGCCTAAAATAAATGCTGTGGTTCTGATTACCCGACTGACCCTTGAATTCTGGTGCCGACCCTATTTTGTTTAAGCGGACTGAATAAAATAAGCTTTCAGATACCATTGCTTTTCCCGGCGCCGACGGACATCGGACATTCTGATAGAGAAAGTTGATATGATGGTCGCAAGCTTGATTGAATAAACAATTACACATTGATACATGTGTTATTAGTTTGTACTTTCCTACCTACCTACGCTAAATTTTAAAGAAGTGTAATCGGAACCACAACATTTTTTTATTTGGCCTTGATTGGCTCAGCCAATCAGAAAACAACATTATGTGTGAGGTAAGATGTTTGTTGGAGCAGTGCTTGGAGCAACACATGCATTCTAAATACTGATAAAGTTTTGACACCAGAAACAGGGATCTACCTTGAGTCCAGTATTTGAGGGTCCCTTGGACTCATATTCTTAATTTTCAGGGGTCCTTGACAACAAAATGGGGATCCCAGACACTTAAATATTATTATTAATACTGTTATTGTATTGTGTATCATGATCATCCCTTAAATTGTTACAGTAATCAAATTGCAAATGATACCATAACTCAGCTAGTAGCAAACTCAGTGATAACTTCTTGTTACTTGATTGGAATTTTTACAAAAAATATTTGGACTGTTTCTGCATCCCTTGGACACGCTGAATAAATTTTGTTGCGTCCATTGTCGATTTTATGCATAGGACGCAGAAATTCGTGTCCCGTAAATCCCTGCAGAAAGCTGTGCTGTTAGCAAGTACATACTTCTTATTTCATTGCAGAGTTTCTGACAGATGACCTTGTGTCAGCAGAGGACAACGGCAACCAGAAGAAATACCTGGGCGTGTGTAGACTCCCTGGGGAGAATAGAAAGGTAGATACACATTGGTTGTAGCGGGTGTTAGTGATGGGAGAAGTTGCTGCTTAGTTTGTAGGTATTTGATATAATAGATCGACATTACCAAGTCTTTCACTATCCAATCCCATTTCTTTTGGATGATAAGATATGTTTAAAACAAATCTCATATCATCATATTTATCTGGCTTAGGATATGTAACTAATTATCATAATCGAATGTTAATTACTGTTAAAAATTAATCATTAAATTAAAATGCTTTTCAGTTTTAATTAAATTCAAATGGGTTTTTTAGAAGTTGAAAACATCCTTATTTAAATACTACAGCTGCTAACCTAGAGTACGCCTGGCACCTGGGCCTCATTCCACATGGCAATCATAGAGGTACGACTATTGTTAATCTATGTTAAGTGGGGTAGCCTAGTGGTTAAAGCGTTGACTGGTCACGCCAAAGACCCGGGTTCGATTCCCCACATGCATATAATTTGTGAAGCCCATTTCTGGTGTCTCCCTCCATGATATTGCTGGAATATTGCTAAAAGCGTCGTAAAACCATACTCACTCACTCACTCGTGATATTTTCAGTATGCATTGTCTGCATTCATCCATTATCCGATATTGTCAGGAAATAGTCGTATGCATTGTCTGTATTCACTCTTCATGGTACTGTGGTTGTTTTGTGGAGTGAGTGAGTTTAGTTTTACGCCACACTCAGCAATATTCCAGCTATATGGCGGCGGTCTGTAAATAATCGAGTCTGGACCAGACAATCCAGTGATCAACATCATGAGCATCGATGTACAAGTACATCATTATTACTCTGTTAATGAAGGAAAACAATCTTAGGACATTATCATTTACACAAGCCTAGTGTCAGATGTTAAAAGCACTACTGTTTGGACTTGTTGTTTAAGTGAATACGTTAAGTGAATGATGTCTGTTGCAGCATCGACGGCTGGACATCATCGTTGTACCTTATGATGAATATGGCTGCGCCCTTGTCTACTTCACCGGCTCTGCCCACTTTAACCGTTCCCTGCGCCATCTGTGTAAGAAGATGCACATGTCTCTCAACGAACACGCCCTCAAGACTGGAGTGGTCCGGAAGGTAAGCATGCAATACACTTATTATCCATAACTTCATCAGATTGAAAGAAATCGTTGTGATTTTATTGTCCCCCGCGTAATGCGGAACTGGGGACTATGTATTCAGCAGCGTCTGTACGTCCCGATTCATTTTAACGTGATATCTCATGAACTGTCATAACCAATGTCTCCAAATTTGTCGACAGCCTACATTGGGGGATTACGCAGACACCAGTTGATTTGTGTGACCTTGACCATATTTTCAAGGTCACAACACTTTGATCACTTTTCAAACTCTTGTTAACGCGATATCTCATGCACTGTTCTACCCAAAATCTTCAAATCTGGTGACATCCTACATTGGGGGTTTATGCAGACACCAGTCGATTTAGGTGACCTTAACATTATTTTCAAGATCACCACAACACTTTGACCACTTTTCAAGCTTTTGTGTGCATGATATATCATAAAATGTTGTACCCAATTTTAGCCTCCGAGCAGAAGAATTTATTGCCATTTTTTACAAATTTGATGTCTGGAATTAACATAACTGGTATCAGGGTACTGTAGGGTAATAAGGGGTGGGGACCCAAGGTAGAAAATGTGGACCCATCCCAGCCCTAATACACACTGATACTGACAGTGGATATGTGCATCTGTATCTATACATTCACATCTACTATATTCCTGAAATATCTTCAGAGTTAGGAAAAGATTCTGAGAAGTGACCATTACTAAAAACTATATCACACAAATGGTAATCTTCTATGTGACCAAAAGATAACAATAGTAAATATGTTATATTTCATTCTACTTTTAGCGGCAGGGGACATTGCCATGTTATTGGCAAACACTTGTTAGTAATGGCTCAAGCTACAATGTTTTGATTGACATGCATTTGTTGTCTATGTATAACCCTGATCCTGGTCTGAAAAGACCCGTGAAGATCCGTGTTAGAATATTGATCTTCAGTAACCCATGCTTGTCGTAAGAGGCGCCTGACGGGATTCGATGGTCAGACTCGCTGACTTGGTTGACAAATGTCATCGGTTCCATTTGCGTACATCGATGCTCGTGCAGTTGATCACTGGATTGTCTGGTCCAGACTTGATTATTTACAGACCGCCGCCATATAGCTGGAATATTGCTGAGTGTGGCGTAAAACTAAACTCACACTCACTCACTCTTACTTGTTGTAAGAGTGTACTGAAGTGGAAATCTGATTGTCAGACAATGTGCCTGGTCAGTCCTCATGTTGCCATTATGGTTGGAACATGAATTGAACTGGTATCATGATAGTGTTTGTTACCTTTGCAATACTATTGGTGATGATTCCATGCTTTGTGTCATATATTGTTTTCAATCCTATTTTCTAAATACATATTATGACAAAACATATCATTACAGTGCAAGATCATCGCACATAGAGATGAATTTTCCTTTCTTTATATTGTTTTATGATACAGTATTGAATAAAATTCAAAATTTCCAGGGAGGTGAGAAGATCTATGATGGCACAACAGTCCCCACCCCAACAGAGGACTCTGTGTTTCAGGCCCTGGGGGTGCCTGTTCGACCCCCGGAAGAGAGAGACCACTAGCTTCCACACTGGCACATCATGCAGTGTGTTAGTTACAGAACTGTAACTTGATGTGAACAGAACTGGAATTAGAAGAAACTATTGTCTGGATGCAAGAATTGAAACAAATTTCTTTGAACCTATTTGTGAATAATGTATAATGCAAATGTGCAATGAAATGAGACTGATAATGTGATTCATAGTAGCCATATTGATAATGAGGATACCTGGTAGCCATATTGATAATAAGGATACCTGGTAGCCATATTGATAATAAGGATACCTGGTAGCCATATTGATAATAAGGATACTTGTTACCATATTGATAATAAGGATACCTGGTAGCCATATTGATAATAAGGATACCTGGTAGCCAAATTGATAATAAGGATACCTGGTAGCCATATTGATAATAAGGATACCTGGTAGCCATATTGATAATAAGGATACTTGTTACCATATTGATAATAAGGATACCTGGTAGCCATATTGATAAGAAGGATACCTGGTAGCCATATTGATAATAAGGATACCTGGTAGCCATATTGATAAGAAGGATACCTGGTAGCCATATTGATAATAAGGATACTTGGTAGCCATATTGATAATAAGGATACCTGGTAGCCATATTGATAATAAGGATACTTGGTAGCCATATTGATAATAAGGATACCTGGTAGCCATATTGATAAGAAGGATACCTGCTAGCCATATTGATAATAAGGATACCTGGTAGCCATATTGATAATAAGGATACCTGGTAGCCATATTGATAATAAGGATACCTGGTAGCCATATTGATAATAAGGATACCTGGTAGCCATATTGATAAGAAGGATACCTGGTAGCCATATTGATAATAAGGATACCTGGTAGCCATATTGATAAGAAGGATACCTGGTAGCCATATTGATAAGAAGGATACCTGGTAGCCATATTGATAAGAAGGATACCTGGTAGCCATATTGATAAGAAGGATACCTGGTAGCCATATTGATAATAAGGATACCTGGTAGCCATATTGATAATAAGGATACCTGGTAGCCATATTGATAAGGATACTTGGTAGCCATATTGATAAGAAGGATACTTGGTACCCATATTGATAAGAAGGATACTTGGTAGCCATATTGATAAGAAGGTTACCTTATAGGGACAGCTTTCTTCAGCTTGTCAAGATGTAAGGATGCAGAGTGTGTGACCTTGAACCTCATTGAAGGTGGAGTGGATATTGGGCACATGTTTTCGGATACAACTAAAGATTGCATTTTAAATGAGGTTTATTGTGAATGGTTCTGGTACAAAAATGGTTAGGTATGTAATAACAAAACATTTGAAAGCTTTTTATGAAAATTGTAATATGAAAAAACATTTTAGTTTAAATCATTTCTATGTGTGTGTAAAGGAATGTGTATGTAAATAGTATGCTGATAAAATTCTTATATTTACATATTTATTGGACTTTTAAATGGTGATATATGTTGAATAACAAAACAATATTTGAATATATTTTGGTTATGATTTTCTGTGTTGAAAATATGAAGGAGTATACAACCTCATTGATCAAACTGTCTTGCATGGTGTTGACATATATTTTTTAATTGTTAAATTCAGTACAATAAAGATTAATGTGGAATTTCATATTTTATTAAGCCTAAAAAAGTCTGTAATTTGATGGGTTGACAAGGTAATAGAAGCAGTTATAATTGTGCTAATTCACAATCATACTACAGAGATGTTTATATGTATTTTATAGGAAACATGGTTTTGATGTAGATCGTAATTTAGTAGAACAAGTGTAAGGACTGACCTCTTTACTTATTACTCTAGAACTTGTAACAACTTCGGAAACATCTTGCATGTTTGCTTAGATACCTTTACATATTTTTAATGTGATACATTTTACTTTAAACTGTAGATTGTTTTTACTTCATAACTCAAGACTGAAGTTGAGTAAAGGGTTCTAAATGAATTTTTATTAATCCCTTTCATCTTATTTGTAATGTCTTGAGATTCACTGGCAGATTTGTACTCTTTACATTTGTTACATGTGACTGTTTCAAAATATGCCTTCTGACACTGACTGAGAAAGTAATTTTCAGTAAATATGAGCTTCTCTGGTAATGCTCATGAGAGGTGCTTATTGTGATTTGAAACCACTAATTGACTGTGTGGTCAATCGGAATTCTATATTTTCGATGGTGGTGTATTGAGTCAGTGTCCATTGATTCAGTTACATTCTCAGGATTCTATTCAATGTTGACAGTGATTTTACATAATGATTCATCCATTGTGATCACAACTCATTGTATTCATACTCATTGTATACAACATGAATTTATTTTGTTATTTTACAACAGTTTTATCATTGTTTTAAGTATGGATCTAGTATCATAAAATTATATCAAACAACCCAAATTTGTTGTTTTTTCATTTCCTGATATTGTCGGGGTGGTGGGGTAGCCTAGTGGTTAAAGCGTTCGCTTGTCACACTGAAGGCCCTGGGTTCAATTCACCAAATGGGTACAATGTGTGAAGCCCAATTCTGGTGTCCCCTGCCGTGATGTTGCTGGAATATTGCTAAAAGCGGTGTAAAAAACAACTCACTCACTCACTCGTGATATTGTCAGGAAATAGTCGAATGCATTGTCTGTAGTCATCCATTGCCCGATATTGTCAGGAAATAGTCGAATGCATTGTCTGTAGTCATCCATTGCCCGATATTGTCAGGGAATAGTCATATGCATTGTCTGTATTCGTCCATTGCCCGATATTGTCAGGAAATAGTTGTATGCATTGTCTGTATTCGTCCATTCCACGATATTGTCAGGAAATAGTCGAATGCATTGTCTGTATTTATCCATTGCCCGATATTGTCAGGAAATAGTCGAATGCATTGTCTGTATTCATCCATTGCCCGATATTGTCAGGAAATAGTCGTATGTATTGTCTGTATTCATCCATTGCCCGATATTGTCAGGAAATAGTTGTATGTATTGTCTGTATTCATCTATTGCCCGATATTGTCAGTAAATAGTCGTATGTATTGTCTGTATTCATCCATTGCCCGATATTGTCAGGAAATAGTCGAATGCATTGTCTGTATTCATCCATTGCCCGATATTGTCAGGAAATAGTTGAATGCATTGTCTGTATTCATCCATTGCGCCAATATTGTCAGGAAATAGTCGAATGTATTGTCTGTATTCATCCATTGCCCTATATTGTCAGGAAATAGTCTTATGTATTGTCTGTATTCATCCATTGCCCGATATTGTCAGGAAATAGTCGAATGTATTGTCTGTATTCATCCATTGCCCAATATTGTCAGGAAATAGTCCATCCCACATGCATACTCAAAGGCTTCTTTTTTTTCCCCTCAATCACTGGATGTTAATTTCAGCAGCATATCATATGATCAATCTCAACTCCCTGGGGAGCTATAACTCTTGCAGCCACTAGGCGCACCGAGTTAATGTGACTTTCCCATCCTTTCAAGGTACCCATTCACAGCTGGGTGGACTGGGATACACAGTCACAGTACTTTGTCCAGGTTTACTGCACATTGCTATACCCGCAACTAGGTGTTTGCACGTGATTATGTGGCTACCATCTGGTCATTTACCAACGGATTCGTGGGTTCTTTTAAGTGCACATGACTGTGACATCACCAAAAGAGTCTGCACACTATCACTATCCTGGCACCTTAGACAGCTCGCCCACCACGCCCCCAGTATAGTAACAAAGTAAGTATAATAGTATAACAAGCGTTTTAACAAAATAAAATTAGCGGTCCCTTTGATTGGTTATAAGCATAGTTTACGGTTTGGGAACAGAGATGTTTCTCTAATCAATCCCTTCAATTAATTGCATATGATACTAGGTATCTGTTTTGACCAGGTCTGACAATGCTGTTTAGTTATGAAGATAATGGGAAGGTGAAGGGGAAATTGTTCCAAACAGGGCAATGGACATAGGATCATCTGACCATATATCCTGTCAGTGATGAAACAAACCGAAACCTTTTTTCTAGTAAATAAGCTTTCGATTAAAAAAGAATTGGGATCAACTGAATTGTTTTTTTGCAGAGAATTTAGAACTCACAAGTTGGAATGGATAACAAATATCATAGTCATCAAAGATTATTTTAAAGCTAAATGGGTAAATACAATTATTTAGTACTACAGTTTAAAAAGAATTTACATTTCTGCCAATAATTGGCACTATAGCAGTTGTATGTAAGAATTGGTCACCTGCTTAGTATAAACTACATGGTCAGCGTTTTGATAGCGTGAGATGATATGGATCATTGGCGTTATTATCAATCACTGGATGGTCAGGACCGGATTCAATTATACATGCCATGGTCACATGGCTGAAATCTTGAGTACAGCAGTGGGCAACAAACATGAGTTGGTCACCAAAGGGTGGAGCATGGTCCATCATAAACTGAGGTATTCTTGTTGTCACAGTTACACGGCTTATTTGAAACTGTTGGGTCAAATGGTTAAGGGTTTAAATACTGATTGTGATTAGGAAAATACCCGAAATGTTCCAAGTCCGTCCTTTGACACTTGACAGAGATGCCACAATTTTGTCTCTCTATTTCTCACTTTTTGAAAATATTTCTTTGTTGTAACCAATTTTGGAAACGCATTAAACGCTAGTATATGTGTGTCAAGGTGTTGAATGCGCTGATTTGCTTCAGAGTTCTGCAGCCAAAATTTATCCAAGGGAAATAACTCTTTAAAGACTAAGGGACTATTCGATTATGCTAAAACGGTTTTGGTTTCTGGAAAACCATTAACTCGTTTATGTCGAGACCTAAAAGTGGGTTCTGAAACTTCGAAACCATCTCCGAGGCAGGTTTTGCAGTTTCGGTTTCGCGTTCTCTCAACAAACATGGCGGAAAAGATCTTGGCGGCAAATAGAGCAGCAGTTTCTGTAACCAAAATAGTGATAAAAATCAACTGAGAACTAGGAAAATATTATTTAAAACCCCAGTCTATTGAACATAACTATTTTATGTAACTTGTATACATATAATTACTTGTAACAGTATAATTACATATACGCAAATATTTACTTCTAAAAGCATCTCATCTCTTTATTATTTGTTAATTCATTAATAAAATGACCCAAAAATATTACCTTTGGCAATGCTGTCATTCAATTCGTTCCTCATATATACTCAGCAGCAAAAAAAACGTCAGTACGAATTAAAAATTAGAGAGGCACTGTAATCAAATCATTACAGAAATGGACATAATAAGCGGATCAAACACATTTTTTGTGTACAATATCTTGACACATCAATGAATAACGTTTGCCGTCCATTCAGACTCTTGACTCTAGTATCTAGTGTGACCACCATGAGCGGCAATAACTGCAGCACAACGTCTATGCATGGAGTGCACCAATCGATTGATGAAGGCCATTGGCACCTTGAACCACACTCTGAGAAAGGCCTGGCGCAATAAATCGGCTGTGTTCGGCCTTGGTATGACATTTCATTTCTGAATTGCATCCCAAAGATGTTCAACTGGGTTTAAATCAGGACTAAGGGCTGACCACTGCATAATGTTGACACCGTTCTGCTGTAGGAAGTCCCGTGTAGCTCTGGCAGTATGGGCCCGGGCGTTATCATGCTGGAAAATGTTGTTCCGGTGACGTGCGAAATGTGGTATGACGTGGGGTCTGAGAGCTTGGTCGATGTAGCGCACCACTGTGATGCCGCCTCCTCTCCCTGGACCAAGGTTCCGGAACACCACAGGACCCACTCACTGGTTCAGGCCTATTCCACCCCATACCATGATGCTTGCACCTCCCCATGAGTCTCTTTCCATAACACATTGTCTGAGTAACGCTGGCCACGTCGTTGCCATATTCTTGTTCTGCCATCTGCAGTTGATATGCAGTGCCGACTCTCATCTGTGAACAGAACAGTTCTCCATTGCCTGTATCGCCAGTTTTAGTGTTGTAGGGCAAACAGTAGACGTTCACGCCGATGACGAGGATAGGTCCCCGGTAAGGTCTACGGCAATGGAGGTTCCCGCTGTTAAGACGTCGGCGTACTGTATCAGTACTGATTGGTCTTCCGTGTGTTCCGACAGTCTGGCGTGCTGTTTCGGATGCCTGCATGAAGGATTCTGTACATGCTGTCGCACAACATGGCGGTCTTGTCGTCGTTTGGTCACCCTTGGTCTGCCAGTACGGGGGCGATCATTTGTGGTGTTGGTGGCCCGGAAACGTTGCTGCAGCCTGTAGATTGTCCGAACGTTGTCCTGGGAATGATTGGGAACGGCTTGTGCAGTGTGGCCAGCTTCAAGTCTTCCTAGCGCCTGGTTCCTCTGAGCTGTCGTGAGAAGGGGCATCCTCTTGACGTTGTAATGTGAATGTTTCAACCAGGTTTGGGGTGCATTTTATAGGGCTGGTCCTTGTGAACAGCACGTGCAGCATGAGTACCATCTCCGAGATCAGGTTGCGTTTTTGAGGCCATTTCCTGGGTTCCATTCTGAGTTTGGGAAGGAATGTCTTTGCTCAGGTAAAGTTTGAGATGTTGTCAAAAACATACAATCAAAACATTAAATGAGTTTACAGTTATCCGTTTCTGCGAATGAAAATTCCAAACTGACGTTTCTTTTGCTGCTTAGTATATAATAGCTGAGACATTTAGTTGTATCGATTTTGAAACCGGATGGTGAAACCATCCACTCGTTTATAAAACTTTGAAACCATATATCCGAAACTAGACACTCGTTTATAACAGGAGAAACCACTTTCAGAAACCAAAGCCAGTTTCGCAATAATCGAACAGGCCCTAAGGTTTGATGACTCTGTCACAGATTTCCTCAATACATCGGGGACTCCGGTGGCCTATTGCGTCGTTTGTCTGTGCAGAGTTGCGTCCCTTGCACCATAAGGAATTCGCTCCAACAGTCGCCTGACAGTCAGTGGTATAACTGTGATACTATTCGAAGCTGCGATAACCCATTCAGGCGCCCATTCTTCACCGTAACCAAGTCGTTCATTATGACTGTGAGACTATGATAACGAATACGACTGGTGAGTTTTCCCAGTGTCTTTTCATGATTCTTAACGCGCTTATTTAACATGTAATACATTTGTACAGCGTTTAATAGCCATCTCAAAGATGTTCATTGGCACTAGGACAAATTATGCGCAAAGTGCAAACCCAAGCTGCCTGTGAGGCTCTAGATGGTTAACAGTCATAACACCTTATTTCACCGGGTACCCATAAACTACGTCAATGGAAATCTTAACGAACGTTGCTGAACCTCCATTGATTTGTGACCTGGGGTGGTATTCTTTAAGAACTTAAGTCTGAAATAAAACTGTGTGCACAAAACCACTCACCACCACAAGTTACAGGTTTGGAGAGGTGAGTGAGTG